GTCTGTATGTCAGAACGTCATATCTCTAAAAATAGTACAGAAAGTAAGAGTTATGCTAATCTATGGTAAATAAAATAAATAATTTCATAAATATTAAAAGGAATATTTTTGAAGCTGAAAAATTGACGAAGTTTGCTCTGTTAATAAAAACTCTAATAAATATCTATAGTATGAAGATACAAAAAAATGTTTACTAAACTGAAAAAAGTTGTTGATGAGTCAGTGTTCAGAATGAAACTCAGTTATACCAGATTAATAAGTACCTAATGGTCGATGTTATAAGACAAAGTCAGGCGCGTCACTCACCAGGTGAACCATATATCACAGAAGACCTCTAATATTCTTTTGTTCTCAAATTTCGCTGAATAAATCTTCGCTCCTTGGGACGAAACGTAGTCATCCCGCATTCTAGCTACGTAACGAATTCAACACGCTTCTGCTTGTTTTCAAATAATTTTGCATAAACTCAGAATTGGTTGTTTTATTAATCTACTATATTAAAACTCTTTATAAACATCGATGAAGTAATAAAAAGAACCTAGGTATATCGTTTTAAGTTACATAGGAAAAACAAAAAATACACCTTTTTACTTCCTCTCTCTCCTCTTATACATATGTTCCTCCAGATTAAATAACTTCATTTAAAGTTTTAAATTTAATTAGAGTAATTTAGCAACTCTATCTTAATTCATAATAATGAATTATTTAAATCAACTGATAGTAAAGTTTACTTTTGTCACAAATTATTTGCCGATGTTAGAGCCAGTTAACTTCACCTTAATCAGAATTATGGAATTTAATATGAGATCCACCGCGTGACCTTACAGACCTTGTGTAATCGTGTATATTCTGAGAAAACTTCGGTACCCTGTCTAAGTTTCAATCTGTAAATAGATGAACAGAATTGGAAATGACAAAAGGACAAAATGCTGCATTTTGTCCTTTTGTCATTTCCAATTCTTTTAAGGCCGGTACAAGTTTCGGTAACATGTCAGCTCTATTTCATTCATCTTTAAACAAGCAACTGCAACGGACAACGAATTGAGACGAAGTTTCCGAGTGAGTCCACTTCGAAATTCGGAAGTTTCCACTTCAAAGAAGCTCGCCATTACTATTTAAACTTTTACCTACCTCCAACATACTTGCTTACCAGATTTCACAACAGATTGCAGGGTCAGTAGTAGTTTATGTATATTTTTTTATGTAATCTGAATGTCAAATATGCTGTCAATTCACCTGATACATGATGAACACAACGAGGTACCACACATGCGTGTCCAATCCTGAGGATTAATAGGTCATGCCTCTTATACCGTAATTTCAATTCAGAATTGCAAATTCAAACCAAAACACAACTTACCAAGCAAACTTTTGAGAGTTAGATACCTACCCTCGCAAATGTATTTTTTCAAATTTTACCTCGGTACACAATTGGAAGGACAAACAAGCGATATGAGAAGTGATAACCGTGATGAATAAACTCATGAATAGTACGTACCCTGCAATGTCCGTAGTACCTACGTGTACGTTTCACAATATAAGTGCTAAATTTAATTTAAAATACTCCATTTTGGTAAAAAGGCGAATTTATCTTCATATATATACAAACATATCTTCTAAGTTTAATCTTCGTTAAACTTAGTAATTTATAATAGAACAAAAATACTCCAATACGTTGTATTTAAAAAATATATGCGTAAAATATTTACTACTGATACAACATCAATCTGGGTGTTTTCTATGTATATTATGTAGATATGTATTTATGTCAGTTGTCTAGTTACTACCAATAACACAAGCTCTGCTTACCTTGGAATTAGATGGCGTTGTGTGAATTGTCCAGGAGTATTATTATTTTAAATTAAATTTTAGTTTCAAAGCCTACGTCAGTATCGAACTCACTGCATTTATAATTCTACAAGTTAACAGGTTGGTTACTTAAAATACCATAACTCATAAAATGATAAATGACAAAAGTTTAGGTAAATATTAACCTTTACACCTAAATTTACTCCTTTAAGTATAGCAATTATTTTACGAAGACGAGGATTCCAGTCAACGTGGATTATCGTGTAATCCGTTTATAAATTACCGGACCACAGCTTTACCGAATTTATTCTAGGTAGATATATTACTTTGAATTTACTGTTAACGGTAGATTAAATAAAATACTGTAACTCCCAAGTCACTTAGTCAATAGCTGTATCATTGTAACTTTATTAGGTATCTAAGTACCTACGTCATTTTTTAATCTAAGATTGAAATTGAAACCACATCGGCTCGCCCAGGGAAAATGGGGAAAATGGTAACTGACAGCACATGAGTGGCGTCGCGGAAATCACAATAGTTTGTTATTTATGCCATTCCTACTCCCATTAGGGATATATACAGCATATGTACATACATAAAACATAGATATCTTTACACTCATCTCATCTTTTCAGAATAGCCATGTACCTAATTTTATTTTATTATGAGTTTGCTTTATCCAGAGCTTTTAGCCTATGTATCTCACTTGGTAATAGATTGATATCGAATAATACCCTATTGCACAACTTCTGTAAGGCTTAGCGTGAATTTAATTGCAGTTCCACGACGCTTAGACAGTATATTAAAGAAAATGCCATCAATAATTCGGCTACTGGTTTTTAATTTTTACGTACCTAATCGTTAAACATATAGACAGGAGACAGATAGGAAAAGGTACTAGTTTTTATTTTATTGTTATAGATTACCAGCCAGTCCCACCTTCACATTTTTTTGCACCTTCAGTTTAGTAGGAGTGTCTTATTTTTTTCTAGTAGATAATAAATATAGCATATGATACTCAAAGATAATTAAGCATTCTAATGGCGAATGAATCTTTAAAATACGTATCTACTTTTGCTGGCTGCTTGTTCATCATTCTTTTTATAAATATTTGTATTATTTTGATACCTGTTTTTTATATATCATTTTTGACTTCTTTATGATCACTCTCGCGAAATATACCTACATTCAAATACACTTATTACTGTTTTTAATTAATAATAGAATAAAAATTGAGTGTATGCATACAAACATACAAAAATCTTTCCTCTTTACAATATATGTGGATAATTGTCATATCCTATGTATGTAACATAGATTGTTTATGACGAATAACATCCAACGAAACCGTGCGTATAAATAGTACCTATTTAAGTTAGTAGGTTACCAATAGTTTGTTAATGAGGTAGTGTCATCCGCAGGGCCGTCAACATCTGTAATTGCGTCCTAGCCTGCGAGCTCTTTGCATTGTTTAACAGCAATGGCAGTCCTCTTTATTATTATTTCCGTCGAGAACATTCCAACACCACCCTCGGAGCTCCCCCGTAACAATACATATTTTCGGAGCACATCCATTTGTATTTCAGTAGTCGTTAGATATTGTTCTTGTAATTCTTTGTTTATAGACAAATACGTGTAGGTAAGAAATTATATACACGAGTTGATAGAAATTATATATTTTGATGAAATCGTGTAATTGAATAGAACGTTAAGCTCTCTCAAATATATTCACAACGCAAATTAGTACCTATACTAAGATTAATTTGTACATATAATGTAATTAGAATAAATGTATCATTGTGTCATCTATACAATTAAATAAAATTGAAGTGTCTCTTCGTAATTTCAAATGAATAGCTTTTCATTTAAAACATGTAAAATTGTAAGGTATCTATTTATTGGACCTATTTTGACGGAACTTTCACTAGGTACAGATAATGCTATAAGGAGTAACTTAGGCTACTTTCAACCCCCTCCGATTGATCCCCGGTCTAATTCAAACGGGGATCGATATTACGACGGCCTGAGCCGAGGTTCGAACCCCTAATGGTGCCCTCAGACTAAAGTCGTATCCGTCAGGCAGGAGATGGCCTTCAGCCGCTCCATAAGTCCTTCCGCGGGTTTGGAGTGCATCTGCACTCGCCCCCTAAAGTCCGGTGAAGCTGTAAAGGCCAGCTGCGGCCAACAGCATTAGAGTAGTCCGAAAAAAAAAAGCTCGTTGCATTTTAGAAATATTAATTATTATAAAAAATACAGTAACAGATAGTTTTTAATAAAACTGAATTTTCGAAAATTGTTCTATAAGGTTTTAAGGAAATCTATAAGTAGGTACCACTTAGAAACATTAAAGAACATTTTAAGTTGAATTAAGAATGTGCATTATGTAATATTTTTTACGAGTAAGTATTACATTTATAATGGCGAAGTTACTTTTAAAATATTCCGGTAGGTACTTAAAATGTATTTTTGTCATTGCTACTCTCCGATGACAGATACACCAATAACAAAAAATCAAGTTTATTCTAATGTTTTTATTTCGAATTATAATTAATTATTTTTTTCATTGAAAAATCAATTATTATACTGTGTGCGCTGTAGCATGGTACAGGTGACAGTTACTAATTTTATATTTAACAATTGCTACATTTAAGTTAATGCAGTTATTAATGATTTAATATATTACGAATGGGGAACAGCTGTAATACTAAGTTATAATATGTAAATCGCGGCAACCTTTAAGAGTGAAACGAAACATTAATGAAACTGTCACCCGCACCATACTACAGCGCACATAGTATAGCAGAGCTACAGAGATAATGACGCGGCCGTAAACTGCAAAGGTAAGGCAAGAATTGGTCTTATGTGGAATATCAATGCCCCATTGCCCCTATGCATTTGAAATAGAGAAAGACAAAAAAGGGGTTTTTTATCCTAATCAATCAACACATGCAGGCAAAGTGGAAGGCTTCTGTATTTAAAAAATAATATATTCTGCCCTATTTTGTGTATATATGTACGCCCTAGATGATGTAGCAGTTCATTTATTTTCATAATTGTCATTGTTTGTATTGGTCTGGGTGTATTCTATGTATGTAGATATTACTTAATATACTATTTTATATCATTTGACTATTTTGTATATATTACACTAAACTAATTTTTCTAAATATTATAAAAAATAAACAATATAATGTTTTTAAAACAAACATTACTTTATTATTTATAGGCATATATAATACTACATATCTAAAATAAAAACCTACTTAGGTTTTGCTTGCACATTTGATAATTTAGTGGGATCATATTTGTATGTTTTTTGCGGGGCCCCTCTTCCTGCTTTTGTAAATATCAACTCATCAACTCGTTGTCTATCAGCCAAATCTCGTGAAATTTTCATGTTTGTCCAAGAATCCTTTGCTCCTTCAATAAACCCCTTCTTTTTAATGGGGAGATTCTCTGCAGAATGGCTTATTAGTTTGGGTATCTTAAAATAATCTCTAACCTTTGGCACTTTAAGAACACCCACTTGCAATAACGAAATGAAGTTACTGGAACACCAATAAACCAAAATAGCCCCTGGAAAGTTTACTGTAAATGGTAACATTATAATTGGGACCGCCCGAAGAAAATATCTCATTAATTGCATATTTGAGCTATTCATCCTTCCTCCGTCTACTCCAAGTTCAATTGTGGCATACAATGTTGCACTAGTAATAATAGGTAGTAAGAAGAACTGATCAGGTACTGTTAAATCTGCAAACCACCATAGACCCCCATATGACATGCTCTCAACAGGACAATTTGCCATTCCTCTCAGTCCCATAAAGAAAGAAATGAAGAGAGGTGCTTGAGCTAATGGAACAATCATATTTTTTAATGGATTTAATCCTTTCTCCTTCATAAACATCATCATTTCCTGAGCATAACGAGCTGTCTCCAACTGATTACCAGATTGTCGTGCCTGTGTCATCTTAACTTGCAATAACTGAATTTCTGGTAAATTATTATTCATAACTGCTGTATTCCGTTGTGACAGAATAACAAGTGGAAACATAACTACTCTTACGACTATGGTGCCAATGAGTATAGCTCCCCACCACGGTACATCTAATGATACGTGAAGGTATTCTAGCGCATTCTGTACCAACCCAACAGGACTCCATCCTCCAAGGCCTAAACTGGCAAAAGTGGCCTCACCATTAGCGCTCAAAGATTGTACAGCTTCAGATATTTCACCAACAGTGGATATATCCGGCACTGGAGGTGGCTCTGGTATATTCTCTGATATAGTAGATACTTTTCCGGGATCAACATGGTTAGTAGAAGCAAATCTAGTAGTAGCAGCTGCAGCTGAATATACGTAATATACCTTTACCGGCCTAACCTCTACTTTATCACTGAACAAGTTAAGAACGGCACTGCGACGTCCTTGGCGACTCAGCAATTTAAACATATTTATATTTTTTTATTCTCTTGTTCTTTTGTATTACTGAAAGGTATGCTCTTTATATTATTTAAATAAATATTTCATAAAATTCGTAATAATTTTGACTCATTTCTGACAATTAAAGTGACAGATAAAAGTACAGACTGTAGAGAACGGAATTCACTAAACCGAACAAAAAAAAAACGGAATTCACTAACTGACAGTATTTCTTGGCAAACACAGAAAGAAAGAAAATATTTTTTCTAAATTAAATATAAGGTATCACTTTCAAATAAAGAGAGGTGCTAAGACTTTATTAGTCATCATCAGCATACTTTGCCAAGTGGGTAGGGCAATTTTGGGCCTATTAAAGATATTTTAGGAATCCATAACATTACTTCGAACATTCAGGGTCTGTCAGGTTATTTGACTGACATTGATGCTACTGTCCGTTCAGTTTATATCAGTCATTCAGTCAGTTTCAAACCAACCAAACTTTTCTCAATTTAGTAAAACGTGTTTGGATCATATTATTTTATTTAAATATAATAATAATTTACTAATAAGTAGTAAATAATTATTCAATTGTAACTGGACTTATTTGGAAGAATGAAATTTTAACAATAAAAATGGCCCATATATCATATCCTTTCAAAAAAACAAGCAAAGCTGCTTTCCGAAAACCAGAGTCTGTAGTTTCTCAAGATGCAATTTATTGGAAAAAATTGGGAGTAAGTACTTTATATAATTTTAATACAAACTTACAGATTATAAAAAAATATATTAATTTATCGCAAATCTCATATTTTAGTACTTTGAGAGCATTTCAATGTTGTGTTGTTTAGATTTACTTAGTATATTCTTATTTTTTCAGCAACCGGTCTTAGTGAAAGAATTTGGTGCAATTGATTATTTGGATTTTAGTCCTGTAGAACCTCATTATTTTGCAGCAACATCTTCTGTTCGAGTACAGGTATGTGTTTGTTTTGTTGACCTAAGGGCAGTATTCTGAGGAGCAATTTAACTTATGATATTAAAAGCCAAATAGCCCTCAATATACTTGATACTGGGCAATTGTTACTATTCCAGAGGACTAAGATGTCATGCATTTTATCCTTTCAAGTTTTCAACAAACGAAACACAGTTTACAAAGTAAGTTGCTTAGTGGCTGAAATATTTGAAACTAATGTAGAGAATAGTGGGGTACCCATACAGACTTAAGTATATTTTTTATTGATTGAAAGATTATAATATAATGAATAATAATCAAAAATGAGAATGATTATAGCAATGAGAGACCATAAAGAAACCTTTCTTATTTTTATGATTTATTTATTTACATTGTCAGTGTTCTCTCTCTGATCAGATTGATAGAATTAGCTTTGCAGATAAAGATAATAAGACAAAGTTAATATAATGATTACTTATTACAGTAGATAAATGTTTACTACTATTTGTTTTAGATATAAGTAGGTAATTTTATTCTTTATTTGTAATATTTAATTCACAGTGCTGTGTTATATATTACACATGTTCTTAATTATTTTCAGATATATGACCCAATTACCAAAGTAGTTGCAAAAAATATATCCAAATTTGTTCAAGCAGCTTATGGTGGATGTTTTAAAAATGATGGTCGCCTATTGGTAGCAGGCAGTGAAGAGGCTGTTGTTAAATTGTTTGATGTTCAATCTAAGAATGTTCTTCGTGTATTTACAGGACATACAGGACCTGTAAGTATTGTCTACTTTCATTATTTTTTATACAAACATTAAATATTTTTTAACATATTTTATTTTGTTCTTTTTATTCATGATTTAATTGATAATTATTTATTTTCCAATACAGGTTCACAGAACATTCTTTACAAAAGATCAAGTAAAAGTTGCAAGCTTCTCTGATGATAAATCAGTATGTTTGTGGGATATAGCTACAGAAGAAAAAATAACAAGCTTTGCAGATCATACAGATTATATCCGAGCTGGAGCTACAAGTCCCATATCACCTGATCTGATACTGTCTGGAAGTTATGATAACACAGTCAAGTTATATGATTGTAGGACAAACGAACCATCCCTAACTGTAAATCATGGCAGCCCTGTAGAATCCATCCTATTTCTGCCATCTGGAGGCATATTTATAAGTGCAGGTGGTACAGAAATTAAGGTCTGGGATATATTTAATGGTGGCAAATTATTAGGATCTATATCCCAACACCATAAAACAGTAACAACACTATGTCTTGCTAGCAATAACAGCAGATTAATGTCAGCATCTTTGGATAGACATGTAAAAATCTATGACATTTCAACATTCAAAGTGGTTCACAATATTAATTATCCAAATGCAGTTCTTAGTATGGCTATATCAGAAAAAGATGATACATTAGCTGTTGGTATGATTGATGGTGTAATATCAATTAAAAAAAGAGAAAAACCAGCAAAACGGAAAGGAGTGAAGAAGGGAGTGAATAAATTTGCACCTGATTACATAGAATCACATCATTTTAGTGCTGAGCAATCAGTAAAGAGAAAAAATAAACATGAAAATGATTTAGATAAGTATTTGAGAAAAATGGAGTATACTAAAGCCCTAGGTGCAATACTTAATGGTAGTGTCATTACTAAATTTCCCGAAAAAACTGCTGCTGGGCTACAACAATTACTTAGGTGGAAAGTTCTTAATATTGCCATTAGTGGACTGAATAATAAACAATTAAATTTTCTTCTGAAGTACTTGAGAAGAAATTTAGGTGAAACAAGATTTACTAGAACTATAATTGACACTGCAAATGTTTTTATTGATGTTTATGAAGGCCAAATGACAAATTTATCTGAGACTAACTTGATGCTATATAGAGGCCTACTACAGGGAATAAATAGTGAAATAGATGTTTGTAAAGAAGTGAGTGAATTAGAAGGTGCAATTTGTATGCTTTTAGCTGCTGGTCAACTTAGTGACAATAGAGACATTTTAGATGTACACAACACTCTTGTACCTTCATCTAAAGCACTTAAAGACATTATTATTGATGTTTCAAATTAGAACTTAATAGGTATAATAAAAATATGTCATTTTGCACAAACAATTGTACTTTATTTATCATAATTATTAGTTATACAAACTAGTGTCAAGGTATACCATTATGTTGATAGTATGCTAGGCATGAAAGAACGATATCATCATGACTGATCATCCGCACCCCACTATTAGGGGAAGGTTGGGGCCTTGGGATGAACCACTTTGCACCGGCATCAACTCTGGGGCAACAACCACCCAGTGACTTGATTTAAGCCTATTAAGACGAGTAATAAAATTAAAATTATTTAACCTTATATAAAAAATAGTGCCGTACTGCTTCGGTATTATTTTTTTTATAAGAATTAAAAGAACGAGATTTAAATTGCTGAGCACCTCGTGGAAGAAACTGTCAGGATGCATAAGTGTAGTATGAGGGTTTGATACTAGCATATATTATCTGTGATACTAACAATGAATTAGTCCCCATAGTGCCATTGCTAACAATCGTTTTCGAATAAGCAACATTCTAAAAATGTATCATATTATAATATATCTCGTCATAACATCATTGCTTCATAATCCATAAAAACTTCTCGACTAAAGTAGCCTAGATGGAAAGTAATGTAGTGTATCAGCCATAGATAAAGAATGGAACCAAATAATCTTGATTTTGTTCTATAGTAGTTCTTCTTCTTGGAATACAATCAAATGGATTGTATTCCAAGAAGAAGAACTACTATAGAACCCTGAATAAAAAACCAAATAAATTTATATACTCAATTATTTTATTTAGACTCACGATACAAAAATTAACGAGAGAAAAGATATAAAGGTAAATTTAAATTTTATCTCCAGTGTCAGTTACAGTACTTGTATGTAATGTTATCTTATCTGTGGTACTAGTGACCACTTCCGAAATTACAGATTTCATTTATATATGCGCTCTCTTCTAACTCGTTAGTAACTGTTTAAATAATAGTTTATAATTAATTACATGGTAAATATACAATAAAAAAAAAAGTTAAAAGTCACAAATATATTATACGGTTTAGGTTAGCTTAGTGTTCTCTATCTTAGTGAGTCAATATGTGATCTATGTTCGACTCAGTGACTGACGGCTGACTGAAGTTTTCGACGGTACCGATATTAATAAATGACGTTTTGTAAAAATAAATTGTAAATGAAACTACTGTGATGTGATTTTTAATTTAGTTACATAAAAATAAAACTTGTTAATTAAATGAACGCAATAAATTTGTTACTGTGATGAACTTTAACAATGTTTAACAAAAACACGCTTTTTTCAATATTAGTAGCTATAAATTGTAAGTTAATTAAAAATGAGTTGCACATTATTTGTTTCAGTAATGTACACCATCTAACTTTGTTAATAAATAATAAATTGATTCGATTTTCAAATTTGTAATGTATTATATCTAAAGTTTTCGTTATAATACAGTATCAAATAGGTTATAGTGTATAGTGTGTGACCATGGATTTTCAGTGTTTATTTTCTTTAACAGATACTCGAACATAATTTACCAATCAGAATGGACGAAAAAAGGGTGGCAGATTATTTTGTGGTTGCTGGATTGCCAGATAATCCAGAACTATTGGAAGATTCTGATTCAGGGCACCTCAAAGGTTACAATAGCAAGGCACCCATTACTGATATAGGTATGTACTTTAAATAAATATTTATATGTGACTGTAATTATAATGCTGTATATTGTAAGTACATTTGGCAGAATGCAATTCATATATTTTAATACAATGATTACTTATGTATTAAGATTTCTTCACTTTTATTTTATGGACTATTGTCTTTATTCATCTTAATCTAATGCAATAATTTTATTCTAATGTTTATAGTAAATGTTTTATTAAAAATGTGACTAAGTATATGAAATAACTAATTATGTTACATATTTTTGATGTTTCATTATTATTTTGATGTTTCTATTTTTGTATTTATTTAAATTTATGTGATCATACAAGAGTCTCTATATAACATAGTATGAATCATTTTGTGAGTATTTATATAATATCTAACTATCACTTGAGACATTTTTATACAATTTCCTGTACTTTTACAGTTTTAGTTAGACTGTATTAGAGGTTATAAAAATATTTGTATTACCCTCTTTTTTATAATTATTAGTATTAACATGAATAATAATTTATTTTCATAATAACATTATAAAAATGAAAGTAGATCTGTCTGGCAGTCAGTGACTTTTATTTTGTTCTTTAGATATTGCTTAAAATATATATTATGATATATGTATCATAATATATTTTACTATCATTTTAACAATTTTAAATATATATTATGTTATTCAATAACATTACTATTATTATTATTAATATAAATTGTAGTAAAAGTAATAAGTGTTAAGTTTGGTCATTGAAATATGTGTCACTGAATTACACTTAAATCCTTCACAATTCTTTTCATTTATATTGTATTTACTATTTATGAACCTATTTTAAAATTTAATATGTACAATTTCTAGGTAGGAAACCTTGTTAAAGCATTTGCAATTAGTACAAAATAATACTAATATATTATTTCAGTGTAACTTTAGGTTAAAATGTTATTTATTCAATGATACACTAATTGTATGGTAAACATACATTTGTAGTTACTTTGTACATAGCCGCTGAATTAATTGTGGTTCTGTATTATATTGCAATATATGTAACTAAAGTATTAATTTCTAACTCAATATTTTTTACTAATTTAATTAAGTATAGATATAGAATGTCATACCAATCAAAACAAAATATCTTTATTGCTATAGTTCTATTTATGATAAATCACATCACATGTGCAGTTATTTCTATACTAATTGGATATGTGTTAACTAATGGAAGCTTATTAAAATACTTAATATTTATTAGTTTATTACTGGATCTCTTTAGGCTCCAATATTAAATGAAGCCAAAAGAGATCCAGTAATAATTATATAATAAAAGAATATGAATATGAATTTGATCCAGTAGTAATTCTTACTTACTTTTTGTTAATAACTTTATTTTCCTTGTTATTTTTTTTATATTCTCACATATTACTTTATTTGCATGTCACCCATATATTGTATAACCTTAGAATAATATCCATTATTCCAGATATTTTAATAATTGCTTTCAACAATAAGTCTGCTTGATTGTGTGTTAGAGATGTACTTAATTTTCTTTTAGTACATAATGTAAAAGTCTATTCTATCTATCCTATGTAATAAAGATGAAATTAGGTTATATGTGGTGACCACTAGCATATTTATATAGTAAGGAAAAATTTAATTAGCAGCCATAACATAGTATTGTATTATATATATATATGTTTGTATGTAAAATACATAAGGCACATGTTTTTTGTGAAAGGTAATGTTGTATCTCAAGGAGCTTATTGGCTAATGAGTGAATCTGGTTTAGTAAACCACATGCAGAACTAGGGCATGACAGTTCAAAGGAACTGGTCATCTTAAATGATCTTCAATGAATAAGGACACTTGTGAGTGTCCCTGCATATATACATTATATATTTGTTTCCATACATTTATTTATATATCTAAATAAGTTAAGCTAAATGTGGACCAGAAAGAAATATTCTTATAAAACTTTGCTGATAATACTGGCGTTTTTTATACAGATATTGATTTTAAACTGCTGGGTAATTTATTTATGCGGGTTTGTACTCAACATACACAATATTTTGTAACCATGTAACATAAGTAGTTGTATCTAAATGAGATATATAATTAACGATATGAACAATGTCAAGATTAATGGGATAAAGGCAAGGCAATGATGATATAAATAAATTAAGCTATATATGCGTTATTTTATATATTTATTTGTTAAATACAAACCAAACTTACATATACATATATAGATTAATTGTTGATCTATTTATATTTTGGTAGGTAATATAACCTTCTTTCTATATGCGTCAACCTTAACATTGTTCCTTACCTACATAACCTTCTCATTTACACACTTTCAAAGCATTTTGCTGTTGCACTGCTATACTACCTATTAAGAACGCGACTATATTGATTATATAATAATATATACCTACTTAGTAGAATCGGTAAAAGTGCCAAGTACATGCATACTAATATTATAAATACCACCTGTCTTTGTGTTTGTTTTTTGCCTTTTCACGACTAAAGGGATTCTAAGAAAATTTGCTTTAATATATCTCGGAAAAGCAAACAAAATCGCGGGAAATTGCTTCTAGCCTTACATATTTAATTTCTTACGAATAATGAGTATGTATTCTGATTATTTTTTAGATTTCAGTCAATAGTTCAAAAGGTTATCATGACATAAGTACATACAGTGCATTATAATTTTACCTAATATATCATTGTATCTCATAATGCAGATAAAAAGAGATGGTGGTAGTAGTCAGAGTTTCTTGATTACTGTTATCTCCCGCAAGTTATGATAAATGATCGAAATAAACGCAATAATATTTACATTGAAAGCTATGGCCACAAGGTTAAAAATAAGATTTATAAAAAGTATGTACATTTCTACTACATGATCTGTGCATATAACAACTACACCTACTACTGTATTTGTTGCAAGTTAGGATTGGAAGAAAATTCCAAGATAATGTATCGACAAGTGTATACCTACCTACTGAAGCATTAAAGAGTGACCAAGTTTATTTTGGCCCCAAACAGCAAATATGACGTTAATTTTTTTTCAATATATCATATAAAACGTGAAAAAATCTATACTTCAATTATACATTTTGTTTTTTACGTTTACTGATATATAGTACCTAATAGCGTAATAGTACGCCCATATGCTTGAATTAACTTATTATTAGCCGACCTATTATTGCCTACTACAGTGCATTATATCGATACCGATGCCCGTTAAGAAGAGTTATTAGTCCACAAACGGCCGCTTGATTGACCCCACTGATTTATATTTTATTGGTATCATTGATTGAGCCACAAGTGCGTTCATTGGTAGTCCACGATCGAGTAATTCTCAGCCAAGTATAGCTTACCATTTAAATGATATATTGGAGAGTTAAAACGTTTAATTCGACAGGTTAATTCTGACAGGATACTAACATGCATCTTTCAGCTATTGGACGGTCTACTTTTACACTTATACTACGCTAGATACATTACGTGCTGTTTGCTGTTTTTGCTCTTGTTCCGACTTCGTCCGCTTGACCATGATTTACCGGGTTCATCCCAAATGTTCCTTATTGTAGTTTTATAATTATTGGTTAAGATGTTATGACGTGAAAGCGTAAGAAACAGTCTAACTCTCTTTCTTATTATTAATGGATATTTTCAAAACTTACGAAAATTATGACATTTGCTATTCGACTATATTTTGCATTTTTCATTTGATTGGATTAAATTCAATAAATCCTGTACCAATATTGTCACACTAAAGGTCACTGTTTTGTAAAACATAATATACTTGTAATATATTAGATAAGGCAAGTTTTGAAATAAGCATTTAGCATTCTTTCGTCAAATCTTGACATGGTTCATATCGTTAATTATATATCTCATTTAGATACAACTACTTATGTTACATGGTTACAAAGTATTGTGTATGTTGAGTACAAACCCGCATAAATAAATTACCCAGCAGTTTAAAATCGATATCTGTATAAAAAACGCCAGTATTATCAGCAAAGTTTTATAAGAATATTTCTTTCTGGTCCACGTTATTATATATATAGATTCTGATCAATCAAGTACTAAGTACCAATATATTGCTATTAGTCGAGGCTTAATTTATACATATTTAAAAAATTACTATTCGCAGTCTGCTGGACACGGAAGATAAAAAACCTTTATTAGGTGACTTAATCGAACTAATAAAAAAAATTCTTGTTACAATTTTTATTTCATTGTCTGTACGTTTTTGCGCAATTACGATTTAATCTGAATTGCAATTACAATTTTGTGTTTATTTAAATATAATCGGTTTTCAAACAAAATAATTATACGCCTACGAAGTAACGGATTCAGCTAGTGATATTAATAAACGGGTGTAATAATGATAATGTTATGTTATGTTAATAATAAGTATGTTATAATAATAATATAATTATTATATACTATAATAATTGATACAATATTCGTTATTTAACATTATTTTAATGTAGCTACGATACGGCGTAATTGTAATATTTAATTGTTTAAGTTAAAATAAAACCATCTGTAAATTATTTCAAATTTGTAAGGAAGTCTACCTCAGAAACAAATCAATTTAAAAACAATTATAGGTACAATATTACCAGCTAATACATCTATTCAGAAAATACGAAAGAAACTTGTGCACTTTTTTTAAGTCGGTAAAAAAACAAGTCGCAATTAGACTATGCCTTGGATGTACTCAGACAGGATATAAAGGATCGTAATAACACACCTGCTGCTAGTTGTGTTTCTAATTTATAATCGAGATTGTAGGACTCGGGTACATTAAACTAATGCTAATGAAGTAGTATGGCTTGAAATAGTAGTACCCTTATTTAGTCACCACGGAGGTTCGATGCGAGTCAGTAATTATAGATAGGTAATTATAATAAATAGTGTATCTCGTAGTAGTCTGAATTGTCTATGACTCTATGTATTAGGTCACCCGTATTAAATGTATAGAGGTAAAACTAGATGCAATTAATCCAATGATTACGCTAACAAAGATTGTATTCAGAGTTTATGTATAGATAATTTCAAACATCATCATTCTTACACATAATCATCATTGTTTACACTTCATTCACGTGAAATTTAAGCAGTTAGGTAATTTTATTTACTAAATATTCTTTTTCAAACTTAACCGTCTAAAATTTTTGTGTCTTATGTTAGTCAACACAATCCGGTAAGCAAATGTTGTTTGTTAATCGATTAATCCTTTTTCGATTGTCAATTATTTAATGTTGGACCTCCAACTTCAAATGTCTCTGAAGTCCAATATAGCAGTTTTGTTTTTTACTCATAGCATAGAAAATGGCGATTAATGTTTATATGCAATAAACTGCATAAATCATTTTCCAAAACATAATAAAGTAAGTACCTAAATTAAATGAAATCATATAAAAACATGTAACTCCTGTGATGCTATTCAGGATAAATGACGATCCTGATTATACTTTTTATCCGATGAGCCGTCAGTTTGCACTATGACTATCTATATATTTTTTTAAATTTGCGCTTGACAAACATGAAGTACATGTTTGCATCGTCTTTTGGAAAGCTGTTGTGTAGATATATTTTTATGTTGTGTGTATACAATAAATATTGCTGTTGTTACAGGTGTATTGTTTCCGGGACTCGGCGAGACAGTGCCAAATGGTTACGAATTGCTAGAGGTAACACCTTCCGGGTTACTAGCAGATTTGAACCATGGGTCTATGCGGTCACCAGAATGCTTTCTTTGTATACGACGGGGGAGGGATCGACCGCCACTAGTAGACATCGGTATGATCCTTTTGTTATAATTCTGTTAGTTATACGTATTTTTTTGTAATGTAACTAAATGGTGAATAAGATGTTAATCCATCCTGATTATTAAAATTTAGATTTTTATTAATACATTTTATTTTATTGTTCTTATTAAAAGTATTCGGTGTATTGATTGCCATCGATCATTTCGGTTTTAGTAGTAGGTCAATAATCAAATATAACGAATCTAAAAGAAATATTTGTTGTAGCACTTATTCTAGATAATAATTTTATCTATAAATAAGTTTTTGTGTTTAGTGTATAAAATTCTGAACTTTATGTCATTGAGTATAAGAGTAAACGTTGTCGCAAGAAGTCGTGGTTATGCAGTTTTTTTATCTTTTTTATCGTGATAAACTTTACGCACGAACGGGTTTGCTTAATTCAATCGCTTTTAGTAACTGTGTCAGTAATAGGGCTTTTTATTCATACGTCATAATTTTTTACAATATCCACACTTAACTATATGTAAATAAAGTTCATAAGAATTTACAGAATAAGGTTGTTATATCCATTTTATTTAACATTGCCAACAAGTGCGTATCAAGTGCGATGCTACAAATAACAATTTATTTAGCACAGCTTTTAAATTATAGAATCATTTGGCACGTCGAAAAGGGCCTGCTATATAAGTAGGAAACGATACAAGAACACCCATAATACGAGTAACATTTGTCACATATTTAATCAGCATCTATTATCTACTACTATGAACTTACAGAGTCATAAAAATATCGGACATGGTAATATCATACAATAAGATGAGTTTATTAACATCATACAATAATAAAAATCCACCAAATTCGGCAACTTAGTATTAATATCGATACATTTTTTTTTAATTCAGTTCAACATATTTTTTATTATATTCCGAATTAATTTATTATTCATCGTCATTAGTCCAGTGCAGTCCACAGCTGGACATAGGTGAGATACCTAACCCATTTCACTAGGCGTGATCTTTAGGCGTTTTTTATCTGGATTCGAAACGCCACCTGGGTGTTAGTCGCAAACCTATGTCGTTGCTACATACTGGAGGTTGTCTCACATTACGTTTATTCGCGATCTCCACTGTAGAACACGTCTCCTCCAACGAATATCGGTTATACGACAGATATTACCAACCCACTGCATCTGCAGCTTAACAAACTTTCTTTGAGCTATATCAGTTAGTTCTTCTTTTTTTGATGAATCAGTTATGCATACAGAGAAATTATAGGAGAGTTTCTTTTTATTTAACTGGAATGCCAAAATGCTTCGCCTTTGTATATGAAAAGCACTAGGGCATCACGTTCTCATGTGGCGTAATACCACCGAATGTGCCGAATACCACCACTGATGCGTGTTCACTAGCCATGTTAAAAGATTAACCGAAATATCTGAGGTAAAAGTACCTATCCAAAAGTCTTCTTACTAAATCTATCATGGTAAATGTATAATAGATTATGTCAGATTACAAGATAATTGTAATTATTTATTGATATTTTAATAGGCGTGATGTATGAGGGTAAAGAGCGTCTAATGGCGGATGCTGAAATGGTCCTCAAATCTGTCGGCGGTCGACTTGCTAACGTGAACAACTCGTCTGCGAAGACGTATATAACGTACCGGCGCGCGCACGCAAGCGCGCCGTGCAACGCGCTTGTTGTGGTCGACGTGTGCGTTATAGTGGCCAGTAAGGGAGAGTGTCCACCGCACGCTTTCTGTATGATCGCAAAGAATTTAAATAAAGGTACTGTATTATTGAATATGTACGTGTATATCTACAATATGAAATAAATAGTAGTCTAGCTGATACTCGCTATACTTTGAGCAGTTATTTTTTTTATATTTATACTGTGTGTATAAATTAAAAATAAAATAGATTGAAGTTGAGTATAGAAATAGTTGATAAATTATATAAATCATATTAATATTCATTAATTTCTCCGAAAGGAATATAATAGTGTATGTTTGATATTTATTTTTACCTTTAAGTAAAATCAGGCAATACAATAACAACCAAAAGGTTGAACATATACTTTATATACTATATATAATATTGTTACAAACCGTTAAACTACAGCACAGCATTTTTCTGAAGAAGTTAGTGAAATGTAATAATAGTACAATTTATTCCTTTCCAGGAAACTTTTGTAGTTATATTTATTTCTACAGCTTTCATTACCACTTAATTACAATATAATGCAATCATTCTTAACATTGAAGCTAAACAGTAGAACACCAAATGTCAATTTAAATAATAATAATAATATACATAAATGACAATTTAAGTACTGTACAAAATAAATAGTAAATTTCATACATTATATTATTATTGCTTCACTTCCAAGTATCTAAAATAAACTTCAAGTAATTAATAATACTCATAATGAATAATTTTTAATACTTATATTAATATTTAATTTAATTTAATTATTATTATGTTAGTTAATACAATATTACTTTTGAAATTTTATACAACTCCTTGATTAAAGTAAATGTTGTGAATACTACTACTTTAGTATAATATATATATATATATATATATATATATATATATATATATCATATTACATTTTGTTGGATTTACGAATTTCAGAACGAATATGCTGTTGGTGTACCTAAATAAATAAAATAGTTTATAGATCTGTACGTTATTATACATGGAATTCGAAATATTTTGTCTACGAACAGTTTAATTGTATTAGACATTTAAACATTACATGTAATTTCTTTTAAATTACAGGTTTAATGGGCAGTGATGTGTATCTCTGTTACAAAAAGTCAATGAACCGTCCGCCGCTAATCGCTTACAAACCAGAAGTTCTTTTTAGGTCAGTATACTACTGCTAAGATATAACCTTAAGTTTAATTACTCTAGAGCAAATTTTAAATTAGAGATGGGTAATTGATCACAACACAATCAAGTTTAAATAGTTTATGCTAATTATTTCACGAATTGCTGTTCGGCATGAAATTTTCTTGAACTATCATTTATTTATAAAAAAGTAGATCCACTGAATAATGAACAAGATTTGAAAGTTCATTCACGTTTGTTTACATATTTTACACACTATATAAACGGGATATTTGTTTTAATAATATTATTTATGAGTTCCCGATATATTGACGTTGTTACAGTGTTGTTGTTTCTGTGGGTCTACTCAATATGGCGAGAAGTGTGCATTTTACAAGTAATCCAATAGCTGTTCAGTTGGTCATTGAAATGAATCACTCACATTCGTTCATCTCTATTTAAACCGGAAACTGTAACGAAATACAAAAAATTGTAAACTAGTGCTAATTATTGCTATACTTTCACAGAGGATGTGAGTCATGTACTGTTATATGAAATGCTAATATTATTAATGCATACTAATTGAATTTTAATACCGCTCTAGTATATGCGGTTAAATAAAACGAATTGCTTTTCGGCATAAAATACATAAATAAAGTTATTGTTATTTGTTTGTCTGTTTTCTTAGTTGTATTTTAATTATTGTTAAAAGTGCATACCAGTCCTGGTATGCACTTTACTTTACGCATCTATCATAAATATGCTAATATATACATACGAATAAGCTCTTCTAACTTTGGCACTATTGTATTGTATGCGCGCTGTCTACATTATTACTAAACGAAATCACTTTATTGAAGCAATAAATGCGTTCAGTCAAGCGATCCTCACGAGTATCAAGATGTAAAAATATCTGTTCCGACAAATGTATGAAAAAAAAAGATTTGTCTCAAAATAAATTCTTGTTTATTTTACCCTCCTTTGGTTATTCTGCTATTTGCAAAAAATATATTGTAGATCACAAATCATGTAAAGTTGTTAAAATAAAAAATATATATTCCAAAGAATCTCTATGTCCTATTTCAAGAGTATAGAATTAGAAGGCCAGTAAAAATTGCTTATTATTAATCTTTACATAGTACAAAACAAAGTAATCGCCGCTGTCGCTATTATCTTTTAAATTACGCAACGGATTGTTACGCAGTTTTAGATAGAGTGATTCAAGAAGAATAGAAAATCATTTATTCAAATAAACTTAATTTAAGCACTTTTGAATAGTCATAACAATTTGTTTTTTATCTACCACTCGTTCGGAAAGCTGTCTCATCACAAGAAGAACGAGCAAGAAACTTGTGTGTTGCTCTTTTAAATAATCCTTGTAAGTTTACATTTACAAGTCGAAACGTGTGAATACAAACTACCAACAAGCACTAATTTTTTGGGTCAAATATAATCATGCAATAAGATTAAATCAGTCGTAGTGATAAGAGCAGACCAGTCCCTACAAGCAGCACTCGTTCACGAGTATGACGGATGAGCCAGCCATCACTGCGCTCGACCATATTTTAGGGAGTCCATTGACCCGGCCCACCACGCCGCCACATGTCTGGACATTTTAGTGAGCATGACTACTCATTCCACACGACCACGTCACAGCTACAAAAATTACTATATGGTAGTTACAGTATTCGCACTTTACATAAGGATGCATGCGGCAATCAATACAAAAGCCGCTACGCTATCATATATCAAGAAAGCAGTATGAAAATTAAAATTATAACGTTGTCCGCAAATAAACTTATTCTTGCTATATATTGCTATCATCTATAAATTCATCTATCTTATAATAGGCTTTTTTACATAACATTTGTTTAATATAAGATTTGAATTGCCTCTCTGTAAGATTTAGCGTAGACTCTGGCAGTTTATTATAGAATCTTACGCAATTACCATAAAATGAATTACTAACTTTGTGTAGACGGCATTTAGGTAAAATTAGCTTATTTTTATTGCGTAAGTTTCTACTTGTACAGTCTTTAAGTTTCTTGAAACTATCTAAGTTTTTCCTTGTATACATAATATTTTCATAAATGTACTGTGAGGCAACGGTGAGGATATTTGATTGTTTAAAGCATTGACGTAATGACTCTCTAGAACCCATACCATAAATAGAACGTATGGCTCTCTTTTGTAAAATAAATATAGTATTTATATCGGCAGCTTTACCCCATAGCAGTATGCCATATGACATAATGCTATGGAAATAACTAAAATATACAAGTTTTGCCGTCGCCACGTCTGTTAATTGCCTTATCCTTCTATTTGCATAAGCAGCAGAACTAAGTCTACTGGCTAATTTTGAAATATGAAGCCCCCATTGTAACTTCGAGTCCACTGTTATTCCTAAAAAAACTGTATCATTAACAAAATTTACTATTTCATCATTAAGCAATAGCTGCGTATTTACTTGTTTTACATTAGGCAGCGTGAATTTAATGCACTTAGTTTTGTTAGAGTTCAATAATAGATTATTACATGTGAACCAATTTAGTATAGCAGAGATAGCATAATTTACATCGTCTAATTGATTACATTGGCGACCAATTTTAAACACTAACGAAGTATCATCCGCAAATAACACTATATCTGCAACTTTCTCTACCATGTAGGGAAGGTCATTTATATAAATTAAAAAGAGAAATGGGCCTAATATTGAACCTTGAGGAACGCCCATTTTTATATTAGTTCCCTTAGACTTTACACCATCAATATCTACAGTTTGCACCCTATCCTCTAGATAAGTTTTCATTAGACTTAGGTCATTATCTCTAATACCATAATATTTGAGCTTGTACAAAAGTGTTTCATGATCTACGCAATCAAACGCCTTCGACAAGTCACAAAAAACGCCGAGAGCATCCTGTGAGTTTTCCCATGATTCGAATATATGTGTAATAAGCGCTACACCTGCATCAGTAGTAGACTTGCCGGCAGTGAAACCATATTGCTGACTGTGAAGCAGTCCGTTATCCCTGAAGTATTTTAACATTTGGTTAAACATAATCTTTTCAAATACTTTACTTAGAACTGGCAAAATAGAAATTGGTCTATAGTTGCCTAGCTCAAATCTATCTCCAGATTTAAAGAGTGGAATTAATTTGCTAAATTTCATTAATTGAGGAAACACGCCATTATCAACACATTTATTGAAAATAGTAGCTAGATAAGGAGCAACAATATCTATGAATGAACTAACTACTTTAACTGACATGTCCCAGAGATCTTCCGTATTTTTTAAATTTAACTGTTTGAATATTTTTATGACATGAAAAGGGCTGACATGTGAAAATTTAAATGTTAAAGAGCAAGGGCTGACATTAGCCTCCAGTAATGTTTTTGCTCGAATTGGAGATGAGTCTAGAGAAGATGTAATATCAATCGGAATATTAGCAAAAAAATCTTGAAAAATATGAACTATATCTTTTGTTGCTGTTATTAACTTATTGTCATAATTTAATGAGAATTGATTGCAGGCTTTTTCAGACCGTCCAGTTTCTTTGTTTATAATTCCCCAGATGGTCTTAATTTTGTCAGAGGACTGATTAATTTGTTTATTTATAAAATTAGATTTAGCTGCAATACAAACTTGTTTGAAAATTTTAGAGTAATTTCTCACATAAGTCGTAAATTTGTCATCAAATCTATATTTTTTTTGATCATATAAATCAAATAAAATGTTTCTACTTTTAAGTATTCCTACTGTTGCCCATTCTGTAAATTTAGATTTAACACAATATTCTCTTTTCTTGAAAATATTCTGGTATTCTTTTGACAAAAGACTAATTAACTTGGTGTAAAGAATATCAGGATTATTAAGACTGACAGATTGTAACTCTAAGTCTAATTTATATTTTACCGTGCTTTTGTATTTATTAATATTGTAAGCATTTATTTGTCTTTTTGATCTTTTATTATTGGTATTTTTTTTAGTCTGATTACTAAACTTAACAACTTGACCACAGTGATCCGAAGGAAGTTTATTTATTATTAATTTTTCAATATACTCACAGTTACAAAAAACATTGTCAAGACAAGTAGCAGTCGTAGCGGTTACACGAGTGGGTTCCTGAAAGACATTACTCAAATTAAAAGACTGAAATAAACTAATAATTTTTGTACATGTGGGTGTATCACAAAGAATATCAACGTTAAAATCACCACACACAATGATTTTTTTACTGCTATTAAATACTTTTTTTAATATATCCTCCATCACCTCTTCAAATACATTATAATCACTATTAGGAGGCCTATAAACACATATAAGTATATAATTATCTAGTTCTATACATGAGATTTCTGTACAACACTCAATAGAAAGTCTAACAATGTCAGAACGTTCCTTTACTTTAATATTATTTCTTGCAATTATCATAGACCCACCTCTGTTAACTGACTTTCTATTGAAGCAGCGGACAACATTATAATTATTTAAACTGAACATTATATTGCTTTCTTTAAGCCAATGTTCAGTGAAACAGATAATGTCAATATTGTATTTTTCCAAAAATAATTGTATAATTAATTCACTGCCGGGAAAACTTTGTATGTTCTGATGAACAATTACCAATTCTAATTGCTTTCCCTTTGTCTTTGTTAGCAGTTTAAATCTGCAGTCAAATTACTTATATCACTATTTAAACAAAAATTAATAGAATCATTTGTTATGTCACAATTTTTATATTGAAGTTTACCATGTAAACTGTTCATGAAGTCAATATTATAAGCCACTAAAGTGGCTATTTTATTCTTAGAAGATTTAGAAAGATACATTGTATCTTTTGTCAAATAAAAATCACTAATAAAACTATTAGTGTCAAGATGAAGAAAGTATATCGTTCTATACTATGTATTATACATAATATGAATACGTGTTATAAATCAAGGATTTTCGTTAGTGTTAAATAAAATAGAACCACATTCAAGCAATCATATAGTTATCTATCAATCATCATCATCTGCTTCTTCCTTATCCCATTTATTTGGGGTCGGCGTAATATGCTTTTCGCTTCCATCCATCCCTGTTCTCGTTCTCATCATCTTTCACACAGTCCATCCATCTCTTTTTCGGCCTCCCTCTGCCCTTATAACCATCCACATTCATATGTATATATATATATTGGTATCTATCAATACAGTATTAAATTACCTAAAGAACAGTTGAAACGATTTTGATAACTTCGTTTCAATTGTTCTTCAGGTAATTGAATACTGTAACTAATCCGACTTTATTTGATTACTGTATATTAATAATTTTTATATTTTTCCATATCAGGTATCCAACAACCGACCGACGAAGTCTAGTATTTCCCACATCCGTACCGCTTTTCTGTTTACCAATGGGCGCAACACTGGAACTATGGCCAAACTTAGCCGCACAACCGAAACCGGTGTTTTCAACATTCGTATTAACGGTTGCTGACGCTACTGACAAGGTAATTATATATTATACTAGCTTTTACCCGGTTTCACTTAGCAATTTGATTTTGTCAGTAAATTCTTGTTATAGAATTATGATAGTTTCTATTTGGGATCGCGTGGAGGAAGACCTGAAAGTATCTATAATGTACATTTCAATAACGAATAACCTAACTTGCCCTCTTTATTAATAATCCTGTCCCTTCTCTATGGATTAGAAGGTGGTCCGAAATCTTTTTCATGCTTTGTAGTGAGTCATAAGTTTTGTTATTGTATATATATGTATATTTATACTTCTACCTTGGTGGTCTAGCGGTTTAGCACACCGTACTTACTTACTTCTGATAGTTAGACATTAGTCACATAGTTCAAACATTTGTATCGGTTCGATACATCGATACAAACGCTTGTAATCATATGTACTGTGTGTTTTCTATGTGCATGTCTATTATGACTATGTATTGGAATATTTCTATCTGTTTAGTATCCATAATACAAGTTCTTTTCACTTTGGATTCTGTGGCGGTGTGTGATGTCATAAATTTATTATTGTATGTGTAGGTGTACGGTTCAGCGGTAACATTCTACGAGAGTTTCCCACACGCTCAACTTACGGAACAACAAGCGGAGACGCTAGGCTGGCGGACGGGTGTGTCCCACTCTACGCACTCGCTACATGCGAATAAGTGTATCTGTTTATTGTCAAGATGGCCGTTTAGCGACACTTTTGAGCGGTGGTTACTTTACATACTGGTGAGTGTTGTCTATAAGCAATAAAGTGTACCTTCACGACTGGTATCCCGGACAGGGTAGTCAACCATTGGTAACTGTCGGAGTCTAAGTTTCATACAAAGTATTTTTGATGTTCAATCAGATTTGAACTCATGGCCGGTCTAAGTGGGCATAGTAAACAACTAAGATACGACGTTCTAATACGCCCATGTAAGTCTGTATTTATCTATGTACATACAGTGGTATTAGGTCAGACGATGTATTTCATTAGTTTGATTGTTACCGACCTGAGCATTAATTACCGACGGTCGAGGCCTTTATACCTCTTTTAATTGAAACATTTTCTAGTAATGATCAATGACATATTATATCTTTAGGGCGTTGTCTTTCATTCCTTATTAACTTTTTTAATGTAATTGTTATTAAATTTTTAGGAAATGTCATGGAGTAAACAACCTCTAAGTATACCCATTGAACGGTATATTGTTCACTTATTAGAAGAAGTTCCATTTCCAGAACCAAGGATATTACTACAGGTAATATAATATGTAATTGTCATTTAGTAACAGATACTTACATCCCATTCATTATTATATTGCCTTTATAAATTTATTTGGAATCAATCTATTTGTTCTTCCATTAAATCATTATTAGCGGTTTTACCTGTTCTTCTTTTGTAAGCGTAATACAATATAGTTTTTGTAAGAAATAAAAATATAATTTGTCTTTTAATCTGGTGTCTGAATAGCTATATTGGACTGTAAAGCATGTTTAGTTTGATGTAAAGTAATAAATATATATATGTATATATGAACAGCTCTCACCGACAAACCCACAAGACCGAGTGATAGTAACTCGTTGCGATGACCAACCACTGGTGCGAAGCGGTGCTGGGTTCAGACAGTTGCTACTTAATTTAGGACCAGACAACTGTTTGTCGTTACTCGCTTTAGCAATCACAGAACAGAAGATACTCATACACTCACTAAGGTCAGAATACTTTTAGTATGTAATTGTTTATTATACTTTTAGCGTTAATTCCTCCAATAAGTGCCCTTTTCTATTTAAACGGGGATAAGTGTTCCGTATGAATATCTTACATGGATAAAACTGATTACTTAAACAGTGTTCTTCTAGAAAACTCTAGAAAAACATGTAATGGCATTCTAACCTACTTATCACTGAAATTTTTATTTTTATGATAAGAAATAGACTAAAGGACAAACACAATGTACCATATTGGTATATTTTTTTACGGAATTTTTAGAGTGGTAGAAATACCTATCTATGACAGTCTTAGAAATACAACTCCTTGAAATACAATTAGAACACCAATTAGCCAACATGTTTTTCTTTTATGACGATTTTAGATTATCATCATGATAATCCTGTCTTTCGAACTCAGTTAATCAAGAATCAAGTAAAGGAAATAAAATATATATAATATATCAAGAATCAAATAAGAGGATATATGTAGACAATTACTATATTGTACATGAAATATATCATCAGTTTTTAATAAATATAACAATTGAGTATTATAAAATTATTTAATATTATTATTTTTTCTTCTTTCAGGCCTGACACGTTAACAGCCGTTTCGGAAGCGGTATCAAGTCTTTTGTTCCCCTTCAAATGGCAATGTCCGTACATACCTCTCTGTCCTTTAGGTGAGACTGGTTTCAATATTAACAAACGAAAGCATTTTTTTTACACTACGCATGAACAAAACTATACTGTGAATGTTGTAGTCTCCCTCTATCTCATGCATATACTGTGAATACTTAGATTTATTTATTAACTGCTTTATATAAACAGCAGCTTTTATCTGGAGAATTTAGTGTTGCAGTTGCTTTTATATGGCCATCATATTTTCCATTGTCATCTGCAATATAAGCGCTGTGTACATGCCCTTAATTTTACATCAGATTGCAGTTGTTATATTGTGTTGTGTCAGGTATAAAGCTAATGTACTTATGATACATAGCACCTTATTATGTTAGATTACTTGTAAATATAAAAAAGTTACGTTAGTTAGAAATAATTAATTTCTAACACAATAAACATGGTTGTTTTGTAATCGATAAAGTCAGATTCGTAATAATCATACGTTTTTTAGGTTTAGCTGAAGTACTACATGCTCCGTTGCCGTATTTAATAGGCGTAGACTCGAGATTCTTCGATCTCTTCGAACCACCACCCGATGTGACATGTGTTGATTTGGATACAAATAACATTACTGTAAGTTTGTTAATAAGTTTTATATTTCTTATCAATGTACACCAAAAGATTATCGAGGTAGACTGCGCACATAGTCATCTGCATGTGTCTAACTAATTCATCTATTTCTGCCGACGAGCACTTTTGTAAGTTGTATTTCTATTCAATTGTGAAATAAGACAGTGAATTACAGTGTATGGAGATGACACTTTAGTCCTCCTGAATGGAGGAGACTAGGGCCATCAAATGACGACATTATGTCTGTATACATTACAAATATGTAACAGACTACAGACGATTACTAATTACCTGGTGGGTTTCAACCTTCAATTTGTTTTACATTTTAAAAAAATCAATATACTTCTATTTTATAATTTAAACAATGGTAAATTATTTTAATCGGAAATAAAAGTTCTGTTACTCTGATAATAAATAAAGTGGTTTATATTTCAGATTTGTGAGTCGCTCCGTGATATAACATTGCCAAAAATGTTACCAAAGCGGCAAGCAAAGATTTTACGGCAAACTCTTGATATACTCCATGGTAGCATACGACCGGGTACGTGCCTTTTCAATAGTTCAATGATTGAATAGATTCAAGCTTATTATTCAGAACATCCAAAATATTCTAACATTTCGTAATTTTTGTTCTGTTTAAAAACATATATATAGTGTATATATTTGTTGTAAATTAGCATTATTAGAAGAATGTTTTAACATTAACAATGTCGAATTTAAAATTTTGTAATTGCGATCCTCCCTTTAGAAATATTGTTTGTATCTTTTTTAATAACACATTTTAAATATTTTATCAACAGCGTCCCCAATTCACTATTCAAGTGACAGTAAATACAATGGAGAACCGACCACAAGTTTAGATAGAGATTTCCAAAGGAGAAGAAAGGAGGTAAGTCTTTGCTGTAAATGTATCCATTCTAGAGAATAAAATCTTTTAATTTGTTAATTTGTAGATCGAAAATCAACATACATGAATTGTACAAGTATGTACACATGTTATGCCTACATTTTAGTCCTACCAATGTAGTCATACTTTTGCACATACATTACTAACATAATATGAAATTTCCGTTTAATTAGTTAGTCATTGTTGGCAGATTTTAAAATGAAATAGCCAATGCATTATTACTCTGTAATACACCTCTGAATTAGATTCTACCGTACTATATACAGCGGACATGAAGGAGTAGTATCGCATGCGGTGTTAATTCTTGTGGACTTGGGTCCGAAGAGTGAGCTATAGCTAGTCATATTTTAAGCCACTTTTTTGTTCTTAAGTTATATAATATTCATGTTTTTTAGTATTTTTTATAGATTTTATTCTTTATTTTAGCAAGCTTTAGAATTGAAAATACAAGAGGCGTTTCTCCGGTTCATGGCGTCTACATTACAAGGATATCGCAGCTACCTAATTCCTATAACAAAAGCGCCTACAGTTGGTACTACGGATCCACACGCTTTGTTTCACATGGATGCGTTTTTGAGTTCTAGAGATAAGGTAGGTATACAATTGTTATCAATTTAAAGACTAGATACAGCATAACAGTTTCACAGCTCTTTAAGAAGGTTATTTTTGCTCCTTATTATGTATTGTTTGTATAAAATCTTTACACACATAGATGTGTGAATTGCCCTTAATTGTAGTGGTAATTGTTGGGGGTAAATGATACGATGTTGTTGTTCGAGACGATGTATATTACAGATGATAATTGACGGACAATATGTACCTATAAATAATTACTTTGTCTTACTAGACATTATTAAATGCAATTATTATTTTGATGTATCTAGGTAACTGTGTCCCATAATGATGATGCTAATTAAATATATTATGGTCACCATAAGCTACAGCAATGCTTTACTATCCATTAAGTTGTATACTTGCACATTTTCGTTGCAAAATGTTTTAGTATCATCTTATAACGTTATATACAGACCCACCGCAGTTTCTACGCCCTGATGATGAGAACGCAAATGTTCACCCGATTCATCGAGGAACGGTCGTTCGTGTGTGATGTAGACCAAGGGCTGACGTTCTTCGACGAATGCATCGAGCGTGTCGCGTCTTCATCCGAAGGCGTGTTGCTGGGAAGCGACGCGCCTGTTTCCGATCGGACAGTGTTTGTGTTACCGCCTGATCCTCCTGACCCTGGTAACTGACAAATTTATCCTTACTCTCTAAATTATACTTTAGCACTTTTACGAATTCGTCTGCTTTTTTTAGATATATCTGACTTCATATTATAATTTGTTTTCGTCAGCTCGTTTCCTATTTCACATACATAAAAAACGTCAATTCGTCGTAATTAGCAACTTAAAGTTTTAAATTTAAAGTTGCTTTTCCCTTTTTTTTTCTTAATGTTATTTAGTATATAACGTGTGTATCTATGTGTTGCATATGATAGGAACTATTAACAATATTTCCTTTGGTGTGTGTGGTTCAGAAGCAACATATACGTATGAGAAACTGGATCTGGACCCGGGGCTGGTAGCGAAGTGCCGCAGCCGTGGCCGTAACGACCCCAGCGGTGTACAACTACTGCCCGCGGCTGCGCTCGCCTCCGCCGAGTCACTAGTCGACGCCTCGCCAATGGCACGCCGTACCAAGCATGAAATCGCAGCCGCACAGAGGTGACGTCACCACACTACACTTTCTCACTACTCTAATTCAAATTAATTTAATAAAATAAAAAATCATATATCCATGTATTACATTTTAGCCGCTTATGAACTTTTTGTATTAATATTTTTTCCATACCTTCCAATTCAGAATACAGATTCAATTGGGAAGAACTTTCAAGAAACTACTGAATTTTTTTTTGTCTAACAGTAAATAAAAATCCTTTTAGTGAACAACTATTGCCATTACCACAACATTCTACTTGCCATCGTTATACTCGTCGTTGAATAACGAAATAAATGACGGCCTCGATAGTCTAGCGGTTTAGCACATTAGTGTCGATTAGTTTGTGACATGATAGTGTTGTATCCTGGGTCCTGTTGTTTTATTACATATACCTTAGTATAATCTCTGATAGGATTGATAGTACCTTTTCGGGTAAAAAGTATTATTGGAAACCTCGCTATCTTATATATGCATAACTAAATAATTATATTCTCATTTCAGATTAGCTCGTAAAGCCAATTTATCACCAGAATCATGGGCTAAATGCTTACTGGGTGCCTGTTATTCTCTATATTTTCTAACACTGCCGTGTCGATTAATGCTACTCCGAGGCAAAGAACACGCTACCCTACGGTCTGCTTATGAGTTGCTCGAGCGAGCTACAAAGCTTAAGGTCCCATGTGATGAGGTAAGTTGAGATTGAAAACAATAACTTTATTTCAATTATTGTTTTAATTGTAAAAGCCACAGGAGGATTGCTTGATTAAATAATCGAACGGACTTTAAAAAGGAGAATATTGTCATTTCATCTTTAGTTTTATTTTTTTTATATGTTACGTAATATTTTTGCCAAATTGGACTTAGTTCTAACTTATCAATTAACTTTATTTAGAGTTAATAATGTAGTTTAAAGTAAACACTTTTTTTTCCAACTTTTTCCACTTTGTTCCAATATTTGTTACACGTTTACAATATGTTTCTCTCAATATTTTGTAACTTTCTAAGTCTTCTGTTGTATTTTAGATTATATTGAACTAAAAGAAACATATACATAATTTGTACTACTGTAGAATCTTAACGACTATCCATACTTATCTTCAAAATTATTTTATATCCTTGTAAAATATTGTTCAAATTTTTAAATATACTCTACTGTACTATCTTATACCTGTAATGTGTTTGGATTATTTATTCATTACAAATGTTCTTGAATAATTTGTTTCCAGGTGTGCTACCGCGTAATGATGCAGTTGTGTGGTATCCACTCGTTGCCGGTCCTCGCAGTACAACTGTTGTTTCTGATGAAGCGCGCCGGCCTACAGCCCAATGCGCTCACATATGGTTACTATAACCGCTGCGTGTTAGAAACTGCATGGCCGCAAGATATGCCTAGGTATGCATCTCTTATTAGAAAGTTGCACATTAAAATAGATATGAGATAAATATAGATGATGTTAATGTTTATTTTATATCTATATTTTGCACACGTTTGATGTTATATTTATGTTATTTAATTTTTGAAATTGTTAAATAAATGTTTACGTGAATGGTTGGGATCTATATGTACGACTAACGAATGGTCATTTTTTTACACCTTGATGTTACCCAGGGATAATATAGCATTCTTATATTGAATTTTTGTAGCTTTTGAGTTTATTCATTGAGATACATAAAATTATACATCTTTGCTCTTTATATTAAAAAATATCAGTATAAACTATACTTAAACTATGTTAGTGTTGTATTGATATTAGAGAGAAATGAAAGAAATGTGAGAACGGAGTCTTATCTTAAGTTAATCACGACGTCGACAATTGACAATGTCGTTGTCTACTCATATTGTAATAACAGTTGTGAAGAAATATTTTTATTGCATACCAAGGTTAACTAAACATGTCACACAAAAAAAAAGTAATTATGTGATTACAGTGGATCCCAACTACTGTGGAACAAGCTACGTATAGCGGTGATGGGCGCGGCACTATTTCGTAAGGCCGGTGCACAGCGCGCAAGCCGAAACGCTGCGGCCGCTGCTACTACAGCTACCACTGTCCCTACCACTACCGTAGTTGCTTCAAATGCTACTCCTGCTGCCGGTCAGTACTTGAATATTGCATACTATTATAGGTTTTGAGAGTATATTTTTATATATGTAATAATGCTTTATGGAACAACTCTATGTCAATCAACAGATTCCTTAAACATGAATACGCGCATTCCCTACTTCGTATATATATTTTTTAATGGAGGATGATAAGATGGATATTCGTTCCAGTCCATTAGCCCATGAAACAAATTCACCAAGAATTTATCATGATGCTTTCCAGGCGACTTCGTAGATTGTCTATGAATTAATATCGCATTTCTTATAATTTCGCATTTGAATGAATATCGTCACGCCTATCTCCCACTAGCTTAGTCAAGGATTAAATGGTACGCCAAATGTCCTGTTGGGGGTAGACAGAGATGATGTCTTAAACAAACCTGTTGTCAATACTATACTTTTGGTCGTTTTGTATGTTGTCAGGTGAAAGCGGCTCGTTACCGCGCGTACGGTCGACGGCAACTGTAGGCGAAGGTTCAGAGTCAGCAACACTAGCCGCCAGTCGCACCAGCCTCGATTCAGGTATGCCACTGCGTATCACTAGTCATTTTTTATTTATTAGGAAAACAATATAGTAATATATTATACACAACTAACGATTTAAATAAATATCTACACATTTACATTGTTTCGGCGTATATAAAACTAGAAATCATTTTCGTTGTTGCGAAAGACATTATAACATAAAAAAGAAACTACCTACTTAAAAAAATAACAAAAAAGAAATAATATAATGAAGAATATGATGTATTATTGAAGTATCACTGTGATTATAATGATCTGTGATCATCACCATCAATTCTTATACGTACTTGTTGTATGTAGCGGGGCGTCGTTCAAGCGCATGGGAAGCCCTATGCAAACGAGAGACCATCGTACGAGCCGCACCTGCGCGACCCATCGCGCCCGCACTCTCCGCAGCCGCCGGGATACTTATATCCGGTTAGTCATCATTATCATCTTTATAATCAAGTCAAAAAAGTTTGTTACAAAAATGAACTACTATTCTATAATGTCTCTAGATGATTTATTATATTATGCACTCTCTAATCCAACTTTCGAATTCATTTTAACATGTAGCAATGTAAAAATTAAATTAATAATGTAAAAATTGAATTATGTAGTTTATATAAGATTGATTAATGTGATTGCATTCATGTTTGATTCTACAAGTTACAACATGCAATGCTAAATAAATAAATGAATAAATGAATAAATGAATAAAAAAAAAACTTCTGTTATTATGTTATCTACTTTAATTAATAAAAAATAGGTTTGTCTTTTATGAATAAAGTAGCTAACATTTGTTTTTGATGTGAGATATTAAACGCATTTAGTTAAACTTACTCTGCAGAACAACGACAATTTATATCCACAATAAGTTGAGAAAAATATTAATTGTGCCATAGTACTGTTGGTATTGCAATAAGTCCACTCCACATGACCTATATAAAGTAGACACATTACAATATCAATTAAATATGCATAAAGTAGGAAAGAGAGAGTTCTCTTTTATACTTTATTCAGAATGTCTACATCAAATAATTTCGATGACTCATTTTTGCCAGGCGTATTATCACGACGACTTATTTATTAATTTTATAATTTTAGGTTTACCTTCTAACCCTGATCTTAGTGAAAAAACTAGACTTCGAAGTAATTCATTAGGAAATGACGATTTGACAAGTCCACCGCCTCTCAAAATGGCTGAAAAAAGACAGGTACCGATTTCTATATCCCTATCTATTTGATAGTATTTTATTTGTCTTAGTAATTTGAATTGTTATTAACTATATTACTTTGAATAAACACTCAGTTACCTATTATAACCTTATTTATAATGACAATCATGTAAATATTTCACCATCCTCCATACAGATCCCAATAGATTCATTTTCACTTTGTGAATTATTTTATTTAATATCTAAATTAAGTTATTTTGTATAAGTTTATTTTTAAATGTCATACGCTAATTAATATATTCTTTTAGACAATACATGTTAGCCCAGACAGTCCAACAGATCTTAGGATTTTAACTAGATCAGAAAGTTTTGCTGGTGATGCTCAAATTATTCAGAATTTACAAAGGCTGTCATTTAATAGTGGTGGTAAGTTTTTTGTATTTTATTAATTTTATCTATTCTACATTTGTTAAAATTATTAGGATTTAATTCATACCTTTTTTTTTAATTTGGCTATTAATGTATGTATGTATATCTTATGGAGTAAACATCAGCTAAGAAAATATTTTTGAAAATATGAACTTAACGACATCACGTCTTAAGCCATAACCGCAAACAATATGTATATACAACGATAATATCATTCCATCACGATAATGTCGCTCTTGTACTTTCTGAGGAAGAATTCTATAGAACACAAATAAGTTTTAAAAGTACTAAAGTATACTATTTTCCTGTAAGATAAAGACTCTTGTGTAAAGATATATAGTTTAGTATAGAAACTATTTATCATAAGAATATAGCCAGTTTTAGAAGTTTTTTCATTTTGAGGTTTTCCCGAGTAATTTGTCTACAATTCTATTGTTCTTTAGGTACAACGAATAGTAAGTCGCGATGTAGTCGGACTCTAAGTTTCCCGGAGGAACCGGACAAAGAGGCAGCTGCGACTGAATCCCTGGAAAAGGCTAAAGATTCCCCACTAAAGTGAGTACCAATTTTGAAATCCCTACATATACGCAATAATATAAATACATAAAATATTTTTTGGATGAAATATAAAGTGTTTCATAATGTGCATAAAAGATAGGTTATTGGAAGTTAATAAAAAATATTTATACATGTGGATATTCTATTTAAGTAAATAATTTTTAGCCGCTTATATTTTCCCCTACCCTCCGTTAAAGATTCAGAATCAATTGAGTGTAGAATTGGCAGGGTTTACTCTCGCCGTACTTTCATAAAACTGACTTCTTTATAATAATTATACTATATTTTCAGGGTGTCGCCCCGTACGCCAGTTCTTGCAGACGACCCACTGGGCGCTCTAAACCTGGCTCCCACATCACCAGAAGCACCTCCCCCGCCAGCAGAAGAGCCACCGTCGCCGTCACCGCTACGACACGAGTACAGCGTCAGCCCAAAGCTGTTCCACCGCCGTTCCTCATTCCAGGACGACACGCCTGAACCGCAAGGGTATACACCTTCCTTGAATGTTGTTCTTCTAGAGTAGATAATCGTGAAATCAATCTGTATGAGATGTTTATTTTTGATAAAAGCAAAAGAAAAGAACGAAACAAAATAAAACATTCCTTAATAATAATTCTGCAAGGGATCTAGGAGTTACTATTAATGTGTACTAAAATTGACTTTATATAATTCGTCGACTTTAAAAGACTTTATCGATTGAATCATAATATTATACGTAAATTTAATCGACAATATAAATATGACAAAATAAAAACATTAAACCTGTAAAAAGTTATATTTATATATATTTTTTTATTTTATCCAGAAATTTGGATTGCCTGCTTAGACACAATCCAATAATACATTATAGTGCCAAAGAAAAAATGTCTTAACTTTTGTCTATAGTTGAATATACATTTCTTTATTATAATATATTATACATAAGTGCACTTATCACTAGTAAGTTATATAATTTCTCCTTAACCCCATCCAACATCCAGTCCTCCTTTGACTGTACACCCGCTAATGTACCTTTTATCGCTAGTGCTGCCCCCTTTCGGAGCAAGATAACCTCGATAGTTTCCTCCTCGTCAGGAAACTGCACAGAAGTGAGACGGCGCCGGGTGGCACTGTATCATCTAGTCTCGCCACGCTCGGGAATACACTCAAAATTAACTTTGGGTAAGTTGACGTTAACTGATGTAAAAAATTTAGTTTCAAGCATCAATGTATATTTTTAAACAAGCTATGTGTATATGTTTATCATAATAACAGAGAAATCAAGCTCCAACCCTTAAATATTATTCTTATACAAATTATTATTAGATTTATGTATATGTATTGATATAAAATTTCCGTTTATTTACCACAATAATAACTCTGTAAATGTATCTAATAATTTTAACTATAATGTTGGAATAATAATGCTCGTACATTGATGCTTGGAAAAATTGGTAATTATTGTCTTAGAAATTTAATGGAATCATTAAGAAATCTGGGAATTATCACTAGCAATTTGTTTCACAAATAATCACATACCTATTATGTTATGCAATTTAGGCATGTTTCATTTATCATATTTGGTTTTTGCTATAAATGTTTTATTAAATAGTTATACAGCTACTATTTTGGGTCTATGTTATTGCTATTCATGAAACCAAAATATTTCAAAAAGGGCATATTACAAGTCAACTAAACGTTACATATTAATATTATACATTTATCATTTTATTTGTACATTTGATATAGTATCGTGCTAGTGCTTCCCATACCGTAAGCCCAATAATTAAATGTAAAGAATATTTTAGTGTTTTAACATTCAAGTCGATTTCTCAATAAAAAAATAATAATGGTATTTTTAGGAATTACAGTTGGAACTGTTAAAATAATAGCACTACCAATTATGTGTATTTTGAACACAATATTTTTAAAATAATTGTATCCTAGGGTAATATTTTTTTTTTATTGTACTAATCTCAGTTTACCTCATGGTCGACTGGGAGAAAATGCCATATGGTGTTAAGTCCACCATTTGCACCTGCACATGTATTTCTACATTAAAGTTTTAATAAATAAATAAAATATTTCTGTATTTTATAATTACCTTTATCGTACATGTATTGTGTAAAAAATATATATCTGAAGGTCAAAATTAACATTTGTGGCTTAAAAACAATAATTCTTTATTGGATAATATTCAAATGACTTTCAATTGAAGTAAGAAGTAATTTATTAAATTATACAGTTACTTAATTTAAACTTTATAGCAATATCTGTCTTCAATTTAGCTTGATATGGGATAGTCAGAATGAATAACTAACATTCAAAGCTTAGTTCTAAATTGAGAAATCGTACTTTTAGCCCAATATTGCTGGTTTTATAGTAGAGTTAATTAAAATAAATATATATGTAACATACACCCATATAGTATAAACACTTGTACATATTACAAACGCACTCAATGTCACAAGTCTGCTAGCTTGTTTGTTTTCTTAGACGCTATTCGCCAGCCAGACTGTCCTTGCGAAAGGAAAACATGAAAATCGGAAAAGCAATGATCGAGACCTATTTCAGGTAAGAGAAAACACGCTTCTCAGACATTTATGTGTTTTAAATTTTGTCCTAATGCCAGTTTACGTATTATACATATTTTTCAATGACTTAGACGTGGTAGCGTTGAGAAGAAATATCTTAATGTTATAAAGCAGTAATTTTTGATTTTTTATATATAAACAAAAAAAAAGACAGCTTTATATCAATAAACTTAAAATTTTCTTTTACCTATAGACAGTTACAGCCAGTAACATTTATATTAATAATAATAACAAATGAGACTTTCTCATTACAACAGACATACTTTATGTCTGTTTGTTATTTTTTCACGACTCACGGCATAATGGATATTAATAAAATTTGATGTGAAGATAGATTGTATCATGAAACTCTATCTTATTCTATAATTAAAAAAAAGTCAAACTAAGCTCAGTCTAAGTTACGGGATACTGTTAGTCTAGTCATAAAATTGGAATCCATATTAATATGAATATTTCGTTTACTATAATAAAACATAACGTTGGTTATAAAAAGGTACAGTAACTACCTAAAAGGAAAGACTTTGCAGGATATTAGGATATTAGGACATACTGCGCCGATGAAAACATAGTAACTTTCATACATAATGAATTTATACACAGACAAACATTAAAAATCTAAACTCAATACAAAAATATATGCCTTATCATATAGGTTGTAAGTTAAATCACACAAAAAATATCGCACCCTTAATAAATAAATTAGCTACAAATTACAAATTGTGAGGAATCGACTCTTAATTTTTAATTTTAAATTTAATTCCAAATAAAATGATGTTAATGTAGTAGTCCATTAAGCGTGTGATACTAGCATAAAACCATTGACTTCCAATCTTGATTTGCATTCGTTGTAGTGGCATGACTGGAACACTTAATTTTATTTTTGCGAATTTAAATCTTTGTACCCATTGATTAGAAATAAAGCATGAATTTTATTACAATGTGTGTGGCTTGGTTACTAAAAAGGATCAAAATTTTCATTCCCGCATAAATTAGGATGTGCACGTTACCGTTTAATTGTACTTGTGAAGTCAGAATACATTTATTTCATGCTATGTGTCATGCCAGCTTTGCATGCCTGTTTTTTTTTCGGACTACTGGTACTGACTACTAATGCTGTTGGCCGCAGCTGGCCTTTTTTGGCTTCATCGGACGTTAGGGGGCGAGTATAGACGGCACTCCAAACCCGCGGAGGGGCATATGGAGCGGCTAAAGGCAACTCCTGCCTGACGGATAAGACTTTAGTCTGAGGGCATCACTAGGGGTTCGAACCTCGGCTCAGGCCATCGTAATATCGATCCCCGTTTGAATTGGACGGGGGATCGATCGGAGGGGCGGCCAGCTTTTGTCGTATGGATATAAATGGATTTTCCCTCTGAGCTGTTACGATCAATCAAAAGATTAGAATTTTAGAATGTTACTCCCCAACTGTTTTGAATATGAAAACTTGCAATATTTTATCCGATTAAAAAAATCTTTACTATGTTTGGATACAATATATTTTATATTGTAATAATGTTAGCTGTTAGTTGTGGTATGGTGAATGAATTACTGGAATTGTCCAGTTTATGCTGGGTATATTTGAATGTAATACGGTAGGTAACACTCGGACTAATTTAATTTATTATTGCTATTTCCATCACTGAAGTGACAAATTTTTTGAAGTCCGTCATATTCGTATTAATTACCTTTTACTGTAATTAGGTTTGTAAACCACTAGTCCACGGCGCTATTTATGGTTTTACTAGACTTATACTAAATAACAGATAAATTTTTCAGTCCCTCAAGTATAGCGGGAAAGAAATCGAATGAACTTCTACAAAGTGGGCTGAGCAGCCTCAAATCGGCAGCAACGAGTGTGGCGAAGAAGTTTGACGAAATGAAAGAAGTTATATCGGCGAATTCAACGCCGGTAAAAGGGACCATTGGTAATTACGCCACCAGTGCATTAAACATCCTGATAGCTGAAGAGGACTCGACTGACGGCTCATCAGAAGTAACTACTGACGGTGAGTACGGAGATATTGTTTTTATGTTTACTCAGTTGTACAAGCAGGGCATTTCACTCATGTTTGAATGATTAGATCTTTAATTTTGGAAGTACAAGATGACGATATAAATCAAGCCTAGCGTTGCCACATGAGCGACATGTCGATTAAGCTATTTTTATTCACAGAGTGGAATGGCACTACATCGTTCCCGCGCGCTTCCAGCGACGCCGAACTTGCATGTGCGATGGAACGTGGCTCGCTCGCTACACTTCTCTCGCATTTACCCGATAATCTTTACCCCACACATAACGTAAGTTTATAATCTGAGTGAGAAGTTCTATATTTTAAAAGCTAGAATAGTTTCTTTGTTTTCTTTTATAATTGCAATATTTTGTGTACTGCAGCAAAGTCTAAACTAAGCGAGTACTGTGAACGTTATACTTATACGATATATGTGCTAATCTTATGTTAAATATGCTTTGAAAATTATTATATGTGTTTCAGCTTTTAATCTTGCGTCAATACGAATTTATTTACCAAACATAGGATAGCTCTATATTGACGTTTTGTTCCCAGGAGCAAAGTACGCAGACCCCGGTTAGCGTGGTAGTTCACATGTCGTCATGCTCGCAATGCCACCAGTGCTTGGCGCTGCTGTATGACGAGGACATAATGGCGGGTTGGGCGGCCGACGACTCGAACCTCAATACCCGCTGCACTGCCTGCGGTCAACACACTGTGCCACTGCTCACTGTCCAGGTCATATATCTAAGTTTCATTTAATAAAGGTTTTTGCAAATGCTTTGCATAGAATTGAAATACTATGCAAAGCATTTGCAAAAACCTAATAAAAAAAGTAGTCAGGAATTTTGGTGGAAACAGTTGTAGTGTATATTTACAAGTATTTTCACCAAAATACACGTAGCAAGATATTTTGTAAAAGCAATGGGGTGTTAGAATTACATCTTTTTGTTTTCAGATAATTCGTACTAATCAAACACAAACCGAAGTGTTGAACGTGCCTTATTTGAATCCTCTCGTGCTGAGGAAAGAGTTTGAATCTATTCTAGGTAAACCAACTTGTTACATTTCTTAAAACATTTGTACATGATTTATGTATGTTTTCTATATTGTTTTTCTATGTATTTTGTATTTCTTGTACAGGTAGAGAAGGTGATGCGTGTCTCTCGGAAGCTGATTTCGTAGAATCGCATCCAATTGTGTATTGGAATTTGGTATGGTTCCTAGAACGTGCCAATATTGAGAACCATTTGCCTGAATTGTTATGTCCCGATTATCAGTCCAAGTATCAAAGTTCCGACGCTTTGACTGACGTCGAGAAATTAGGTAAGTAAAGAAATAAATAATCTAATAAATACAAAAGTAATCCTGCACAATTAACACAATATCATCTAGTCCCACGGTAAGCAGAGCTTATGTTATGGGTACTACTGGACAATTGATATAAATATTTAGATATTTTTTTGTGAGAATACGTATACATAATATATATGAATTTTACTGTAATTTAGTTAGTGTTAAATGAGAAATACGTATTTGAGACAAGAATTTCAATGAAGTGATTCTAACAGGCTGCAGCGTCCAATGCAGCTGGGATGTAAGCCGCCTGCACAGTGAAGCGGGCGCAGCGCTGTATCGAGCGTGGCGAGCTCGCCGCACACACACGCAGCACTCGCGAGCGCTTCAAGCGCTTTTACTCACCGAGCACCACGCCAATGCCACTCACTCGTAAGTACTATTGTTAACGATTGGGTAATCTATAGTCGCGGGTATCGATACATATAAATCATTGAATTCATTCGTACAATGGTATAGAAAATTCTTAATTTAAGTAAATAGTCATAGTTATTTTTTTAATCTATCGCTCTTTCTGAAAGCTGTTTTTTATCGGCATACATACTACACATATATGAGACGAGTTAGGAGCCGATTTTATATTCATAACAATAAGGTTTAAATTATTTTGATGACGAATTTACATTCGGTCTAAATTCGTGTAAGGTAATTTATGGATTGAAAAAATATATATAGAAAGAAAACATCCAGATCGATAAAAATAATCATCATCACAAGTAAAACGGTGTGTAAAACCGCTAGACTAAGGATGTCGTTATGAAAGTAAACTGTGTAGATACGTAGATATATAAATGAATTGTAGGCTGTATTTTATCTTTTTCATTACAGTGTGGCATTAACCGTGCTTAATGGCTTGCTAAGCAATGACCTATCCGATGCTCTGCGTAAACTTGCGTCTTGGCGGGAAACCACTTCTGGGAACAAACGGTACCACTCGTTCTACCGGTAAGTAGATACTTTTGCAATATTAGTACACACGTTTTACTTGTTATTGTAAGAGAGACGTTTGCATAAAAATGGCAAATGCACTTTATGAATTAATTCTATTTTTAATACTACTGTTAAAAATAGAATTTTTACCAATGTATGGTAGAATTAGTTCTGTTCATATATTTTTTTATTTCTAAATATTAATACGTTAGCAAAAGCTTTGGACGCTTTTTTACGAATATGAAATTTCGCACACTTATAATTAATTTTGCTCGAATTTCGACCACTAGGAGACCTACTAGTGTACAATAAATATGTCGTCAAAATTGTTATCCCAGAGGTGTCAGGTAAACGACATTAGTGAAATCATCTGACTTCCGTGATACAGTCCATGTATTGCCATTCCAAAGGACTATGATATTATGCATTTCTTGTCCTATAATTACTGGAAATGTATGGAAGTCACTACTATAACATATATATGTCGCATCAGGTGTAGTATCTTGAGCCGACATTGTAGGGTGGCGTTGATAATAACGATGAAGATATCAAATAATAGACGGATAATAGGTTTTACTCGATTTTTTTTATTCTAAAACTAAAATCACTCAACGCGTACAGTTCCCAGGCAGATTTATCTTCGACCGCTCCTCGCAATTTATTGAGACAACTTTTCTGTTCGTCGTCCGGACTCCATACAGTGCCATCTAGTGGCACTTCCTTTCTATAATAATATTATTATAGAGAGCTCTGTCATAATCGGAAATTGCGACATATATATCTATACAAAAATTACATTCTACTTCCAGATTACAATAATTACATAATATTTCCAGAGACATCCTGTTCCTGGCAATGGCAGCTCTGGGGGAGTACAACATAGATCTAGTCGCCCTACAGAGAGAATATACACGAGCTCTCGAACAGCTCGGCGACGAGGTACGACCTCAAGACCAACCGCCTTCTCCCACCGCCGTCTGCTGCAGGCACTACTTCAAACGACTGGCCCTCGCATTCGAGGAATGATACTTACTTTTACTTTAGAATTACAGTACATCTGCATGCAGCGCATTATTGAAATAACCAGCGGTATTTGTACTTCTCACGAAGGTACCGATTCCGAAGAGACACTCTCTAAATCAATCGCTAAATCTGAAATTTTGATTTGTGACATTGCCTAAGGTATTATTATCATTATTAATTTTGACTTAAAAAGACGACATGAATTAATAATGATTTGTCTTTAGCATGGTAATTTGAATATTTAATTTTAGAGAATGGTAATTTTCAATCGAATTGACTATTTTAAGGTGAGTTTAGTATATAAAGAAAGAGCACAGAACAAAATTTACTTTATAGAGCCAGGTGGGTTTGAATTAAAACACTATTTTTCAATCTTTTTAGAATCGCGACCCACTAAATAGTAGAACAGTAAAATGTGACAACATTTACTACAATACGTTCAAGACACTGTAAAGTTTAAAGTTTATAATTTACCTTAATCTTAGTGGTTGTTGTAGTATTCGTATGTAGTCATACATAATTATTTTGAGATATCCATCATAACACTAGGCATTTACTGCAGTTTTCTTCTTCATTTGCACAGAGTGAAATAAAATTTTAAAGAGAATATTGTATTTCTATTGATCGGAACACGAAATTATTCCACTAGTGCAACAAATCGGATGTGAATTAATGTTGTAAACCCAAACGAAGCAAATAATGTATAATTTGTTTGTGATTTTTTACATATCGACCCTAATTAAATTAGTTACATTTTCGTGCCATTAATATTAGTTCCTTTCATATTAGTATACATGGTACATACACATTTTTATTGAAATTAGAGTGTTCTATAGGACTGTATTACCTGTCAAAAATAACACAATGTATTTTATAAATTATACTAGTGATTAGCATACTGGAATATAATTGCACTTCGAAAGATTTAGCAACAATTTGATATGTACGGTTGTGAAGTTACAACTTATCAACCCTTAAAACAACAGCAATTGCCTGCTACTTCGTCCGCGTGAAATTATTTTTATTAAAATAAATAAAATTTTTAAAATAAATGTTGCCTAAATTACTTCTTAGAACTCTTAGAGCTCTCTGCAAGTCAAAATCGGTCCAGCTGTTTCAGAGATTATGAAAAAAGACATATTTTTTTAAATAAAATTTTGATGTATTCAAGATCACTCATACTCTATCTATCTATCTACCAGTAACATTCTATTTAACGTTTTAGTTATAAAACCGCAAAAGTAGTTGATTTTTTGAGAGGTAATGCAGATGTTGTTTACTTTATGAAACCTATTTTAATCTAAGATATTTTTATACGTAAATTGCAGAGATGAAGTCACTCGTATTATAAAGACATTGCAAAGATATAAACTGCTTAAGAATGAAATACTTTATGTGTGTGTGTCTCTTAACACAACCTGGGTTGGAAAAACGTCATTATTGAATAAATATATTCCATAATGACGTTTAATTATACATTTAAGTTTCAATTATGTAAAAGAAAATATCGCGTCAGTGCCGTCCATACAATTTCACGCGAAAATAAAGTATGCCATTTGAATCCGACGAACTTCTACAGCCCGTCCAATTTGTTCGGGATACTCAGTTTGGTATTGCTCCACGTATGAATAAAAATAAATAACTGAAGTATCGTGGAAATTAATAAAATTCAATCAAAAACTATTAATATGAATTTAGATATTTGAAATATTGGTAGGTTTGATAATATAAATAAAAGTCGTTATCCATTTCGCCCACTTATATTTATTTGACAGATATTGCTTGTGACGCAATGTTTGTGTATATACAAAAAAGTATTCGTAAAAAGCACATTGAATATAGTATTTTCATTATCAGTGTGTTTTATCACTTCTTATCAAAGCTATTTTAGAAATTATTAAACATTTCAATTGTAAATTTCAGTGTTTTCACTTCAATAAAAGAAATTGTTTTTATGTATAAAATATATATTACTAATTAATTATGAAGTAATTTGATTGCTGTTTCTTATATTAATCATTCTGATTTTCGCATATCTATTAGTTTAAGAATGTGGGTGCTACAGGCAACTGTATGGGTTGAAACACGAGTGTACATAGTATTGTTGTATATTGTAGATTAAGAGCCTGTACGGCTGTATTCAAGAGTTGTAGATTTTTTGCTTAATTGTGTGATGTTAGTGACACAGTTAAATTCGTAAACGAATCGTAGGATATGTTTGTTATTGAGTGTGTTCACAAGGTCGCATTATTTGTCTTTTTTTTTGCCATCAAAGTATTATCGAACTTTGTTCATCTGTAAGTAATGTTATTATTATTATAAATTCAGAATAACATAATAATTCATTCCAGTAGTTTTTTTTTTATAATTAATAATACTATTTAGATTAATAAATTTCCTTTATGGTTCACTAAATATTAAATCTTCGAAGACGATAATGTGACTGCCAAAATTCGAAAGTATTTATAGGTGTCAAAAAAATAATTAACTTTAATAAATATGATAAAATCATGTTATTCATTTAATGTAACATTAAAGTTACTGACCACTCCAGTTTCTTCACTAATTTGATAACAATTGGTATTTCACCTGACAATGAGTGATATTTACTACACTGTATAATTGTTTTAAAAATGTACTCTCATACTATGTAACTTATGAATTGCAAAATCATAATTAAAATGTAGGCCTAATCAATAATATAATTACAAATTATATTTTTGTTAATTTCACGATAGCAATAAAGTAAAACTACAAATTATGTAATGTTAGTACACAGTTAAGACTCGAAAAAATTCAACTTTTTCAGTAATATGAAGACTTGTAATCATATATTAAACTATATTATATGGAGCAATGATACTCATAATAATAACCATATATCATAGTAGGTTATAATTGTTATTCATCAAAATTTAGTTTAAGTCTACAGAATTGATTACAACAGATTTATATTACTCGTGTATATCAGATTAAATATATATATATATATATATGTTTTTTTTATAAGGCTAGTTAAAAATGCGCTATTGTTCAGTAATTATTTTGCTAAAGTACTCAACACCCGAATAAATTATTTTAGCAGTGGAAACTAAGCTATATAATTTACATGTTGTGATGTACCAAAACATTAATATTTTAAATTTACATTTAGAATTTTCCTTTTGTTTTTAATTAGCCATGAGAGACACTATTTATTTAGTATAGCCTCGTAAAGTGATCATTTTATAGGCCATATTTTTTATTCCATACATGTAATGTACAATGGTGATATCAAGACATTAATGTATTTTTAAAATAATATTGCTGTATTTAATGTGGAGTCAGATCACATACACATACTAATGGGGAATGATATGCAATCCACACAATATGCATACTTTTATTATATATAAACTAGTTGTGTATTAGTCATATTGGTTGAAATTGGTTATTTTATTTTGGACAAATGAAATGCATATAATTTTTATAAAAAATATATAAGGCTTCAATTCTATTTGTTTTATTTAAAGTGCTATTTTATGACATCACAATTTAAGACATACCTACAACTCTATACAAAAATCTACCATCATGATCATAATAACAGTCATTTATTTTATATGTTGCATTTTTTTTGTACGCTTTCTTGGGGATCCTAATTCTTTCGGGATAAGATCCAAAATTAAATATATTTTTTTCTTTTTCTTTATATTCACTAATTTCTTTGTCTTCATTATTTACTTCATACAATTGTATTTCTTTGTGTAATTTTTCTGAATTCATTTCAGGCATATTAGAATTAATTGTATTTAAAATATTTTTATCAGGTTCATTGATATCTTTGCCATCTTCTAAACGTTTTTTTATTCTTTCTGTTAATTCATTTAAAGTAATTCTTTTGAGGTCACTTCTTTGTTTACTTCCATTAGTGTGGGTTTCTTGTTGTCCAATATATTTATGATTACCTGTATTTTCACAGTTCTCCTTGGCCGCGCACCTTTGAATGATACTTTCAAACTCACCCATTTGTTCCTCAGTTACATTAATTTTAATTGATGTTTTGTTTAGTGGTGGAATTGTCCTTTCAGAAAATTTAAGAAAATGTTTATACAATTCATCTGGTATGTCTAGTGTTCTTTCTTTGATTTCCTTCCAGTTCCTCATAGCTGAAGCATCATGGCGTGCAATACGCTGTTCTGTTGCTGGCTTCCATGGATACTTCAATAGTTTCTGTAATATATTTTTAAAAATAAACGGCATTATAACATTTCCATGTTACTAGTAAACTACAATACTAATGGTGGTAAAGAAATTTCTTAGTAATCTAAATATTTTCAACCTGGTGGTCTCTCTTACTAATGTAAATAAAATATTTTCAAAGCTGTTGCAACAAGCACAAGCTGTTTTTTCTTTTTCATTAATTACATCGCCATTTTCAGTAATTTTAAATATCACATTTTAATTGGCCAAATATCATATTTTAATACTAAAATTAAAATCAGATGTCACAAAATCTAAGATGAGGTGTGACTTATATGTGATTTATCTTACATGAACTTTATGACTTAAAATTCTTTGTTATAAAATGCCACACTATACTATGTGCACTGTAGCATGGTGCGGGTGACAGTGGCCTGTATTTATATCTTGTAGACTAGAACATTCTGGCCGAGTTGAATATAAGTCATTACAGTTATTTATGATTTAATATATTACGAGTGCTACAATTGTAACAATAAATCATAATTTCTTAACTTCCAAATTGTGGCAACTTTCAAGAGTGAAACGAAACATACAGAAACTCGTCCGCACCATACTACAGCACATAGTCAACCCTTCTTTCCCCTTAATGTACCGTAATTAATGGATGCCTAATAAAAGATAAGACAAATCTCCAAATTTTGTAAAATAAAACAATACCTTCACTACAGGAACTGTGACTGGAAAGCTTTCCGCTAACCTCTCAGGTGTCCATTCCTCAGGTTGTGTATTAGCCAAATGACGTATTTGTTCCTTCTCACTCCATGTCAAAAGATTGGGCATATTTTCCTTGAAATATTTTTCTTTAACAATTTTATGTCTTAATTCATACTTCCCTATAAGTGTTTCATTCAGATGCTCATTGTAAGTCTCGCCCATCTGAAATAATTATGTAAAATTTAATCAGTATTCAGTAAGTGTTAAGAGCCAGCTTATTTTAGAACCATTGTAATACTGTTGGTAACAGTCAGCCTTTACATCATCAGCATAAACAACAGTAATTTTCAGATTTTACTAAACAGACATCCTACTTGTGAGCTGAAATATCCATAGTAGATTATTAAAAATAGAAAATACTCTTCAATTTATTATTTTTATTAATTTATTTACTAGGCTACATAAAGTAACCAGGCAAGAATTAACAATGTTCATTGGATTAAAATATTGTTGGTTTAAATAGTATTGGTTTTCCCTATACTTCAATTGTCATTAACATTGTTTTGATAAAGCTGAAAATTAGATACTCCATAATAATTACATACATTATAGAAATCGCTTTCAGATTGTTCGATGAATTCTTCGGCGTCATCGTCCGTGACTTGAAAACCGTCTTCTCTAAATGCTTTAATCCTATTGTCCAAACCTGGATTCTGTCCTAGACCTCCATCTCTTAGTCTTCTATTTCTTAAACTCCGAATTATTATCTTATCACAAATGTGATACCATGGTCTTAATTTAACGGCGAACATATTATAAATTACAATATGTAGAACAAAAATATTAGATTATAAAACAAAACCAAACATCTCATTGCAATTTTAACAAAAACATAACCTCAAATCTGCGTAATGACATAATAGTGCTCAGCTGACTCATAAAAAACCGGACATACATATAAGAATCGTAATTTTTTTTTAAATATTTAATCCAAGTATTTCATTCAATAAAATTATAAATAAAAGAGTCAAGTTTTGTTTTCAGACATAAAAGTAAAAATATTTTCAAAAATATAATTATTTAACAACATATAGTAAGAATATACCTAGTAATTTATTTCTGACTCGGACATTACATAAAACAGTTTTACTTTCCATTTTACTGTTTAAAATATTTCTAGTTTTTACGCCTTTATGTACTAACTAAATTGATTCTTTGTATATCATTATTACATCGTAACAAAAATTATGTGACTTTTGAATTCAGATAATTTTATGATAAAACCGGTAATATAGACTAAAGGATTCTTTAAGAACTAAAGACTAGGAGTACTCTATAAAGTACGTGATTTTCTAAGTGAGAAAATGCGTAATCACTCTATGTGATTTATTAGTTCTGTCTAAACTCAATTATGCGGACACAGTCTATGGAGGCTGTCTATTAAATCGTACAAAAATAATAATACAGCGCGTGCAGAATGCATGCGCACGCTTCTGCTTTTCTATACCCCCCCGTGCTCATTTTACTCCCTATATAAATCAATGCAACTGGCTAAAAATGGAACACAGACGATCTCTACATTTAGCAGTATTGCTTTTTGGAGTGGTGAAGTATAAAAAACCAATATATTTATTTGAAAAACTTTCATTTTCTATGCGAAATCATCGATTGTCACATCCCTACATGATCTATCCTCAATATAAAACTGCAGCATTTCGTGGAAGTTTTAAATATACTGCCACGAAATGCTGGAACAATTTACCACCCCCGCTTCAAAATACTATTCAGTCAGTTTCGTCTTTTAAACATAATTTTAAAAAATATTTACTCAAAGTACAAAAATTTTAAACGTGGCAGATAAATACAGTATTTTTATATACATATATATTGATTAAATAAATAAATATATTCAAGATACTTATTACACAAGTCTTTCTATCAACACTTTTTTATCCTTATATATTTTTCTTCTATTTTTATTTTCCATTTAACTGATTCTTCATTTTAGATATTTGATTTGAATTTATCAAATGCTATTTCTTTTTTTAAAGTGGCTCCACTGAAAATCAGCGCTGTACTGATACGCTGCGGCACCAGCTGAGTGGAAGCCTTTTCAGCATAGCGAATTATTAGTTTTTAAATTTTCTTTTTTATCGTACGCTTTTTTATGCTGAATAAATGATTATTATTATTATTATAATCTTTTTTTTAATATAAGATAAGTAATTCAGTTCGGTGCGCTAATCAAGGAAGAAATGTCAATCCTTATTTTCTTGTTGATCCCGAGAAATGTCAATGTCAGTTCTTAGCAAAAAATGTTAGGAGATTGGCGGAAACTTTGATAGTCAATGGCACCTTTTTCAAAATATATTTCGTGTTATTTATCTTTCTTACTACTCATAAATGGTTTATAATTGGATAATAAATATGGCAAGACAGGATAAGCCGAAGAAACGAAAAACGAACATTGAGGAGACCACAGAGCAAAGAAATAAAGTAGTTCTACTTTTTTTTGTTCTGTTGAGGAGACTATGTAGACACGGAGTACTTCTGAATCCTTTGATTCCGATTCTATAAACATAATATAATTATATAAGAAAATATTCACATAATATAAACATACACATGATCAAAGAAATCAAACAATTACAGAAAAATACTGCTTGGCTGTGGACGGCTCGTTTTAGGAAAAGAAAAAACTAATAGAAAAAATATGTTCATTGCAAGTTTTCTAAAATATCTAATGACACAAAAAAAGACTCTTTTTAAAAAAATGACATAAAAAAAGAATTGTTCATAAAACCTCAACATAGGCAGATCAAAAACGTAAAATATTGTATCACGAGCCTACAGCATCTATGATCCATCAATAGATGTATACAGTATTACTTTAAAATGAAATTAAATCAGAAATATTTATAAGCAATTTAGATAATAATATTGCAGTAAACAAAAAGTTCATAAGAGATATTTTAAATAAATTCAGTTGTTATTTAGCACCACAAGCCACCAAGAATAATATATTAAAAAAAAGGATGATCTTATGAACATAATTATTTTATTTTTGTTTTATACATACTGTGCTAATAATTAATACGATTAATTATGTTTTTTTTTTAAATGGGTTCCTACTACTTAGTATAAAATAGTAGTAGTGGTTTTCTCCCTGGAAACCACTGTGATAAATTCCTGGTTAATTTTCCACAATAGGCTAACTGATCTGACCCGCTTATTTTATCATCCTCCATTGGTGCTCCGCCATAGTAAACAGTTAGTACAGGCGGGTGTACCATACCATTATCATCCTAACAAAAACTACTACCTAGTTGAACTATACTAAACACATCCATGAAGTGACACGTGGAGTTGTATGTAATAAATAGTTTTGATTGCGATTGACACTACATATAGCTGTAATTTATTGTAATATATCTATTGAACGAAACTTGAATTTCAAATATGGGAGTGGATGCTAAAGTTGCGTTACTTTATGTTAAGCGTTACATTCAATGACACAGTTACAAGTTGGTCGTTGGTTGCACCAACTGCTCCAACAGTTCGGTTCGTTGACGCGCGCGCATTTAAAACGACAACTCGGTCTTGGTGATATATGAAATTATATTTATTTTGTTACTTCGATTGAAGTTGCACAATTTATTACTTAATACTTATTTGGAGTAGTAAAAAAGGTACGTTGGTGTAGAGTAAGTTGGTTGTTAGTGATATAAAACTAGCAATTACAAAAGTAGAAGTTAAATAAAACTTTGTTACATAGAAAGTTGATTTTAATTTTTATAACTCACATTAGCGCAATTACTACCTGTGATATATTATTTAATTAAAAAATAACCCTATGTATGTATATTGTATATATTATTTACGTGTGTATATGATATTGATTTTGAGTTTAGAAATTTAAATAACATACGGCGACAGCGTAAAAATTATACATGTGAAACTATTTTAAGCTAATAATACTACCATTTCGTAATTACACTTAAGATAAATGCAATTAAATGAAAACTGTTTACTCTCTTAAAATTAAATAAATATAGGTATATGTATACATATACAGAAAAATTATATTGTCTATAGACTTTATACCTATTTATCCAAACTGCATTACAAACTATACCCACAATTTAATTAAAAATCCCAACCAACGAAGACTCTTTACACTTAGTACTTACCTAATTGATTGCATCAGAGATATTACTAGGTAAATATTTGCTATTATTTAATCGATAAATGTGCAAAACAAAATGGAAACACAAAGTAGAGTTTATTTAAATAAATCTGACTCTGAATATATTCTCACATAAGCTCTTCTTCTGCTTTCTCCGCAAACGGCGTGTGTCGTAAAAACCTGTCATCAAAAAACAATCAATTTTATAGTATGGGACAATACGTGATAATTAAAGAATAATTACTTGATAATAATCATTAATAATGGTGTTCATATATATGATATATACGACCATAACGATTATCAATATATAATATTACGTGTATCGCGTTTACACAAAATATTATAGCATTGATGTATTTGTACACAAGTAACGTAGGTGCTTACTAGATATAGTATTGTATTGATAAATAAATATTTATATAGTTATAACTTGATGCTAATGATTTTTTCACACCTCTTATTCGTCATCTTAATTTGATAATCACAACAAAAAACAAACATTATTAGTAAAACATCGAATGTACATCGTTTCTTCATGGCTTCACGGATTAGACGGATAAAATTTAGTTCATAGATTATATCGTAGATTAACATATAGGATCCTTATACCCGGATTCAAATGAAACAGTTGGATCGTGGGACGATGTTGATGTAAAAATAATATACCGAGGAAAAAATGTTTGTGAATGATTTTGGGACTTGGACTTGGATATGACACTCTTTATCGATATACGTTAACTATTTCACATGAGGGGATATCGGTAACTATGAGGATAAATTCTTCTTATATGGCACATTGAACTCATAAACATTATAAAAGAAAGGAGGCGAAGGGGATGGCCTAGACTTAGTTACATCAGACAGATTAAGGAAAATGTTGGAATCAAGGTGTAGAGACTCGTTGAATTGCATAAGTTTATTGGTGAACGGCATAAGTTCCACTGAAAGGACCATAGTTCCTAAATAAATTTAATTGTACATATTGTATATATATTACATATACCATAGTTTTGTCGTAGATTGCAAGTACCTATATAACCAGGACCCGTAACCATATTTTACAGAGTTCTAATTCTGGCTAATTAGAAAATAATTAAACCCTAACAACTGTTTTCCCAAATGCAACAGTTAGAGCCACTATCGACTGTCGACGTTGTGGTGAATGCAAAATGTGATATACCCTCATTTCTCTGGGACCTTTGGGTATATTTGAAAATGAAAAATATATTTATACCTACTATATTTTTGGTGATATCTATTTGCGTTGAAATTAATGAGTAATTTTTGATAGCAACAAATTTACGAAAGAAGTTATTTGGCTGTACGATTCTATGATCAGAAATACAGGTAGGTAATCAATTATTCGACTTAATTAGTAATTATGCAGATATAGACTCAGTTGAGTACATTTTGTTACTTAGCATGAAACATGCATAAGTTGTTTTGCTCATAATTAACTATTACCTACTCGACCTAGAAATCAATGTATAATATCTACGTAATATTAATAAGGTCTAAATATAGAAGCAATTAAAAATAGAAATACAGTAATATCGAATGTTATTATTAGTTTTACTTCCTAATTCGTCTGCGTGTCCAGAATATATGTAGAATATATTGACGAGAATGGAAAGGTCATATATGCCATTTTCCATTACGTATAAAACAAGTACATAGCTATGCATAATTATAACGCAAGGATAGATTACCGACGTCTTTTGGATTAATTTGTTTCATTTTTAATTTGTGTAATTTTATCATTATAGAAGAGTCAATCAGAAATATATTGACATACAAAATTTGTTCTTGGTATCGGACAAATTCAAACACATAACTATTAAGGCCTCTATTAATTAAAATACTCATATTGTTATTATTAATGAGAATTTTTGCTATCTCTCTGTTTGTTACCGTTTAATGTTAAACGTATCTAAACTAAATTTGACGTGAAGATAATTTGGATCTTGAAAGGTACGGAATCCCCAATTTCACACCTTTCCATATCATTTTTTGATTAATGTTTACAGATGGGATGAATGTGTACTACATATTTGGGTACTACCCAGGTACTAAAGGTACTAAACCACTGAGTCCCGATGTATATATTGTCTTGGAAAATATTATGACGGGCAAGTATATTTATGATATGTACTCGAACTAAAAGCGTATACCTACAGATTTGGTACCGTCATTGTATTCGAGTCAGGCATTACTCCAGTCGAGGTCTCACGTACCTACATGAAACGATTCTATTAATTCAATGTGTGATAGTAACCTAACTAATGTGCATTTCATCTTCGTCTGGATATCTATTGATGTGCGTCAAATACTTTGGCTAATAACAATCAATAGCTGTCTTATTATCTGCTTAGAAGGTTCGTCTACCATATAGTGCCAACAAATGTACTATAATAATACAATATACTATCCAGTAACCTATAATAGTTCTCAATCGAACTGTACTCGTACTCTTTGTATATTTTAGGCGACATCATTTCCAGTAGTAAAATATGTTTTAAAATTACTTTTTTAATAATGAGTGATCTAATAATAGTTAGATACTTTTTTCACAGCAGGGGCAATTTTTTGGAACGAAATCTTAATTTATTTAGATTCGGTGCTCACTGTACATACTTCATCTGTCATCTGTAAATGGTTTAAACATAAAGTCTATTATTCAATATACTATTACTATTACTACTATACTATTTTCCAAAAATTTAATTTTTTTTATTTAACGTAGATTAATAATTTGATTTCCTTTAGAATAAAGTTGTATGTAGAAATTATTCCAACACACACGTTCTTTTGATTGAATGAGTACTCGAATTTCAAAAGCTTTAGAATGCATATTCACATTGGCACAGTGTTGTGAAAATGTGTCTGTGTATAAATTAAACATGCGCCTTATGACATCATCATGTAAGAGTGGAATTATACAAGTCTATTGAAAATATGGCCAAACTATGAGTATATGGAGTAATATGGCTGTATACGTACATAAATATATTGTATAGGCAGCGCGCATGCGAAGCTGCGCGCGCAACTTACATAAATATGTCAACTGTCTTGTCTCATATAAAATTAAATTAGATAAACGTTTGCTTTGATATTTTATTTAAATATATATAAATATAATCCAGATCAAGCCCATAACTGGTGACCCCGCTCTTGGACAGAACCGTAAGGATATAAAATACATATTTTTATAGAACAAAATTACATATAAAACACAATTTTACTGATATATATGAACATCATGTCTTTGGAAAATACAATAGCTACCGAACCATCTGAACTGTTTAGAGTCGGAATACGCGTTCCTCCTTTCTGGCCGGAAGAGCCAGAAATATGGTTCGCACAAGTCGAGGGACAATTCGCAGTTTCAAATATTACATCGGATATAACAAAATTTAATTACGTTATTGGACAACTGGATCATCAATTTTCGAAAGAAGTCAAAGATATTATTATCTCTCCACCTTCCACTGAAAAATATGATAAATTAAAAACAGAGCTTATCAAACGTCTAAGCGCCTCACGTGAAAAACAAGTAAAACAACTTCTCATGCATGAGGAATTAGGAGACCGTCGCCCATCTCAATTTTTGAGACATTTACAAAGTCTTGCAGGACCCAACGTTCCAGAAGACTTCATCAAGACTATCTGGACAAGCAGACTACCACACAGCGTACAAACGGTGATAGCCGCTCAACCCACAGCGTCACTGGAGATACTTTCAGATCTGGCAGACCGCATCCAGGATATCGCTCCAGCTACACCGCAGGTATCAGCCGCTTCAGTTCCAGGATCATCGCTAGACACCATGGCTAACGAGATAGCTGAGCTTCGAAGACAGATGAAGATGCTTCTAGATCGTCACTCTCGTTCCCCGTCTCGTCAACGAAGTCGCAGCCACTCGAAAACGCGATCAGAGTCCAACTATAGAAAATTCCCGAACTGTTGGTACCACGCAAAGTTTGGATCAAAAGCTAAGCGTTGTGTGAAACCATGTAAGTATCATGCGGGAAATGCAGAGGGCGGTCTGTAATGGCGACGTACGACCGTCCCAATACGTCTGGTCGCCTGTTTGTTGTAGATCGTCGGTCGAAGATGCAATTTCTTGTCGATACAGGTAGCGACGTTTGTGTCTTCCCACGGCGAGCACTACATGAGCGTCGTCCTAAATCAGATTTTGAATTATCTGCTGCAAACGGTACAACAATTAACACATTCGGATATACTCATCTAGATTTGGATATTGGTTTACGTCGCGATTTCCCATGGCGTTTCATCGTTGGTGATGTCACTAAAGCAATTATAGGAGCTGATTTCTTGAAGTTCTATGGCCTTCTTGTAGACATACGTAACCAACGTTTGCTGGACAATACAACGACACTTTCTATCGTTTGTTCTCCTGCTCACTCATCAACTGCCATTTCTTCTATCAAGATACCAATCGGTGACTCACGGTACGACCAAATCCTGAAAGATTTCCCCGAAATCACACATCCATCTGGAAGACAAGCTGAAGTTAAGCACAGTACTGTTCATTTTATCAGGACCACACCAGGACCACCTATATCCTGCACACCACGCCGCCTCGCACCAGACAAACTAAAAATAGCTAAAACAGAATTTGAGAATATGCTGAAATTAGGTATTACACGACCTTCAGAAAGCTCCTGGGCTTCGCCACTACATCTCACACCAAAGAAAGATAATGGATGGCGACCTTGTGGAGATTATCGAATGCTGAATGCTCGCACCATACCTGATAGATATCCTGTCAGACATGTCCATGATTTCACACACAGTATATCAGGTTGTACAGTATTCTCAACAATTGATCTTGTTAAAGCCTTCCATCAGATTCCTGTTAATACAGACGATATTCATAAGACTGCCATCACAACACCATTCGGATTATATGAATTTCCTGCCATGACCTTCGGATTACGAAATGCAGGTCAAACTTTTCAGCGTTTTGTGGATGAAATTACACGAGGGCTAGATTTTGTCTATCCATACATTGACGATTTTCTAGTGTTTTCGAAGAATGAAGACCTCCATGAAGAGCATCTGCGTATACTATTCCATAGACTGAAGGATTACGGTATCATTATTAATATTGCAAAATGCAACTTTGGTCAATCTGAAGTCAAATTCCTTGGATACAGCATATCAGCCGATGGAATTAAACCTCTTGAGGAGAAAGCTGAAGCTATCAAATCATTTCCACCTCCGAAGACAGTTCGAGAACTTCGAAGATTTTTAGGAATGCTTAATTTCTACAGACGGTTCATTCCCGGAGCTGCAGAAATTCAAGCACCCCTTCATTCTCTAATGATTGGTTCTGTAAAAGGATCTCACCCTGTCAACTTATGTGGTGACACACTTCAAGCATTTGAGGATTGTAAAGAAAGTCTCTGTCGTGCTACACTTCTCGCTCATCCCGATTGCCAATGTAAATTAGGTCTTGTCACAGATGCATCAGATAAAGCAATTGGTGCTGCATTACAGCAATATAAAGATGGTGACTGGCAACCGCTTGCTTTCTTTTCACGTAAGTTAACCGCAGCACAACAAAAATATTCTCCATATGATCGAGAACTTCTCGCGATTTATGAAGCATTGAAATATTTTAGACACATGGTTGAAGCTAGAGATTTCACAATTTTCACAGACCATAAACCATTATGTTTCGCTTTTCATCAACGCAAAGACAAATGTTCACCGAGACAGATTCGTCATCTCGATTTTATATCGCAGTTTACAACTGACTTAAGACACATCTCAGGTAAAAATAATATAGTCGCTGACACATTGAGCAGAGTAGAAGAACTAGAACTTTCTATAGATTTCTCTCAACTATCTGAATCACAAGCATCCGATCCAGAATTAAGAGAAATATTACATTTGGAGAAGGTAAAGATACCTGGAACTCACGCCGAATTATATTGTGACGTAAGCACTCCAATTTCAAGGCCCTTTGTCACAAAGCCACTGCGGAAACAAGTTTTTAATAGCCTACATGCATTAAGCCATCCTGGTGCTAATGCAACGGTCAAGTTAGTAGCAGAACGCTACGTATGGCCGGGTATTAAAAAAGACTGCAGAGAGTGGACACGTACATGTTTAGCTTGTCAACGATCTAAGATAACTAGGCATGTATCATCCCCTTTGGGTTCATTCCAACTGCCACGAGCACGATTTATGCACGTACATATAGATCTCATCGGACCACTTCCAATTTGTAATGGAAACCGTTATTGCCTCACTGCTATAGATCGCTTCAGTCGATGGCCTGAGGTGATACCAATACCCGATGCTACAGCTGAAACAGTCGCAAAAGCTTTGCTCACTGGTTGGATATCAAGATTTGGATCACCCATAGATATAGTAACAGACCGTGGTAAACAGTTTGAATCTTCTCTATTTCAACATCTATCCAAAATATCAGGATTTCATCATAAGAAGACTACTGCATATCATCCTGCATGCAATGGAATTATAGAGAGATTCCATAGACAGTTAAAAAATGCCATTACATGTCATGCAACTGAAAACTGATGGAAGCCTTACCTTTGGTACTACTTGGAATTCGAAGTGCGTATAAGGAAGATCTTCAAGCGAGTACTGCAGAAATGGTCTATGGAGAACCGCTGCGCTTACCGGGAGAATTTATTGACCACATAAATATATTGTATAGGCAGCGCGCATGCGAAGCTGCGCGCGCAACTTACATAAATATGTCAACTGTCTTGTCTCATATAAAATTAAATTAGATAAACGTTTGCTTTGATATTTTATTTAAATATATATAAATATAATCCAGATCAAGCCCATAAGTATATATACTTCAACATAATTCTATTTTTTAGGACATTGTAACGCCAAAAAAGCTGACGTACCACCTACCATATAGATATGTACAGAATCACAAACATTATGCTATTATTTGTTACCACTCATCAGTTGCCATTCCAGATGGCAACGGATGAGTGGTAACTAATGTTAAGTCTGTTTTTAATTATAATATATTTCACTGCTAAATGTCACCATAGAACAGTAACACAGCTTATAAAGCTAGCTGCTTGGCAGCACAAATAGTCGAGATAACCTTGCCCATGAGATTATTTTAAAAAGTCTACCTACTTCGGGTAAATATACATTACTTGCAAAAAAAAAGCAAAGCGAGTGGCTTGTTTTACATTATTAATGAACTACTTCAACATTTAGCGTCTAAATTTATAATAAATTAGTATTTTACAAATATTAGACACATATATAATCTTTGCCTTATGTAGTTAATATTAACAACCCACCTTGGCATCGCACTGGTGTACAGTATGTCTGATTGAGGTCATATAACATACATATAAATAGACCTTGTAGCGAAAACCGTAACAGAATGCATTGGATGCAACAGTCAGACAAAAAAAAGAAAGTTTGCATTATAGTCTCTACAAGTGGTTACCAGCGACAGCGACAGATCTTTTTTTTTTTATATCTGAAAAGAGAACCTATGTACGTCCTCGTGATATTTACTTTCATTTAATTACTGCCATTTAATTATGAAAACGTAATACATATATAGATAGAGAAATATATAGGTACACTTCCAAATTTTTAATGTTAAATATGGAGTTAGAAATGTGCAATTTGTATGATGTTATAATCATTGCGGAAATAAACGTATGAGAATTGTTTTTTATGAGCCATTCACAATCATATACTTATGTAAAAAAAAAACGAGTAACCAAAATATGCAGGAAATTATGAAGCTATAGTAGGTATCTTACAAATGATGACATACAGTTGTAAACTTTTTTTTTAAAGTTCAAAAGGTAGATACTAAATTCTGATTACAACTGTAGGTCACAGGAAATATCGTAAGTAATTATTAAGTTATTTATAAAGGTTCTGGGTTTTCCGCAACTAAATATAGACTTCACTTTATGTTTGAGCTTAAAGCAAAAAATAAGAACTAGTATGAGTTTTTAATACCTAGTAGGAAGTATTTTGTTTTCTCACACAACAATAATGATCTACTTCTTTATGATACATATACTAACTTTTAATACATGATTTTTCAACCGAGAACATACAAATTTGAATGGATTGTATTTTTTATTATTTTGATTTAAATTTGTAGTCCAGTAGGTTGACTTTAATAAATGTAGGTACTTTCACCGCATGTAGGTATTGTGTGTTTTAAAATAGAATACAGAATCAACAAACTTTATAAGAAATATATAATATATAAGTACTAAACGATAGTAGGTACATAATATGCATATTCAGAGTTTTATCAGTTTTAAATAGTATTGTTTATTCTACTACAATACCTATTCGGAATGCGGATTCAGTCAAGATACAAAAGAAACTTGACATGTGCTATTTCGAACAAAAGTTATACAACTTCACACATTTATGATATTGTGTGAATACAAATTAGCAAACAGCATATAATTATAAGCAAAACGATAATAGACTTTCTGAATACGACTGTTTCCTTCGTATATATTTATTACTTTACCTAGATATATTTGTTTACAAAAAATACCTACATATTGGTTAGGTTTTACTATACCACGTAAACTTTGCTTACTTTTTTCTAACTATTAGGACTCAGTCGTTTTATTTTAGTAGACACATTTTCCATTATATAAAATTAATTTCAGTAGATAGCTTCTTTCTTTCAGATATTATTATATATTTCAGTTCCAAAATTACATAAAATGTTTAGTAGAGCGTATTTTTACTCTGCTCGGTGTCAATTGGTCGCTATTTTTTGTTTATTGACCAAATCCTTAGAAATATGCTTGCGGTCGAAACAAATTAAAAGTTTTAAAAAATCCCAATGACGTTTCTGACGTCAATACAACACCGGCAAAAAATATATGTAGTTAACAAGTTAATGAACGAGGGTAAATTATTTTTATCATACATTTGATGTCTATTAATTAGTTAAGATCAAGTTTTCGGCATTGTAGGTGACTAAACATTTGTCGTAAGTGCCCATAGTGAAATTGAAATGGCAATAACTGTTAATCCAAAAACTATTAATAACAGTGATTAGAACTTTATCAACGTAATGGAAACGAAAACAATGTTCGAATTTTTGTCTGTGCATTTGTGTGCGCTAATTCAAATTTTTAAATTAGAATAGAATAGAAATTTATTCAAAATTCAGTTTGATTGATTTTGGAGTGGTTACCACTAATATATTGCGAAAAGCTTCCCTTCCAATTTCGTGTTTTTTTCATTTCATTCAGTTTCCAAACAAGTTATAAACTATTGGTGTTCCTAATACAACGGCGCAGGTTTAGCTAGGTGATGATGATGAATAGATGAATATTTATAAAATATAGTTATTTAATTATCTACCATCGCGCATTCCTACTACTTGTCCGGTAATATAATATGGTACATAATTTTATACCACAATCTACAAACAATACGAATACCTGACTATAAACTGGTAACAATGCGAATATCAGTCACGAATCTTCTGCTACTGACAACATTGTTGTCTGTTTAGTGACGGAAATCCTTTGTAGTTCCACTATGAGTAATTTCTAAGTTTACATTTCTAGTTTGTTTATATATAGATAAGCAAATTGCCAAGAAAGGAATGTTTTTAGCAACTCTACAAGAGGTATCTATATTTCGACGGAGTACTAACTCTTATGTCCGGCGTCGACAAAGTTGTTTGCTATTGCTATCTATACCTTAGTTAAATTTAAAAAAACTTTTCAACAGGATCATGCCAGATCAAGAAACAGAGAACAATAGGGATCTGCTCTGCATAAAGGATTGGCTATCCAAGCAGCCGCATTTACCTCACGAAGTCGGTATGTAAAGTATACCATAACTATTTACAATAAACTAACATCTCACTGCAAGTTCAGGTCTCCCAAAATGTAGATACTGTGTCCTTACATACATTACCATTCTTACCCTGTATATCCAGCAATTTCATAACCTATCCAGAACACAAGGAATCTGCTTTGGCTATTGATCCAAAACGGATTCCTTGATGTTACTGGTATTACCACCAACGTAACACACGTTGGGAAGTTCCAGTTAAACGACTATAGTTAAATGTATAATAATCAATAGCAACCCTATCATTTTATGATATAATAATTCCATATTAATAAACTACGTACTTTATTTTTCTAATTTTTACAAACGTGTCTGTCATATGTACACAGATGTATAACTGAGTTTACTTAAATTTATTTCCGGGATTTCCGCGATTTCAATGATTCACGCAGAATTATGGACAATAAAATACATCAGATATGTATACATATAAATAAATTTATTAATAAATGAAACTAGTTCCTTTGAATAAATAATAAAGTGTAGTATATATGCGATAAAGCAACAACCACAGATCATTTTGAATGAAAAGGATGTGTGGATAATTTTCTTTTATTTAACTTTAGTTTGTTGATAGAATGACGGCAGGAATTAGAATGACTGTATTAATATTTATGAAAGACCTTTTAGTAGTAAGGTTCAGATTTACAACTAAGTATTTACATACTTATATATGGTTTAATGTATGTATCAAGTTATGTACTGTAAAAACTTCACAGTTGCTTGTAATAACTAGTAACTATTGTAATAGCAACGTAAACTGTAGGTTCATTAAACTTTTTACTAACATTATTTCGTAACTCATACCAAATCCAAATCATGTTTTTCAACTAACCTCTAGAGAATCCATTTCTTAACGTATGCAATGACAACGTATATTTTTGGAAGTAACTATGTAACCTTCGAAGGTATGTTGTGAAACCTGTTTATAATACAGCCCTATTAGTCTACTGATTGGCTCTAACGATTTCATATGGCTTATACAATTCTTGGTATACAACCTAGTATTTTCTAATAAACCTAGTAATCTAGATTACCTTGATGACTATATAGTAAATAATTTAAGAGTACGCAGAGGTAGGTAGACCTGAGAATATTATCATTTTAATATGATTGATATATCGTAGTAAGAATAGTGCCATGCCTTTACAGAAACAAGATATTGAAAGGTCCTCTATCATGTTGAAATACCCGTGGTAGAAGTTGTGTTGTTTGGTTAAATTCATCTATATTTGTAATCTGTGTTTCGGTAAGAGGGTATGATAGCAGTGCAATTATGAAATACTGTGGGATAACATTTTAATTTTCCGGAAAGGTAACACATGAGAGGTATCACGGACGTTACTTGATTACGTCATTTAACATCAGGTAGACAGCATATTCGCTATTGCTGTTATATAGTAAAAATTGAGAATACATTTTCTATCTTCGCATTATTCTAAGAAGCAAATAGGGCGAGCCCACCAGTGCAAGAGAAGTCAATCAATCGCTCTATCGAGCCGCTTGGCTAGCGTGAAATTAGTAAGCCTTATAATAATCCTTCACTTTGGAGAGAAATCTGTACGAAACAACGTAGGAGACACAACTATGACTTACTGATAGAGTTCGCGTCGTAGTTTTACTACCTCACCTAAGATCGAAAGTTTAAAATCAAATCTGGCTGACACAAAAAATATATCGTCATTTATATGTATATATATGTATTTGATTTCGGTGATAGCATACAAAACAAATCATTTCGATAAACAGAGGTAGAATCATTCACAGTGGTTTACAATATATAGAGAAATGTGGGCATGTCAAGTTTTCGTAGTGAACCTCGACGTTGTCAGTTGATAATACTATACATCTGACTTCACGAGTGAGTCGGACATATATATAAATTTTAATGTTGTTTTAGATGAGATACTCCTCCGGCGTTTCTTGTCCAGCTGCGGCTTCAGCCTGGAGCGCACCAAACGCACCATAGATCTCTTCTTTACCATACGCTCCAATGCTCCCGAGATCTTCTTTAACCGTGACCCATGGGCACCGGAAATCAGGCGCGTCCTTGAGATCACGTATGTCATACAATAATAGTTCTTTAATCAGTTTACTTTATTTGTTAGGCGTTTTATTAATTTATTAATACATATAACATGTACGTATGTGTACATACATATTTCATGTTCTGGAATAATAGTAATAGTGCATAAATTGAAAGATATGACCGGGAGGTTTAAATTCGATCTTCATATTTACCTCGTAAAGGCAAAGGCGTGAAGTTATAGAGAGACAGAACTAAACGTCAACGTCATAATTCTGTTGTCTATGCCAATAATATCTTGTAGCATAGCGTCTATTCATTTACATATCGCTATAATTTCTTTCTTAGCGCTTACAGTTCATGTCGATAATCACTTGATAGTAATTTATCAAGTTAATAGATGACAATTTCGCACTCGATTTCACTGAATAAAGTGAAAGGAATGCATACGTCGGTGCATTGTACTTGACAGTCGATGATCTTTTGCATACAGTAAATGTGAAACGATCAGACGTATATTTTTATTGAGTAAAATTAAAATAAGGTGGTAACATGGTCAAAATTATACATATTGTTTATTGTTAATTAATATTTAAGTTCACATTTGATATTGTTTTATTATGAATTATAGAAGGAAATAATACTTGACCGATTCTAAATTTATTTAAAATCCAACTAGGTTGATAGTTTTATATAACTAGTAATTATAAAAGGAAATATAGATCCATTACCAGTTATAAAGACCGGGAACCAAAAAGTTTATTAAATTAATACGGCTTTTATACTATTTTTTTAACAGTATGTTAGTCAAATCCAGTATGGTAACAAAAAAAAAAACAGTTTTTATACTATGTTTATTTACTTCCAGAGACTTAATACCACTTCCAAGAAAGACGAATGAAAATTACAAGGTCTTCATATTCAAGTTGAACAATCCTGATATGGATTTATTCAACTTCGTAGATGCTGTAAAGACTTTCTTCATGCTGGCAGACACCAGACTCACTGAAGAAGACGATATACCCGCAGGAGAGATCCCTATTTTTGATTCGTCTAATGTTTCACTCAAGTTCATCCCGAAAATCAACCTATCTGTACTAAGGAAGTACATGTTGTATACTCAGGTTAGTATACCTACTTAGATAAGAATTTCAATTATGTTGTGCTTACCTCAAACATATTTTAATAATTATCTACAAAATATGACAGGTTATAAAGATAATTAGTTATAAAATTACAAGTATACATTTTTTAGATATTATATAATTATATTTTTACGCATATAATTTTTATAATTATCTTTTATGCATATTTTTATATACCCAAGTTTATTGTCAGTTATTACTGGCAAATAATGATTTTGCTGTTCCAAAATCAAATTAATTGCATAATTAAAAATAATAGCGAACCCAAGCAAAAGTACTCATATTTTTATTCTTTTATGGCATTATTTTTTGTAGATCAACATCAGGCTGTGATTTTCTAGATACTAGATACTAAATTGACAGGATATGTAAAATATATCCTGTCAATTTAGTATCCGTAGATGGATACTACATTGATATAAATGTAGTTTTTTGAGATAATGGAACTTACATTAGATTAGAATTAAATTATCTTATAACAGATTATAAATATTAAAGAAGTTGGTACCGCCCTTATAGAATTGAACCAATATTAAACTTAGAACAATTTGCACAGTTTCAGATATACTGTCAAAATAGAGTCTATGAAAATAATTGTTTTAAAAATTATTACACAGATTCATTCAAAAATTATTTTGCATGTAACTAGTAACGCAAGCATATATCAAGCAAAGTGAAGTTATAATGACTGTAATTGGCTATGAAAATAATATTATGAAACAAAACACAATCGAGAACACCAATAAAGCTACATTTGTGTTGCAATTAAACTTTATTATTTTTAAAAATTGAGTGTAGGTATTATTTAACTTTATGCCTGCATAATCGATACGTTCTGAGAGTTCTTGACTAACAACAACCGTTGAATTTGTTTGCAATCTATTGCTTAATGTTATCGAAAAAGTAAATACCATGTTGAATTGTTTTCCTTAATAAATTGTGAATGTTCTATTCTTTGCTATTTATATGGTCATATCGTTTTTATGTCCTCAATGCTAGCTGTTATTCATCACTTGATATAAAATGTGGCAAGTAATACAAATCGTCTTTCAGTTAAATTTCATTAAGATTCATCTAGCTATTTAGTTGTGAAAAGATAATATACAAACTAATACAAAATATTTAAAATTGCTATTTGCGGTGGTCTAATGGTTTAGCACACTGGAAGTAAGGATTTCCTATGGTCGCGACTTCGATTCCTCACTCCATACATACATTGGTATTTACGATTATAATTATTTGTATCGGTCTGAATGTTTCATATGTATATTATGTCTGTATTTACAAAATAAAATATATCTATGTACTCATATCAGTTGTCTAGTACCCATAAAACAAGCTCTGCTTAGTTTGGTGCTAGATGGCGCTGTGTGAATTATCCTGATATATTATTGTTATTATTTATTTTGTTCCAAAAATACGAGGAAATTCAACATTATATACCATCGCTATATATAAATACTGTAAGTATTTATATACGGGTATACCTACTCCGTTATTTTCGATAATTCTACTATTGTAAATTAAATTAAATAAAATCTATAGTTGTTCAATGTGTATGATGTTGTTTGTACATTCGTGACGGGCCACCTAATGGTAAATGGTAACCATTATCTATATACATGAGCTGCAGCACAAACATTACGTCATCATTTGAAGCCCCAGTTAATAAAGCCTTATTTCACCCTTCAACTCATCATATTATATCTTTTAAAGCAAGCTGCTTGGAGGATTAAACAATTAAGATAGAGGTACGCACATATAAATACAAATAGTTTATTTCACAGCACAAGATACCATACACAAACTGCGTGAGCGTTATCTTTTTAAGTTTATACAAACTTGTATTACGACTAGACCGCTCTTCGTTAGATGCTCTTTCGCAGATGAGTTTGTACGTTTGTACGTACGTAAATAGTAAGGAATATTTAATACCAGAAAGTCTGTCGTCTTCTGCTAAAAATCTTATAGATTAGATTAGGGGCAGATAATTTGATCACTAGTTTATCTACATAATCTACCTACTTTTATAATTATACTTTGTTATAATTTGTATCTATATCAATTCTTTTTTTCTAGAATTTCATCTACATAGGGAAAGTTTGTTTGCGATTGTAACGATTTCAATAACTTCCTGTCAAAAACAATCGAATCGTTAAGTACAACACTTTCCTACCGACTGTTTAGTAATACGCTAGGACCATGTAATTTGAATGTGGAATTTATTGCTTCAGCGTAAAGTCAAAATTGCCTGTACAGGTGTTAGGTGTCTGAAATAACGTGTCTACATGTCCGTCTGTCCATGCCGGGACGAGTTTCACGGTTATTAGTGCGAGACCTAACAACTACGTTACATTAGGTACTTAAAATATATGAAACAGATATTAGGTACCTAGTTAGTAGTTAGTTAGTTAGTATAAATTTGCACGTATTCCACATATTTATAATATCGAGCCTCGTCTAGGCTTCTCACGGGTATTTAACAAAGACACAGACATATATATACACGCTTCGGTATTTATGTGCTTTATAAAACTTTAGTAAATTACTTTGCTCTATTGTCAATATTTTCCCCAGTGTACGGAATATACCTAAGTGATTTTTTAATCACTTAGGTACGTTTTTGAAAACTTTCTATCTCCTTAGTTCTTTAGGGATAATGAGGGATTCTAATGTAATGTAAACGAATTTTCCAAATCGGTCCAGTAGTTTCGGAGCCTATTCATTGTAAATCAACAAACGATCAAATCATTCCTCCTTATAATATTAGTATACATTACAGACTATGAGACGTACAGATTGTAATGCTCACGGCAAATCTGAATAAAGAAATACATGTAGAATAGAAAACATAGATAACTGTTATATTTATAATATGAGTGTATAATATGTTTATTTAATATATAATAATATGTTCGTCTTCGTAATACAATATATTTTATTATATTCAGCTGTTTATACGTGAAAATGTATCAAATATCTTAATGAAATTTGCCATTTATATCTAATACGAGGACGCGCGCAAATAATATTTTATTAAAAAAAAAGAATATGAAATTTATAGGTGATATAGGGGTAGAATTTAGAATTAAATTTTAGAATAGAAAATAATATGTGTAGATATGTATATATGTACATTGAATAACTGAGATATACTAAGTTATTAGTATATCTCAGTTATTCAATATATTTTAGGCAAACGAGCTAAATAACGAACACACTTCTAAGATAAAAACTACAATTGACCATGATAATCAAGTGGTACATAAAAACTACCAAATTCACAAACTAGATATTTTGTACAGAAGTTTCATGTAGGTAACGCAGTAATAATATCTATTAAAAATGTTTTTTGTACTCACGGAAATATAAAACATAATTACAGTTACGAGCCAACAGATATACCTACATTTAAAATAATTGGCCAATACCATTTATCTATGTAATACAAATGAAACTGATCTTTGACTATAGATATAAGAGAAAAACCATTATTGGGGGACTTTGTTAATGTAATAGAATCAAAAACAATATTTGCTAAAAATATTATATGTTTGTTTGCGAATTGTGCGCACTAATCTCAGAAATGACTTAACCGATTTGGTTGGAGTTTACTCTAGTGTATTCTGGTAAACTGCACTTTAAATTTAGTGTTTGCTTTATTCCAATTAGTTTATATACAAAAAAGTTATACGAATGCAAAATCGCGGGTTCTGCTAGTTTTTATGTAACAGTTACTAATAAATCAGACATATTTATGTACATGAGTCACTGAAAAAAGCGATGATGGAAGTAGAAAAAGATTTATTGGACCTAAAATTGTCATAGAGAATTTAATACTATAATAACTAATATAGATATTATGATCATGTTGACAGACTTTCATTATTCTTGAAAGAACTATAAACAATAGAATTAATCTCTTTCTAACTGTGAAATAAATAATTCAATTCTGATAGAAGACATGATACTTTTATGTATTGTATTCAAATTACAATTCCATTTCTTTTTATTTTATTGAGTAACTTTCATCTTTCATCAACTATACCTATAGATAGAATAATATTACTATGTAATTATAATCTTGTTTTTAGGCAGCTATAGAAGAGACGAAGGCTATTGCTCATGTCGATTCTATAATTGTGTAACCCACGTGCCTTTTGGAAACTGGCAACATAGTCGACTGCTCATTTCGAAATTAACCGGTTCCGGAGCAGTGCATGTCATTTTACTTAAATCCCAATGTATATTCTCACGAAAAGACCAACTACTATCATTGAAATGAAATGTGTGTCATTGAAAGTTCCCAAGGTTTATTATAAATATTACTTACTATAACTACTCGAGTTCACGATTCTAACAAATCGGTAGGTACGTTAAAACCTCACAGAGATTTAGTAGGTAGTAGAAACAATTTATTTAAAAAAAAAATAAACCAATATTAATTAAGTTTAAAATAAATCGTATATGCAACAAAACAAATTCTCAATGCATCAAAACATTAACGTCTGTATATACATGACGAAGATATCGTCTAACATATACATAAAAAGAAATGGACCGCTTGGTATAAAAAATGTTTTACTTTACTTTGGAAAGTATAAAAATAGCATAATTTGCACAATAGCCACATATCTTACGTCCTTTCCTTTTTTATCTATTATATGTATAGACACTTATTATTAATTATATTATAATTTTAATTTCAGGAGGCTATCCCGATCCGACTAAAGCAAGTACATGTCATCAATGCTCCGGCCTACATCAGCAAAATCCATGCTATATGCAAACCTTTTCTCAAGACAGAAGTAGCTAAACTGGTGAGTTATTTATTTCTCGGTAATATACACCCTTAGTAAATTGTTATCTACTATTCCCTAAATACTAAAATGGAATTGACGGTGTTTAGATGATCCTATCAGAGTTAGGATCATCACAGGTCTGTAAAAATCTTATCTATTGTAGTACTTAATGTAGTATGCTGTTTTAGAAAAATAGTCTGAAATCAGTCACAGTGCTTTCAGTTTATTTTAACTAAGGTATATTCCTTCTCCGGATAAATAATCAATTTATATTCATCTATTTTAGTTAGATATTGCAGGTTTTAATAATGAAAAGTAATTAAATTGTTTTGGGCATTTGATGTCTTTACGAAGACTTTACTTTTATGATGAGTGTATATTTTACTAAATAAACCGAAACATCTTCGCAATTTATACGACGTTCCATTTTCAGAATCTTTAATTTAATTTTTTACAAATATAGTTTTACCACTTTACTCTTCAAAAAGACCGTCATATATATGTACACCTAAGTAAATATTGTTCATTATATTAGTTAGCATTTAAATATGCTTCAATTTGTGAAGTAATAACTGACCTTAAACTTAATGATTGACATGACCATGACGTAAACTTACGTAACGCCATTTCTGCAATCAATAAGTAGGTACTGTATCGCATCTATTATGCTATAGTTTGAAGTACGCAACCGCGACAGGCGACTGGCGACATGGGACATATGGATGTCCCCTTTTTATGTAATTGTATGAAAAGCATGTGGAGGGCGGGACAAAGACACTTGACAAGTAGACGTCTCTTCATTTATGTGTCTCGTAATCGTGGTTACTAATTGCTGTCATTTTCCATTTTTTTCAATCTATTCCAATGCTGTTGACAGTAGCATAACCTTTACTGTTTAATGAGCAAGTTTAATACTAGCGAAATTATGTACTGACTACAAATATGACTATATTCTGAGAGCACCACTAGAGATTTTAATCGCGCTTCAGGTTGTCATCATTTCGATCTCCGTTAAAACGGGATAGAGGATCGATAGGAAGTAGGACAACTAAATATTGCATGCGTCCCGTATTTTTATCGCAGACCTACCACTATTGTACCTTCAGATTTCCTTCCAATCTGAGTTCATTAACCAGAGTCATACTGTGCGTGCACTACTAATACTTGACAAACTGTTTAGTTCCTGATGCATGTTAGCTAATTCTATTAAAATAACAATGACAAATGGACTCAGTTGGACTCAAATCAGTTAGGAAAAAATATTGAAGAAAAAACTTTTTCAATAATAATAAAATAAAAAATACCAAAAAAAAAATCTAAAATATAATATTAATCTCAGGACAATTCACACAGTGGCGCTGTGACTCTAGACCCAAGGTGAGCTAACTGAAGCTTGTGTTATGGATACTAGATAACTAATACAAAAACATAGATGTATATTTTTTCTTAAATACATACATATTATACATAGAAAACACCCAGACCGATACAAACAATCATACTAAAGAATGCAAATGTTTGTACCATGCGAGGAATCGAACCCGCGACCTTCGGATAGTAAAGCGACATGCAGGCAGTATACTACTAGACCACAGAGGCCGTCAATAACTTCTCAATCAACTTCTAAAATGTATTCGTACATACTCGTATATTCTATTGTAACTCAAATATAGTATCAAGTATTCGGTTTGTTAATGGTAAACGTTTATGTACCTTCTAGGTATCTATGTTTATTGTTATAGATACCTACTAAGTTTCATTTATCCTTGCAATATGAGGTGGTCCGAAAGAAATAAAAATGTCTTTATATCATAGGAACTTTATAAAAAAAGCTGCTTTGAGTTGTTATTTTTTAATTTAGCTGAAAGCGGAATATATATAGAAACTTGCTGTTAGTTCGCTTCTTGTAGCTTATTGGAATATTGTGAAAAAAATAGAGCTATTGTAAAACATGTGAGCTAATAAAACGTCAATCATCGACCGTACTTGTAGAACTTACGACCTCAAAAAGGTCAAACGTCCTGATATGCGGGACAGAGGTTGAACCACAAGGGACATTTCCTTTTGCCCATAAAATCGAAACTTACATAAATCAGGATATCTGACAATGCCGCCTATAATTTTCTTTTTAAGAAGGAACAAAACTTCTCAATAATTGCATGTTTTTCCATTCGTTCACATTTGCATCCGCAGATAAAATTCCATGAGCCAAACTCCGACACCCTATACAAGGATATCCCACAAGAGATTCTGCCAGAGGAATATGGCGGTAAAGCTGGTAAATTAGAGAATATTAAGCGGTACTGGATCAAGCGAATCGAAGCAAAAAGGTATGTAATAACTAATATAGTTTTGATATAATACATATATGAATCGTATATTTTACAGGACAAATTGTATCATAATAAGGACTTCGATCTTCTTGCAACTTATATACCTAAAATAAATTTAATGATTACCTCCTTTTTAAATATATTTTTGTCTGTTAAATTGATTTTTTCGTACTTATTAATGATTTTTTATAATTATTCAAATTATTTAAATAAATTAATATAATATAGAATTAAATACATAATAGTAATATAGTCTGAAAACTTTGAAAGTAAAACAACAAAGTATGTACCAATTATACATAAAGGCGAACCTACTGCGAAACTGAACCAAGTAACAGGTAGTAGCTGTTGCAAGCATGTGAAATGCTGGCGATACACCTATTGCTTAATATTAATTGCTTTATAGGATATATTTTTGTACGTAGATATACGTTGCGTGTCGTGAAGTATGCTGAGAGATAGAGAGTCGTGGGGAAGGTCGTGAGTTCAAATCTCCAAAAACTAAAAAACTTTGTATGTTTATTTAGGTATACTGACTCATATATACTGATTTTTTGGTGACGAAATTTCGATAACGAACCTCTAATCTCATGAGAAGTGATGGCGATAGTATCGCCCCTTGCCACGTTGGGTATTTTTGAATCCAAAGTGGCAAGGAGAATCCTACCGCCATCATTTTTAATTAGATTAGAAATGAGGTCATATGCAACATTCAACAGTACCTCGACAATACCTCTAACTACTCCATATGGGTTACCTAACAGTCGCGAAGGTATTTAAATGTATACATTCTAAAGAAAGTTCTTCTTATTTGAGGTCATTCAAGTAGGTTTATTTACGTGATTCTACATATTAATTTCGCAAAATACGTATATATTCTGTACGTAATTTCTTCGAAATGGTTGCAAAGAATTGAGGCCAAGATGGTAAGATGCGAGATTCCAGTGTACCTTGACGTTTGTAGTCACACCTTTAAAGGACATGGAAGAATACTGAACAGGAAAAGAATTCACAATGCCCAAGGCTTCAACAATATAATAAGGCATTCATTAGTAGAGTTTAAATTTATAAGGAAACTGTAACTGCAGAAATTGAAATTAAAATTTCTATTCTTATTATAATTCTTTTTGTTCTGTGACAATATAATAAAAATCGTCATTATTTTTATATGCTGTAATGTTATATCCGATGTTGGACTCATCCATAGTGTTGCAGGAGCAGTTTTGCTAGTAAATTCAAATTCAAAAATAATTTCATAGGTTTGCTTATATGACTATATGAGCAAGTATCGATGGTGAAGAACTGTTAATAATTAACAAAAACTATTTCTATGGACGTTAGTTGTTTAAAGTTGTGACCTGTTTTATTAGTGTAATTATTAATTCCCAATTTTAATCAAATAGTTTCCGCCATTTAATCTTGTCTCTGGACTTTGTAAATTGATAAATCTATATATAATACTAGCTGATCTATAAAAGCCTTTGTCTGTACTCGTAATACAATTAATCTTTATAGCGAATTTCGCTAAGATCAGGCGAGTCCTTTAGACGTAAAAAGATAAGAAAAATCCTGACGTGGACTAACTTTGCTCTCTACTTAAATCTATGTTATCTGGAGAGGCACTAATGGATGGGTGCCGAGTGTTGACAGAATGTAAAAAAAAAGATAATTTTGACTATGATTAAATATGTCTTATGTTATGTATATTTGTGTTTCAGAGACTGGTTTTTGACTAACGACAAGCGGTGGGCAGTGGACGAAAGCCTCAGGCCTAACAGTTGCCAAGACGACCGCGCGGATAAAGTGCGCGACTTGCCCGGATCATTCCGCACGCTCGCTCTTGACTAGTAATCATGTAGTCTTGATTAATATAAATTTACACCTTATTAGTTTTATTAATTAAAATAATAAATAGTTTAATGATATATATGTCTAAAATCGGGTTCTTAAGAAAATTACTACATATATCATAATTCTCAAATGAAATTACCAATAGAAATAGTCCCATTTTGTACTAATAATAAAGTGCCTGAATAAATATTTAGACTTGATTTGAAAAATGCAGATATTTTATAAGCATTATATGAAACTTAAATAATAGTACATAAGTATGGCTATGATATGTACGCAAAAATACATAAACATTGTAAAATATTCTGTCTTTGTGTATATTAATATAGACTAGCAATCTCTATAACTACTGTACTTAAAACATTCATACTTTTGAAGCATTTTTTTTCCATTTGAAAGGTAATTAATCAGATGGTAATATGCTATAGATTATATGTTGATTAGTCGAAGCGAAATCGGGATGGGGTACTATTTAGTATTTAATTAGGGGATTAAGGTATAAATATGAACATTGTTGAAATGAACTGAGTATAGTTATTAGATAAAAAAGCATTATAGTGAATAATTTCTTTAAATGACATGGGTCGAAATATGGCAAATATTTTCGAACTAAATCGACCACTTAACTACTTAGTTTATAAGTGTTTTAAAATGCCACAAAATTAATTAATTTCATGCTCGCTATAGTCTGCAGATTTAATCGTACTTTCGCTAATTATCAAGGTTCGTCCATCATACTTCAATGATGTAAAAGGTGCTTAATTCTACAGACATAAGTAGGAATTTGAAAAAAAAAATGAAACTACAAAAAAAGTATTTTTATTCAACACATTTACATAAAAAAGTATAAAATAATTTCTTGCTTCTTTTTGTAACAAAACGTAAATTGGAAAGTGATCAACCGCTTAATCTATTTGTTATGACCTTTATCGTGCTGTAAGCGTCCTTATGAAATATAATTGTTTGATTTTTATTAAATAGATGTAATAAATTGAAATATATAAGCAAAATATATATCTAGATAACAAAAATCTAGATAAAAAAATACCAGCACAAATATTGTATTACATAAAATGTAGAAATTAAAATTAAACTATAGTTGATTAAAACATTTACAATGTAAATAGTAGATATTAAAATAATATTTTCTTTTATTAAAATGTATATTTTCTTTTGTCATTGACTTTAATGTGAAATAAAGTATAATTAATACACTTTACACATTTATTATGTAAGCGTATGCAAAAAAATTTGATGAATATATTTCAAATTAGAAAATGCAGAATATGTAGTACATATAGGTAGTTGAAATGATCCGTAATGAATTTGAAATAATAACGTTGCCCATCTGATGTAAATGGAAATGGTTACCGTGGCCTAGGGTTGTCTGAAACACCATGGGTGTCACGTGCGCGTTGCCGACACTTAAGAAACCACCTTTTCTCAACGAAATAGTTCACAACACAAAAACCGTTCATTATATGATAATCCCTGTACCTAATGATAATGTGGCTACAATAAATGAATGATTCTAGAGATATTTTAATTTTTTATAAAGGTTTGAGATACATTTAATTAAAACTACGTACATTTATTATAACAGCAACCATTAAATCTATTTATTCACAAATACAAGCATTGAATTTTAGCGTTTTTCCTCTGTCCCTCTCTGTCCGTCATATAAGTTCAATATTTTTTTAATATTATAGCTTTATTCGTACTGAATAAAAAATCTAAATGTATGAATTCTTAGTTATATTATTGCTTCATTTTTTATATTTGTACTTCACTTTATTTAGGTATTACAAGTACGTTGTAAAATGTATATAGTATTTTATATTATAAAGACTAAATTAGCAATTTAGTCTTCATAATATAAAATTTTCTAAATGAAAATCTTGTCTTTTTTACTAACTGCTACAAATAGTTGGTGTATAATACACATCAAACCATCTACATACTCCCAAACTAACTAATAATTGTACTATGGATACTAAACAACTAATAGAAATACACGGTTTGTAAATACATACATAATAATCCACTGGATCAATATTTGTTTATTCCCAAGTCATATAAAAATAATATTAAAACTGACAAACATATCGGAAGTATTTCCATTTATAATAAGCTCTTCTAGTGTGCTTCATCTTAATTCTAATTCTAGTTATAACAGTATAAAATACATGTATATTTTTTAAAAGTGCAAAAATATAGAAAATTTCTAGCTTAAACTGATGACATTTTTAATGTATCAGTCGATTGATAGTGTTTTAAAGGATCCAGTCATTGAGTTCTCGACGATGTTGCTCTTCGGTTTCCGCTTAAGATCGGCTTTCCATAAGTTGTCATTTAGGTACATTTTTCTGGAAATATAAATAGTACATTTTTTCTAGACAATTTTACTGATTAATGTAAATTACAGGACTAAATTTCAGAATACCACAGATCAAGTTCTTTTTATAGACAGTGTAAGGAAGATACGGCAGAAGGAAATTAGTATTGGGTATTGTGAATCCATTGCTAGCAATAAACCATGTCAGGTAGAGCTCCACACAGTTCCATCTTAGCTAATTTCTGGTAAATCTGCCTTGATGTGTGACCTGATGTTCAAACTCAACTAATCATCCTCCCCCGTCATCATTCCATTAATTCAGGCACCCGCCCAGTAGCATTAACATCCAATGTATCATCTTATAATATTCTAGTACCTACACTTGAGAATACATTGAGCGAAAATACGACAGTGATACTACTATCAATGATACTGATATTACCTACAGAATATTTTAAATGATATTATGTATACTAATTTATATATTTCTCTAATAAAGATATCCTGTTATATTTAAAAAATAAAACCATTTAATATTTTTATTCTTGACAATTGTGGTAGGTTTAGAAAAGTAGAGTCTAATTCAAAATATGGTACATTATGAGTTGAAAATATTTTATACAAATCTTTATACAATTGCGATGTAACTCGTTTTTTATTTAATTGATACTTTGTTTCATCTACTTACCCTGAGATCTGAGACATGTTGCAAAATGTTTAGTACTCAAATCCCCTAAAGAATAATAATAGAAAGTGCTAATAAAGTAGGTAAACTACTTTATTGGCACTTTGGACAAACGAATAGCTAGGAATAATACTAACGAATAACTATTTAAAATCCGAGATCATAATGGATTGGTATTTAAAAAGATATTTTACCTGTCCTCTTTAATTTTGGTAATCCACTCTTGATGTTGCACCTTCAGGCTCTGGGCGTCTCCACCATATTCCGAAGGCAAAAACTTTTTATCTATCGCCCGCCATAGACTTTCAGTATTGGAATGGAACGTGATCTGGAATTAAAATATAAATAAAATTTAAATTTATTAAAATTTTAACTTATTATTCATAGAATGTAAACATAGAACATCATTTTTTATGTAATTGGAAAGGCAAAAAAGCTGACTGTACAACTGATGATAAGTGGTAACCTATGGTAACAGATATTATATTATCACATGATGCCCGCTATACCATTCATGTGTGGCTATTCCGGAGGACTAAGATTACATGCCTCTTATCCTGTAATTTCACTGCCTTATATCCTATAACCGAAACACAACTTTTAAAGCCATCAGCTTGGTGGCAAAGATAGGGACAGAGGTACCCAGATGAAAGGATGTAAACAGAAGACTTTTATATAGTCTAGTCGAGTGTGTGTAAGTTTAACAGAGAGAGTATACCATAAATGGTCAAAAGGAGATTAATTTGACTGTTAAATTTAAGAGTCAAATTAACTCCATTTGTCCAGTACGCGTGGATTGTCTCAATAACCATACAATCCAATCCAATCAGAATAGAAAAAATAATCGAATATCTCAAAAAAAAAATAGATTTAAATTTAGAATATATATATAACACACAGGTTTTCACTATAAATTAATATAAATAAAAAGAGATTAGATACGGTACGAAGCATGAAGAAGGCAAGAAAGTATTGAGGCATAGATTCATCATATTCTCTTACAATATCGCAAATCTCCGACGGAAGCGCTGGTTTAACTAGTGCGTACAATTTTTCATAATACGACGGACAATTCACTGCGTGCACATGTTTCACTCGGACCGGCATGGCTTCCTGTAATTATATTTATTAATATAATGGTTATAAAATAACATAATAATCTATATTAATTTTGATATTATATTATATACTATATTGATTTGATTTGAATGATGAACACAAATGATAATGATTTCTTTCTTGAACTCAAATGGTAACAACATTATGACTGATGGTACACTTGTTACTAAGCGACAATCATGATATCCAAGAGGTACGACATACTATTCTCATCCGTTCTTCAATCTGGGTACCAAAGTACCCAGATTACAAATAATTCATTATGTCAATAATATTTCACCCTGTAACCGAAAACAGGTTGCTCGGCTGCAAAAATTGGTTAAACAGAGGTACACACACAGAAGAATTTATACAGCGTTTACACACACAGAAGGTTTACGCTGGCGGGGCACCAGTGGAGGGTGATAATATGAGCATGAGGTCGAGAAGCCCATCGTGACAAATTCACATGTAATTTATCACGATGGTTTCGAACCGCGTGGAGGTCAACCTGACATAGTACATTGATTGGGGTCACATCCCCTTCCCCCCTACATCACCGTGTCCTCCCAGTACTAGGCCAATACAGAATATTGTTAACTGAATAAAACCGGATTAAAAGTAAGCTAACAATCCTAACACGAAGGGTGTAGCGATGAAGTCTAGACAACATTAGTTTTTTAGGCGTTTATCATCTGTGATCTACCAGATAGTCATATCTAATTAGTTTTATTAAAGAGTGCAATGAAGAATAAACATCAACATGACAAACTACTAAATGTGTAAAAGTGTGATCCTGAATGTTTGCGGGAGACACAAATCTCTGAGTAAAATAACACAATTAATTCTTACTTGTTAGTATACACTGAAATATACTATTGAAATTATTTATAAAAAGAAAGATGAGAAGAAGGATGCAGTCAAATCTACTTACATATACATTATATATAATTGGAATATTTTTTGTCTCGGTGTTTTGTTAAAATTACTCGAATTAATGGAATGAAATAAAAAAAAAAATTAAATTTACAAATGTTTACCATACATTATCAAATCTAATAGACAAAATAAATACTTACTAGCAAATATAATATGAAATCTCTGAAGTACATAATGTTGACTTTAGGAAGAATTTTTAGTGTGTAGTCCTTGATATCCAACACCACGATATGTCCTCTTGGAAAAAAGTCGTAGTTTCGAAGCCAATAATCTCCTTGTATAGTGAATGCCTTGAGTATGTCGTAAAATGAGAACTTCTCTAACTGTGGATCATCGAGTTGATGAATCAAGATTTCGTCTTCATCAGTTTTGTAAGTAGCCAGAGCTCTGGAAAGATGAAAGGTATTTCTCTTATATTTAAATATGCAATGTTGCACCCGCCCGCGCTAACAGTATACATTGACAGAGACCAGTGGAAGATAACAATATGAGCATGAAGTTATGGCAGTCAGCTCATATCGACAAATTTAGCAGAAGTTAACCACTGACAGCATAGAGGTCAACTTCATATGGTAATTGCTAGCAATGCGGTGTCAGTGGTCTAGCCATTCAGCACTTCAGGTTCTATTCCTCGCATCGTAAAAACATTTGTATTCACGATTGTTTGTATTTCTATTATATGTATACTATGTATGTATTTACAAGAAAAAATCAATTAAGTATTTCTATTAGCTGTCTGATACCCATAACACAAACTCTGTTAGGCTTGCGACTAGATGCCGCTGTGTGAATTCTCTAGGATTATTATTATTATTAATGGTATCCACTACTAAGAAGCCTTTCCTATTGAAGGGGATTGTCAGTAATAGACAGAAAAGGTTGTTATGGTATGTTTTGACAGAATTATTCAATATTAATTGTATGTAAATTATTGCATATACAATATGTTGTTCGAATGTGAGCAAAAATAAATGTAAACATCCGTCTAGTCACACTGAATGGCTGGTCAGTTTAGACTCATGTTGAAATACTAATATGATCGATTACTTACTATTTTGTATTAGAGAAGTCAAATATTATAATGTAGACTTTTATCTATACGAAATATTATGATGGCTACACGACGATATACAGGTTATTTTTAAATTAAAGCCATAATCAAAATGCTTCGTTCAAAATGCTACTATTGAAAACGCATACCTAAATCTTTGTATGAAATGAATTGTACTTAACTCAGTTATATGTTTATTGTATTTTATTTAATATTTCTCAAATATAATAATTTATCGCAAATATTGTCTAGCAGAAAATGCTTCAAGTAAGTCCGGTTTGCTTTATGAGGGCAAACAGTTTTATACCATTACAAGTATAGCTTGCGCCGCCTTCATACTGATATAAGTAGTATTGTATTATTTTTCTGTAAATTGATAACATATATCGGTTAAAAGCAGGTAAGAAGTTGTTTGGTACTACTGATAGACATTCTTTAAAAAAAATATTATTTTTCAACCGTTGTTAATGGAGATCATGTCTCAGCAGTCAAAAATATAACAAAAAGTGACCAATTAAGTGCAACTAATTAAATATTTTTTTCATTGAACATAGTTTTTTTTATAATTGAAATGGCAGATACGGTTAAGGAAAATCATCTTAATGGAAATTATCATTGCCTATATCTAAGAATATCACCATTGACATAACATGGTCGCTCATGCGTTGCTATTCATGAGGACATGCCTCCGTACCCGTAATTTCAATATCATGTTGACCTTCATACTGGTACGCATGTTACTCACGCACGCAGACGATTTGTACAAAGTTTACCGCGGTGAAACAAATAAGTCGTATATCTGACCATCTAGACGACCTCGGTGGTCTAGCGGTCGAGCACACCGCTTTACGACCGATGGTCGCGGGTTCGATTCCTCGCACGGCACAAACATTTGTATTCATGAGTATGATTGTTTGTATCGGTCTGGGTGTTTTCTATGTATAATATGTATGTATTTACAAAAAATAATCTATATGCATCAGTTATCTAGTACCCATAACAAAAGCTTTAGCTAGCTTAACTAGGGTCTAGATGGCGCTGTGGTAATTGTCCTGAGATATAGATATATATACCTTAAAGCTTACATTTGACAAATAAATAAAGTATCTACCGTCGTTGATATAACATATGCCATATGACATTGATGTTTTGTTGCTGTCAATGATGGACGGATGGGCATGACGTCATAAAATTTGTCAGTAATAATAATTGACATAATCACATTTGTATTCTGCATATGTTTTAAATATTCATCTTGTCTTCCTTTGCACTTTGTAAACAGGACCAGTTGAAACCTAGACTGTCAGATTTTATCTCATAATTTATTAATTACTATTGTAGCCACACGGCATGCAAAAACTCTGAATTTAAGATACAGTTATACTTTACTAGGTGTTACTAGAATTGTCTACTTCTTTTACCTCAGTTTAGATAAAAAATAGCCTATGTTCGTTTTCTCTGTGTCATCTCATCTATCTATTCTGATTTTAAATTTGAATAAGATTCATTAAACTGTTTATCTGTGAAAAGATAACAAACAGACTGACACATTTTCCAATTTGAATGCAATATACATACAATAATAATTTAAAATTTAAATAAATTTGATCGAATTTTAACCAAACAAAAGTTTCAATTAATTATTCTATATCTACATACCTATATAGTACAAGCTCTGATTGAGACTAAATGGTACTGTCAAGGATAATTACTTTATTCAGTCATATAGATCGTTTTGATTGACAGTATTGCCTCAAATCTGTCTGAATCAACAAAGAATCATTTTGGTACTATTGCTTATTCGTAGTGGTTATTTGCTTAGTGGGTATTCGGAGTAGAGCCAATGGACAGTTTTCGTTTAGCATCTTATAAATATACCCAGACGCCGCCCGGTGACATAATGTAGAACACTCATTGTAATATCCTACCATATACCACGCATATGAGCGTACTTAATAATTACTACGTATTGTTCTTTGGTCGTCATATAAAAGAAGTATATAGGTATGGGTACTAATAAATATATTCGGAATATATAGTTTATTGTGTGTGATGTATGACGTACAATGTGTTTTTGTAATATTCTATGACAATTTAAGGACACAATTTTACAAATTTTAGTTATTAAATATCTTTATTTCAATTATAAATAAAAATAAAGTAATAATAACTGTAATGATGCTAATAATAATAATCCTTAATTCTGAATATCTAACATCTAACTAATTTTTATAATGTATTAATTTACGTAATTATTAGATTTATTAATAAAATTTGCATGCCTACGGAAAAAAGGCATATTACAGCGCAGCCTACTAATGTCACTGTGGCTTAATTATTATGCAAATATATGTCTGTAATGCAAATAAATGACTTACTTACTTTGTCTATTGCAAATGTGTTATATGTATACGTCATTACACCATCAAATGCCTCTGGCACTCTAAATATGGTGCATGGTGCACAAAACACGAATTTTATAAGTGAGTGCATATGTATATATGGTTTATGAAGTGTGAAAACGTGCTTGAAATTGTTGAGAATTTAATTTTCTAAAAACTTTTGTTTACGTGACGCAGTATTTACAGATGTACTATATAAATTTTCAGTGAGCATTATCAAATAGCTATTCTATATATATATATATATATATATATAAAGGACGTTTTACAAAAAAATACCAAAATATAAGAAAGCAGTAAACATTCTTATTGAGAACGTAATAAATGTATGAAATTGTACGCGAAATAAAATTTATGATTGATATATAGCCACAGCAACAAAATATACATAAGTACATGCGTCATATAAGTACTTCTTAAATTCTAGTTTTTTTATGGCCACGTAATAAAGACATATTTTGTAACTAACTTAATATGATACAATATAAGGAAGATACGTAGGGAAATAACTTACTCGACCCTGAATAAGGTCATTTTAAAAATTATACAACAAATTAAAATGACATAAGTACCTATATTTAAATTGTACAGGAGTTAATTTTAATTCGTTGATAACATAAATTAATAACAAGTGACTTTTAAACAATGTTATCCCCTTCTTCATTACACATACTGGTATTTTTTTAATGAAATATCAATTTCAATCTAACAATAAATCAAAATTGTTAGACTTGTGATATTCGTTAAGACTCGGAAATATTTTATTCGATATTAATGTTTTGTACGTCATGATAAAGTGATGGTTTAACAAATATTGGAAAACTGTAAAGTACGACTGAAAAATAAAATATCAGTAATTGATAAATTTACATAATCCAATATACGCATTAATTTTAATACGTTGATCCATGATTGAGGCATTTCTTCTTAAATTTGTTTTATTTTTTAGAATTGCAACCAGTATTTTTAAAAATACTAGAGGAAAGAATTTGAGTTTGAAGACTGTTTAAAAAAGTTTTAATGAAATACATATATGTATACTGTTTACCGTCTAGATTCGGAAATTGGTATAATAACAGACAATAGTTGCATGAAATTTTATTTTTAAGCAATTTATTTTATAATCATGTAGTATTTAAAAAAAACTCATATCGTTAATCGCTGAAATATTGCGGGTGTATGAGGTGTGCGGGGCGCGGTGTCCGATTTTTAAATAATTGTTTATCACGGCCTTAAGCTATTGTTACTTATAATATATTATATAATCGTATTACGTACGTAATTGAGAATGCCGCTGTCATCTTTGAGGACGTGGGATCCCTTGACGTGTACAATTCCGTGAGTGAGGCGCGCGTCGTACAAAACCTCTCGATGCACTTTTTAGTCCGTTCCAGACTACCATAGCAGCTGTGCAGAAACTTTCTCAGCATTATTTCATCTGGAATATGAATTTTTACAATAACATTAAAAAAAATCTTCAAATCCGTTGAATTTTGATTCAGATAGAGGTACTTAAACAACTTACAGCAAAGATAGAGAACTTTCAACATTCCTTTTTTGAAATAAAAATATCTCTTTAGTTATTAATAATCATTGTATTCAAAATTGTTTGAAATAATAGATAATAATTTGATAATAATAAATAGAGACTGTAAACAAATTGAAAGTAATAGACGTGTTAAATATTACGTATTTGACAGTTTGACAAATAAAACTGGTTAATATATTTTGACACTATGTACCTACTAAAATTTTGACTTTTCAAGTCCTTGGCCTAAGTTCGTTATAATGTTCGTGTTGTTTACAGTTAGTTATAATGAGATACATAATACCTAATTATGAACAAAATGAAATATATATTACACTAGCCGTAAACTTTGTTTTGCTACATACATTAAAATAGCTATTAAAAATAGGGGTTGATGCTATGAGGCTGAAAATTTAGGGATGTATGTATTTTTCAATCCTAAATAAAATAAAAATAAAATAATATGTCGAAAAATTAAAAAAATATATTTAGGGGTGGATATCTCTTACTACTTAGGGGTATGAAAAATAGATAGTAGTTGATTCTCAGACGTACTGAATATGCATATAAAATTTTATAAAAATCGATCAAGCCGTTTGGGAGGAGTATGGTAACTAACATTGTGACACAAGAATTTTATATATAAGATTATATAATGTTGAAGTTCATGAAGCTGGACTTTTCCAGAAAACGCTGAACACATATACTCAGTATAACCACACATAATATTACCTACATAGTATAACGGAAATACTAGTATAATGTTAAGTAAGGGCATCAGGTATACCTTATTAGGTACATTATTGTTTGCCTTTAATGATCTAGACACGCGGCAGCGTATCAAGCCGAGTTTCAAGTAAACTGGCCTTGCAGCACCGTGTGTATATTTACACGAACCATTTGGAGCCACTTTTGACCCCCTCATAACTCAAAAACTCTTTCACACAAACCTGTCAAATTTGGTTCATATATTGAGACTTGCGAGATAAATATGTGTTCCAAATTTCATAAACATATCTCAAACGGTTATTTAGATATTAATGTCCAAAAATCGTCATTTTTATCACTGATCAACTATAGATCAAAATTATAACCCACTTCCAGATGACCTAGGAAGTTCAAATTTGGTATGCAGATAGGTAATTAGGTGAATATAAAGGAAAAAATCTGAAACTGGTAAATTGTTATCATTTTACTACAATTTTTCACTTTAATTGATTCTATTTCAACTTATACTGGACGAATACTAAAATTCTATGAAAACGTCGATAGCCACCAATTGACATTGATCCCTGGCGAAAAATCTCATCTTGTACTGGACCGAAAGTAATATTGTATGAAAACGTCGATCATTACCAATTTACGTTGACCCCTTCACATCAGTGTCGATAACTAGCAAACTTCAAATATTGCATATATATTGCTATAATTTAGATTCTGTCTAAAATATACTCGTACTTATAACTAGGAGTATAGTCGAATTTCGTATTTATTATGTTATTAACTGAGATTTGGTATTAATTATTGGTTCAATATTTAGCGCACATCGATAGTGTAAAATCATTATTTTTATAAATAATTATTAAATAATAGGCATTTCGGTATAGGGCGCCGCGGTGGCGCCGTGTGGGAGCGTGCTCAATGTTTTGTTTCTGGATATCTAACCTATAAGGTTGCGATTTATGCTACGAAATTTATAGCTTTCTTAAATTATACTTATATATTTGTGATTATATTATTATTACATTATTTTAGTAAATACGTATGGTATAGACAATAGTTTAAACCAAAAATTAATAACAATTTTAGTATAGTTATAAATAGGAATGTACAGTTAACTCGAGAATGAGAACTTATTGGTAACAAATTGTTTTCTTGAGAATTCAATAGATAACAGTCAATTTGTTACATAATCGTCTTTACGAACTATAACGTGTCAATACGAAGTTTCACATATTAAATAATGTATATGTTCATTGAGAATAATTCCGTATTTGCTTAACATATGCTATTACTATCCACAAATCACAAGGCCTTAGTTTTGGCAGTCCTCTTCTCAACATAGCCTCCTCTATATTTAATAAAGGGCAGGTTTACGTTGGACTCTTCAGAGTTAAAACCCTAGATGGAGTACGTCTTAACAATTTTGATCCAAGTCACGAGAGCTCTATTGTAGAGTACAAGACGTTATACCGCCCCGATTTGCCCAAAAATTCCTGATACTGAATTGGCATTGCACTTGAACATTTAAAAGTTACAAGAAAATATAGAAAATAACACAAAAAAAAAGACAATTATACCCCGTAAATATACGAAAATACAGTAATTTATCAAAAATAATTTGGTATTAATTTAGTTATAAATAAGTACCTCGTATAATTTATGTACAAAAAGTAATGATATCCCATCAAAAACATAAATGTGAAATAATAGCCGAGTTTAATATTATGATATATGGCTTGATTGTTGACTTCTACGACAAAAGAGATGAGATCTAAATGGGTGCCAAGTTCATTGGTCTGTCCTGAAATGTATTTATAACAATATAAAATATCATTTCTTCTTATAACTTAATATACTGTAGCCTAAGGTCTAAAGTTTTCATATACGAAATATACTGTAGCCTTCGCAAGTTCTAAACATGTTACTTGTCGGTAACTAGCAATCGAAAGTAATAATTGGTATATGAGAACTGGCTAGATGGTACAGTATATTATCCTAAGTTATAAGAAGAAATGATATTTTATATTGTTATAAATACATTTCAGGACAGACCATTGAACTTGGCACCCATTTAGATCTCATCTCTTTTGTCGTAGAAGTCAACAATCAAGCCATATATCATAATATTAAACTCGGCTATTATTTCACATTTATGTTTTTGATGGGATATTAGTTAACAGTATTGTTCAAATAGTTAAAGATTACAGCACAATATTTACGAGCTTAACGGAAACTAGTTCTTGGAAGGTCATGTAACTTTTGGTATTTGCCTGGTTGTTTAGTTGGTAGAACGAGGTACATCTGTAGATTTTTCGATTATTTCTCATTAATTTCGAATAAAAGACTGAGCCCATTGCTAGTAATGGGCCCACTAATCCTAATGGTACTATACCAGGTCGGTGCCTACACTATACCACTTTAAAAACTAAACCATTGTGGTAATTTTTTTATAGACAAATTTGCTTGCGGTTTACCGGGTGGTAAGGGATTACAGCCACCTATGAGCATCCGTAACACAATTCCCATAATTGGCCTTTCAACTTTTTAAAAGATCGGCAACGCGCTTGCATTTCATCGGTTAGGGAATACTGCTGCTGGATGGTAGTTTCTCAATTAAGGTAATTCCTGGGTGAAGTTGCCACCATGGGCTAACTGACGCTCTATCTATCATACTTCAAGTAGTAGTAGCTATATGGCGCTTCGCAAGTAGATATATGGCGTTAGCGCAGATCCGTGTATAATTGTCTACTTATGTTCGACTTAGAAGACGAAGTAATAAAAATTTTCTGGTACTGATTTCCGCGACTTTATCTGGTGACCATGTCTAACCATGAACCGTGAACGTGTAACAAGGAAGTGGTAATTCGCGCAAGTAGAACTGTGAAAACAATGAAAAAAGTGTGTATGATATTGATATATTGTTAATTGTTCTGTATCAAAGGAAATGTTTTTATTTTTAGGATAGTATTTTTAGCAACAAAAATAATTGTGTTCACATATACCAATATTTTAAATCGTTTCATAAACCGATTTAATTACAAATTACTATAGATCAAATACTAAATCTACTATCTACTAATAAATATTAAGATCCGTTACTTGGTTCTAAATAATTATGGAGAGATTCATATGGTATAATACACACTAAGAACAACTTTGTTTTGCTTATGTAATGGTTGACATTACGACAATTTTAAAACAAACTTTTGACGTAAAATAGTCATCATACTTTATGAACACGGTAAACAAAACTACGAACATATTCTTGTTTACAGTCCACTCCACGGTACAGTCTGTATAAAATTCGAACAATTTAGTAGTTAGTCACTTTTTGTTATATAATTCTGATTTTATCTTTATTTTTATGACTATGCACTATTTAGTAGTTTATATTCACGCAAAATTATAAGTATGTAAAGTTGTATAATTTCTGTGTCTGGTATAATTTAAATATCAACTAGTAGCAGTGTTTCCTGTTCGTATTTGAATATTGAATAAAAAAAGGTAACAAACATTTTTATAAGTGTTTAAAAATAAAACTGAGCAGAGCTTATGCTATGCAACTAAACAACTAATTAAAAAGCTTAAAATATTTTTTTTGTAAAGACAATAGACATTCATGCACTCACATTAATGCAATAATTCATATTCATGAATACAAATGTTTCGCGACTATCGTAAGTAAGGTGGTGTGCTAAACCGTACCTACATAGTATCATCTACATATTTATACTGTGGCTAAATCGCTAGACCACCGACGCCGTTACTAGTTCTTTTCGTTCCTAATTATTTTCATAAAAGAGAATAGAATAATTTTAATATTTAAGTAATTTACTCCGTACTAATGGTAAAAGTGTGTCTAAATATTTTACCAAAAATGATAATTAAATAGATTATTTGCATGTACATAAAAAAACAATTTCTATTGTGAAAGTAGGCATTACATATCATGGCGAGACACTGTGGTAGGTACGCATGCGCAGCACTGACTGATAATGCCAAAGAAAGTTGCATGTCTGCTGCCTCTGATACAGTTAATAACAACATTACCTAATATTAGAAATCTGAAAGTGTATATTTGTACATTTCTATTCGTTAGATCCTCTTTTATAAACAGAAAAGACGTTATCAATTAGACAGTGATTTTTTTCTTACGCCTCGGGACGTCTTTGCCAAGTCGATTCACTACGATTTTTTTACTAGCAGGCACGATTTTGTCTATTATTTATTTACTACTGTTTGTAATGTATCAGAAGTTGGTAAGTATCAGTATCTAATACATTAGTTTTTCTGTAGGTTTGAAGTGCCTTCTGAATTCGATCCAAGAAGCTATAAATTTCAGGTGCGACCAATAGCATTAGAATTGTTCAAAGAGTTTTAGCGTAAAATCCTTAGTGTAAATTGAAATCATTACCTAAAAACCATCTTTTATGTCAAGATACACGGTATCCTTCAGTGGAACGATAGTTCTGTAATATGGTTTTTCGTACGATAAAGTATTAGTAGATTAAGAAATTATATACTTGTCATATATTTCTTACTAATAAAATATGTGTATATTATATTTATAAATATATTTAAATTTACAATACAAAGGCACAATGTATTTTATGTCTTCTGAGAGATACCTATAAATGTTACGACTTACACATATTTACATAACTATGAAACTGGAAATAAGGGAACTGTTAATGTATGCAATTATTGTCTTATACAAATGTAGTTATTGACAGTAGAGTTGCCAATATCGAAATATTTTATGAAAAAAGCCAATATGTGTGGTTTAAAAAGATAATGGTTATTGTAAATTACTCATAGAAAACCCAAACAAACTATTGTAACTAGGTACATATTGACAATGAATATACAAAACCTATAACCATTGGCTGTTTATTCTTTGTTAATAAATATTTGTTCAAATATCGTTCATTTTTCTGTTGCAATATTTATTAATATTCAAAGTCTTCGCAACTATTTCTTATAAAAATTCAGATTCGAAATATAGTGAGAATTAATTTGACTCTGCAGAACCTCATTTAGGACCTAAATTTGTTTACATATATATAAGTCAATCAGCAGTAAAATGATAGATATCACTGAATAGGTGTGCTTACCTATAATAAAGTGGACCAAATAATATATACTTAGATAAAACTAGGTGTAACAGGTACTAGGGATTAAATAGAAGAGATAAAAATTCTGTACTAACCCAAAACAGTGAAGCAAAAGCAAGTAAACGATGTTTAAAACTCATCATTTGCATGTATACAAACTAAAAATGTTTATTATGGTAAATTCACATTGCACTCTTTATACAATAGTGCTTGTTGTTTGGAAAACATGACTTCGTCATGCCAGCGAGTATAATACAATACTTCTGAGTCTCAATCTAATTTCCTTACCCTTTAATCTGAAATACAGCTTGCAAAGTAAATAACATGGACATAGACCCAGACTCAAAAAGTTTATGAGATTAAACTTTTTAAAGACATTCATTTAAAAATAACAAATGCACAAGATTTTGCAATTGTGAATTGACTTTCTAAATAATGTTATTACTAAAATAGGTTCTCCGTTCCAGAGACCGATTATGTTGACAGATCAGATAACAATGACAGTTATAATTGCAACAACTATTTGTGGTTTTGATTAACTCTTTATTATTTTAGACCGAAAGCTCTAATTTGGACAGAAAAAATAATAAAATATAAAATCATATTTCAATAATTTATTCGTTCGGTTGGAAATAATTTTCACGAGTACCTACTTAAAGGTCATGGCTATAAGAGGCGAAACGCATTAAGAAACCTAAATTGGGACATTTTATATCATTTTGTGAATATATCTGGATCTCTTTCAACGTGCCTATTTTCAGTTTTATATCCAGAAATATGATTTGGAGAAAAAATCTCGATGATAAATATCTGTCATTTGTATATTTATGATGTTTACTGGACTCTGGTTCTGGTTCTTAATGCACGACGTGCGGCGCTTGTTTATTCTTCGACGTTGGTCTAACATATATTAAAACTCCAATTTCTGCAGTTAATTTTGAAATAAACTTGAACAAGCTGGTATATATTTGCTAAGTATAAATAATATCTACAACAACAGTTTCGGTTGTGTATTCTATGTTAATATGTTTTAGTGCTTTTGTTTCCTGTCATATTTTTTTCTTGTTTAAAGTTTTTGTAACTAATTCCTGTGTCTAAATATTCGTTATTACTGATCGCTTGAAGTTATAGGTTGACTTTAAAAAGAACAAAATACAGCGACAACTAGTAGGTTAAAAAATATGGGTATTTTACTGAAGTGCCTTAGTGTCTGAAATGAATAATCCTACATGACCTTATAAGTTAATGATTTTCTAAATTGAATATAATAGTAATAATATTTCTTACACTATAGTTTTTCCATAAATTCAACGTAGATTATGTAAATTAAATGCAGACAAATTATCTTTTTGTCTGTTTAGTTAATTACAAATCACGGAAGTATTTTATTTATATAATATTTAGTTTCATAATTTAATATGCAACATACAATTATGTTATAGAAAATTAAAAAAATATGTACATAATTGTATTATTATAATGCAGTTATTTTTAGAAACATACTCCGTAATTTCCAACACTTTTGCCTAAATATAGTGAATCACACCATGTCCATGTAGTTACTACAGATACATGCAAAAAACTTTCTCTTTTTTTAAGTCGTCTCGAATTTTAGATGCCTTTTTAGTTAAAATTTGGGATTACATTTTCTTTATTTCCATTACTTACACTAATACTAATGATTATCATATACAGACATATTGCATCTCTATTAAGCAGGTATAGCTACGTTTGTATCTTCTTATAAACAGAAAATTATTCGTAAATAGCAAAGAGTTGTACATAACTGTTTAGTAGCAGTAAGATAATAAGACAAGTGTAATAATAATATTCATTCAGGACTCATATCCCAGATGAGGTATTTACAATTGTTGCCATGGTTATCATCTTATTAATTTAGTTTCTTATAGGTGTTTCCATCACTAGAAAGTTACTCACAAATATAAATTATAAATATATTAAAGGTGTTTTAGTATTTACTTTATTTGAACTCATGACCTTCAGATAGAAGCCGAGGTAGTAAATTAACACAAGGCAAAAATGTAGACACGAATTATTAGAAATAAATATACAAGTTTCTCGTTTCCGTGGCCAAAAACTGTATGCAAGCATTTTATTGCGTAATGAAAAACTATAAATTACTAAAATATTAATGTATAAATCTATAAATATACGCACTGACCTACAGACGTTATCCATCACTTTCACTAAGTAATTATATATGTACATAAAACAGACTCGTCCGTTTTATCACTTAGATTTACTTTTTTTTTAAAACTCTAAGAAAGATTCTGTATTCCATTATATTCTATTTTTGTTAATTTTGTTACGTTCATAGTTACACAAACATTTAACGTAGAGAGATTACAGGATTTAAATTTGCTTTCATAATATGTTAATTATTTATTTAAGTAGTACCTAACAATACAAAAGTCATTTTACATATACTAATTGCATTTATTGTCTTTAACAGATAGATTTATAGACAGATTTTAAAATATTCCGCTAATAAGAATGCGGTACTAACGGCCGTCCCGACATCACCCGGATAGTAGAACCTGAACCTTTATCCGGATATTATTCTGTACTTAAATGAAGACTTTTTAAGACTATCTCGCACTTAGAGACAGACACGGTGGAGAACTTTAAATTATAATATGTACAAGCGGCTCGCCCAATATTACACAGGTGTTGCTGGCAGCTTGTCTACAATTCTTTTTATAAACTTTGTATTTTTATATCTGTTTTTTTATATGTCACTTTTGACTAGTTGTTGTTACTTTTCGCTGTGAGCCCTTTTGGGAAATATACAAAATTATTACTACTATTTGATTTTTAATTAAAATAGACGTTGTGTTACCGCTCCAGTCACAACAGGTATTTCAATTTTGGTACACAAACCCTCAACGAATTATACAATTGAGCTACAACGAATAGAAGAAGCATATGTTAAAGGCCTATATCCGGGGGCTACATAGTTACGCGAAAGTGCTAGACGGATGGTATAGAACTACACTTTCATTCGAAATATCTCTGTTGCTGACTGAAAATCCATCCAGTATAGCATTATGAAATATATAGACATCGCGAATATACAGACAGATGCAATGCGGTATTTGACTTATAATATTTATACGAGTAGATACCGTAATGGGACTTCACGTGCGTGTATATTCATATATAGTGCTTATAAAATGAATTCAATGCCTAATATTAGACTATTACTCGACTGTCAATAGCTTTTGTTTCCTGTCATAAATGATTGAAAGAGTTAAGTAGGTAGGTACTCCTTTCAATATTCATAGGTTCGATTTCTGCACATTAAAAACATTAGTATTCATGATTTAATAGCGTTTTTCGATGTATTATATAAGTTTTAAAAAATGCGTTAGATTACATTTCAAAAACTTCTATCTTACGTTTCAAATTTACGAAATAAAATTTAAGTGTAAGACAAACATTAAGCACGAATATAAAAAACGACGCGGCAAATTGGAGTCATGCAACAGATATTGATGCCTACGCAGCCAGTGCCACAATTTGTTTTGTGCATGTGATGAATAAGCGTCCAAGGGGTTAAGGATCTATCAGTTATATGGTACTCACAATAGAGGTTACGCGACTGTTATTCCAAATATTATTTTCATGGTTTCAAAGCAACACATGATCATACTTACATTTCGCTGGAAGTTTAGCGTATTTAAAATTGTAGTAGCCATATTATTTTATCAGTGTCATAGTACAGCCTCTACATAATTTAGAACTAGATGAGGCTGTGTGATGTGTAGTACCTATTTGTCTATTTTGTCACTATTGATGCCAGCAGTAACAAGATTGCAGAGTTTTCGGCTCCAATGCCACTGTTACCACATCAACATTAACGTGCAAGAATTTCCACTCACCAAGGTCTCGGGGTAGATATGTTTCTTTGGCGATCCATTCCTTAATGGACACTAAATCTTGATCATTGACTTCTTGTGGCATCTAAAACACATATTTTCATTTTATTAATATCACAATCTATTATTATAATTTTTTTGAAGATAGGTAGATCTTGAAAAAGCCTTTTCCATGGATGTACTATTTTAGTCGCCAAGCAGCTTGCATTGTGCGATGTGTTTCGGTAGTATAGTGACATAAGTGAAATTACAGGATAAAGCATTACATACTCCGAAATAGCAACGCCTGAGTGATTTCACGGGCGTCATATGATTAAGTGATGTCTGTAGCGTGTAGGAATATAGGTGACAGTGACCACTTAACATCAGGTGCGTCAAACAGCTTCTGACAAAATTAATACGAGACTAGAAAATAACAAATTAATTGGTTGAATAAAAATACTATATTCTGTCAAATTTAGCAAAGATTAGATTATCAGATATAGAAAGAAAAATACATCCAAATTCAGAACATTATCGTTTTTTTTTTATTTTACTGATAAATGAGAAACTACCTACACGCTGTTATCTATGGATACGACCGTGGCCATTTCTCGATGAATTCGCCACAATTGGTCAAACTGACCTGATTTCAATCTCACCCTAGGCACAGGCAGGTTACAATCAAGTATTTAAAAAATATTGTTTAATTAATTCATGTTTGTGGAAGCTAGAAACTAGAAATAATGCAAAGGTGTTATAAATATGAGACTTAATTAATTGTAATAAGAGGTACAAGGTTAAGTAAGTTCATATTTGGAACACCATAGCACTTACTGCAATGTATTTAATTTATGATATTGCAATCGTTATTACATTACAAAATACTTAGTTGTTATAATTTGTGTATTACAATATAACAACTAAGTATTTTGTAATGTGCTAATAATGTCTTGACGTCATATCTAGTATATAAAATTAATTACTTAGTTAATTGAACATTATATTGTTACATTTAAAATAATTTAAATGAAGAACTTATGATTTTTTTTACTTAATTAATATAATTTACCTAAATAACAAAAAATATATCTAAATATATTATCACTTCTGTAGCACCATGTAAAATAATTATTTATTTATTTTATTTCTAACAGAAAACGTAGATTATACGTTCAACGATTTCTGTTGCGTATGTAAGTTTATCTACAGATTTAGTAACAAATAAAGTTGAGCTTTTCACTTATTATATAAATGTACTTTACTTTCTAGATAAACACATAAAAAGATGATATAGATTTACTTAAAAATTTTAGAAAAAATGACATAACAATCCATTTATTTAAGTTAAATTAAAGATTTTCTTTTAACAAAATTTAAAATTCCCAAATAGGATGTCTTGCTTTTATTATATATTACATGATCATACGTAATAATAAAAATATACATACTTAGATATTTAAAGAAAACATTTAAAATTACATTTTAATGACTAACAAAAATATTTAAAAATAATATAATTACAAACCTTTGTGTCGACTCAGAAACGTTTTCACAAAACCACGTGTAAGTGTTCACTATAACGTAACAATAGCCGCAAAAATTTTATGTTCCAAGTATTTAAGAAATTTGAATGTGCGCATTAAATTTCGTGGAGTTGCACGTTTTCTGTCCACCAAGCAGAATGGTATCACCACTCTGACTAAACTGCTACAGCGAACACAATCACAACTCGCAATACTAACAGACAGCGCTATACTTCCGAATTTACTCTTATGTGCATACTCCGAAATCATTTATGTCTACTCCGTTGGCAAACTCAGTCGTAATGATACGACGGTGTTGCATCCGAAACTGAATATGCTGATACAAAATAATACTAATTCGGTATATGTTGTCATAATGATAGCATTGAGCAACCAATGGATACCTACATTCATGGCCTTATGTGCTTACACTGTTAATAAATTTAGTTTGATTCTTGCGTCAATGTAATTTAATAAAATATGAATAATATTTAGTTTGTACAAACTAAACACTGTTACTTCAAAAGGTATTTAATGTTCGCTACAATTTTGTATAAGAAATAAAATTTTATTAAAAAATAAAAATAAAATACTTAGTCACCCTTAGCACGTAGAGCTATAAAAATTGATAACAACCTATTATCAGGCCTATACATATATTTATCAAAATCGGTTAAATACATACCTACATAGAAAATATCCAGACCGATACAAACAATCATACTCATTAATTCAAATGTTTGTACCGTGCGAGAAATCAAACCCGCGACCGTCGGAAGTAAAGCGGTATTCTAAACCACTAGATCACCGAAGCCCTCGAAATTGTTGTATAACTACTTCTCTACTTAGAACGGGCCGCTAATTAGTTATAAAAATATCTACTTACTTAATTGCTAAAAATATTTTGGAGGTTTTATTTTATGAAGCCATAATGAGAACCGCCTAGGATTTATTACGTTATTTTTTTAGAAAGATTGTTGGAAATTTGAAATCGTGTAGTTACTTATTTTGTTGATAATTTGTGTTGTTATTGCGTTTATAACTGTACAGTCAGCATAATAGCGATAGACGAAGTATACTATTATAATGATAGTTATGAAAGTAGGTATACGATACTTTGACAAAGTCATCTTCCTAATCTTATATGTAATATTATGTTATCTGTGCTAATACATATATGTACCTATAAACGCGAAAGTTTGTGAGTATGGATGGATACATAGATGGATAGATGGTAGTCTTTCACGCAAAAACTACTGAACCCATTTTAATAACACTTTACCGTAATATATACTTTATACAATAGAATAACACATAAGCTCTAAACTTCATGTCGGTGAAACCGCGGGCACAGCTAGTTTATAGTAAGTGAGACAGAGGTAATCATCTCTTCTCACTTATTATTTCATACTTACTATAATATGTCTATTAATAATATAATTATACTAATCGGTGTTGTTTGACATGAACAATTTATTAGTGTAAACACATTACATTATTGATTTTAAAATGTTATGTTAAAATATGTTTAGGTTTATATAAAACCAAATATTTATAGACACAATTGTCTATCATTCCGACACTTAGGTGTCATTTTTATATTTATTTTATTTTATATAATAATTAATAACACTCTTCATTGCGTACTTAAGAAGAATTACAAATGAAAAATTAACATAAATGTGCTAGACAAAAGGCGGCCTTACTCTTTAAGCCATCTCTAAAGAAGACCTGTACCACAGTATCGATATTTATAATTTTTTTCGACATAATTTATGACGGATTGAAATGTGTGGGTCGTGACTAAAACTTGTACAGACAAGGGATTTTCCACGGACTAGTGTGCGTTATGCAATGCAATTATGTTTTGCAATGTTCTGTTTTAGCGCACAAAAAAGTACGCCAAAGTAGTATACATTTTTTTAGTGATGATGAATGGAATTGTGCATTCGCCTGCACTAACGGTATCGAGGCACCAGTAGACGATGATAAGATGAATATGAGGTCAGGCCAGTTAGCCCATTTTAACAAAATCACCAGGAATTTGTCACGATGATTTCCAGGGGACGTTATTAACAATTCCCTTTGCGCCCCAAAGTAGTATATTTGGTAGCAAATAGTTTAGTAATAATTGGAGAGAAATGAAAAGACGCCTTAGAAGGCGTCTTCTGATATGTTCAAGTGTGATATGCAAAGAAAACACCCACATCAACATTAACCGTTATTGTATAAATTAACTTGTGTGTAAATAGAACGCTTGACATCGAAAAGGTGGTCGCACTTCGAAGGCTACATGGAAATCTGTATCGAACGAGAAAGGTGAACTCTTTGGACTAATCATTCAATAGGATGAGTATAAAATTTATCATTTAGTCGATACTGACGTATTCACCAGGAATTAACCAAATTTACAACTAAAACGTGACCAATGGTAGTCCCATTACGGGCAGCTTTATATTAGTTATGCCAATTTCATTAATTTCCCTGCCCCCTCCCCTCCTTGTCGCTGCTGGTCACATTGTAATAGTTATAATTTATTTTATTTATAATTTAAAAAGATTAAAACAAATATAATAATACATAAAAAATGTATATACTCGTATTAGGTAGGTACATATAATGTGGTCTAATTTAAATTACTATTAACACAAATTATAACTCTGTCCTACATTTCATGATTTTATATTTTCATGATCCAAATTTATGGACGAACCCTCAGACGTCTGACGTAATTTATGAGTGATCTCGTAGGTACAAACCAGAAGCATGCCCTCCTGAATATATATATTAAAAAGTGTATTCAGAAAATATAAAATACAGCATACACCTATATATTTGCGGAAGTGTGACGACATGTATTTGTAATTGGAAGCTAGCAGTAATTTAAGAGACATTGTAATGAAACTAGTCATTACGAACGTTTATTTGTTATTTCAAATTACTCTGTCATAATTGCCTAAGTGGAATTATTATCCATTATCTGATCTTGCGTGTGTGCTTAACTGAGACTATGTTGAGCACAGTTGTCTATTTATTTCAGATTTTATATTATATTTATATATCTATTGCAATACTTACTTAAAATATCTATATGATTATAATAATACTTGTTTTCCTGATTTTAATGTTATTTATTCGTTGTTAAGGCAATATAAACATTAAAGGCTAAAATATGTGCATTTTTTATTCTCAAATCATTAATAACTAGTTTATCAATAATTATAATTTTAAAAAATGTATCAAAAAGATCTACAATTCATACAGATTCCAAAAAAGGATCGCAGTTAATATTAATTTTGAGAATAATAGAAAATGCTTGATTTATTGAAAAATTGTGCATTCTCAGAAATACGACCGTAAAAGTATTAGTACAGATACTGTACTCGTCTTGCTGTTAAAGGTATTGCTTTGCTATCTCTTTCTTACTCATACGGTCACGGTATTATGGTCTTCGACCGCTCCTCTATTTAAAAATTACCTTAACTCTTCGTTAATAACTAACAAGTAACATGAAGCGAGAGACAAATAAAAAGCATTATGTAAAATAGAACAGTATATTAAAAATAAATTCAAATCCTTCTTCCAGAATTCATATTACCAACAAATTACAGTAAGATCGTGTACAAAATATAGTCTATTTTATTCATCTAACCTGTGAAAAAATATATATACATTTACACAGATATTGATCAGCTTTTTTCCAAATACACATATAGGAACATAATCACTCACATTTTTTTACTTATTATTAAACTATTTCAATCTTTACGTATAAAATACTCGTATATAGGTATATAATTTATCACTTTCTATCAGATTTCAAATATGCCAGTTGTAATTAATTTACTATTCTATATAATTAATAAACCCGCAATTTCTAATACAAAACCTATTAGTAAAAAAATATATTTTATATATCTATAAAAATAAATGTCACCTATGTACCAAAACCATATTGAAATAAATAACATTGATTTGTATTTCTTAATCTTCATCCTTGGCCCAAATGGCAGTAAAATTTTGTCATTAATTTACTAAGTTTAAATTTCGAAAATTGTGTATGTGAAACCGCTCTTAACAATAGTATTAGTAAGTAGTTAATAATAGTGTTTTGTGTAGTGATTTTCACTACACAAAACACATGCAAAAGTATTCTAAGGTGTATGTAATTCTTCCAATGGCAGCCCTAAGAAATTTTCCTAGAGAAAATTCTAAGAGAATTTATCCTGTTGTCGATGTTGTGAATATACCTAACATTCAATGTGAACATCATCATCATGAGAGTATCATAAACTCGAATGAATATATTGTTTTTTAAATCACTTAACAACAGTCCACTACGTTACTATTTTAGAATTAGATGAATGACTAGCTTATTTTTTTTTCAAAGATTAATCAGCAACAAATCGACGGCCTAATGATTACATTTCATAGCGTAATTTATGAAGAAGCGTTAAAATTTTTACATGAAATATTGCTATTTCATACAAGATTTCATGTGAAATATTGTATAAAATAGCAATATTTCATGTAAAAATTTTAACGCTCTAAACCAGAACCGTATTTAACGTAATACAGATTTAATTCAGGGTAATATGAGGTCAGATTGAATGCACTGGATAATTTTATCAACAATAAACAGAAAAAGTAGGTACTACATTTGGATTACAGTTCACTGATGTATATACAATACAAAAGAGAGTCCTGCTCATAACTTGGCGGAAATAGTATACCTACTAATATGTATTTCAAAATAGTGAACAAAGTATGTAGACAAAGACCCATGCTAACTCATTCTATCTCCCATAATGTACCAAGATTTCAGTGTGACTGTAATTGTCTTAGTTTACATTAACTATTTTTACACGTATCATTCATTACTCAATAACTAATTATATTCTTGAATATATACTTTCATTATTATCTTTATTTATAATTAGGTACTCAATAATATTTGTACTCAAATTATATGCAACACAAAAATAGATATACCTACAAGTGACTAGCGACCCGTAGTGACTCCACATTGCATTACAAATCTTTGAATTTCTCGCCTTTTCTGTACTAATGTGCAGGTATTATACATATAAATCTTCCTCTTGAATCACTCTATTTATTGGTATACCTTTAATTAAAATCCGTTACGAAGTTTTTAAAAAATTAAGCACTGTCTATATAGTGACAGTTATATGTCGTAAAGATGAAGAAAATAAATTATTTATAACAAAGTTGGTACACTGCCAAATTTTATGATTTTTTAACTGAAAATGCATTCTCGAGTGCATAAATAAGTCAAGCCATAATGTGCTAATGCTGACTTAACAATATTATTTCATTTCAATTCCACGTACACAGTATAAATAATGCATTTAATGCCCAAAATATACATAGGTACATAGAGATTACTTAATATCTATAAAGTAACTAAAATCTTTTAAGTTGGAATGTAAGAATTTCCAAGTTCTATTCACAGAGTATATTTCTACATAATATACGTTGTATTATTGTGAAACGCCATGAGATCAAAACGTTTTATATTACTGTATTTTTTTTTAAAAAGTTATGATTGTCAAACAAAATGTGAATAGACATATCTTCATACCATACGGACTATTTAACAAACAAATTTTGAAGAGTACAAATTATTATTATATTAAATTCCAAAAAAACCGAATATTTCAAATTTATTGATAAATGCAAAAGCATTTATCAATAAATTTGAAATATTCGGTCGGTTCAAAAAATTTTTGAATTTGTTGTCATGTAAAAAAAATGTTATGTTTACAGTATTGTATAGTATTGACATAGTTGTAATTAGATATACTTTTATATTTAATTTAATTTAATTATATTTAAATTATAATTTTATATAAATGAAAACAAATTTATTTTTACAGTACTAAGTAGTCTAGCCAAACGTCTTTTGAACTATTTTAAACTTATCCTGAAACTGCATATTCGGAAATTCACTTAAATCTATTATTTCCTAAACTCATATTATAAGTTGCCCTATTTGAAATTGACGGAGAAGAAAAACTATTACTGATTTATATAACTTTTATAGTCTAACCCCTTGCAACTGGGGGGAAAAGGAGATTGTTAGTAATGTGGACTGATGATCTTATTGCTAACAATGTACCATGTCAGGTTACCTCCACTGATGCACTGCCAGTTTTATCCGTTAGCGCAGGCAGGTGCACCATTCCATTACCATACATAAAAAAACCCCTTGAGACTTCATTTTACAGGCCTTATTTACTTTTTGAACAAGGGCGAAACTGAGAAAACTTGATGTATTTAAAATTTTATAAATTTATATTTTTGCAAATATATTTCATGTAGGTATTATAATGCTTTATCTAGACTATCAAGAGAATCAAATAGGACAACTTATAATATCAAAATAAAATTCGAATATAGTTACGCAATGCAACCAAATTAAATCGAATAAAAATTGTGATTTACTAATCAACACACACCACATTTCTAAATTGATTCTAATAATAGTATAAAAATATAATATATCTATCATAGTTAAAACATGAAAACACAGCCTTTCGGACACGTAACGATTTATATTTGTGTACCTATGTGTGAATACGATAACAATTTAGTTGCATTTATAGACAGGTATACATTATATCTATATAGATCTAAGGCACCGATAGTAATACTATTTAAAATTTCATTGAAATTAATCAATAGTAAGCGTACGGAATAGTGTGTCCACTAATGAATTTTGTTCCTTTGGAGATTTGTCCTTTGTCTTTTTCTCTACTTTCCACAGGTCATCGCAAATTAGAGATTCTCTGGAGAATGAAGAATATCAAATTAATTAAAAATAACATCAATGTTTATTTATATAACGGACGGTTATCAGATGTGCTGGTGACAGGCTTTGTCAATTTAAACGCAAGTAGTTTAGCGGCTGAAAAACATAGGTGAGATTGACATACCAACGCAGAAGACTTTTATTTCTGGAAAAAAATTACCCTACAAACTACAGTGAGTAATCAATTACAAAAGGAGTTGTAAGTCGACATTGAATAATTTTTCGTTTAAAACTTCTACTTCATCATCATCATCATTATTTCAGCACGGAAGACATCCACTGCTCCAAAATATTAAAAACTTCCACTTATTTTAGATGTTTTTCAAAGTGTGTACATTTCATATTATCAAAGTATTTGTTAATTTTCCCGATATCCATATCCACATGTTTAAAACGGTGTAGGTTACACTTACACTTTTTTGGAAAATTATATGTCGACGATGCTATAAATGAGCAACGAAATTGAAAGTTCCTGGACTCGAAAAGGATTTTCAACTATTTCTTGGAAGCTATTCGTATCTAACAATTGTTTCAAAAGTAGTCGAAGAAACTATTCGTATTAAGTCGTTAAATAAGCATTTCTAAAGCGCATTTAAAAGAGCGTGATTTATTCTCTTCGTTTGAAGATTGGTTCGACAAAACGATTGATTAAAAGTTTAAATTTTATTTTATATAGTATTTTATTAATAGAACTAGGCACGGCCTAGTTTAGATGCTAGTGGCACTAATAAATTTAAACCAATGATTTGTCTTACATGATATTCTAACATAATAATTATAGCTAATCTCGTTTCACGTACTTGTATAGGATTGTGTCTATTGTAGTCTTGGGATAGATACAATAATACTTTATAATAATGTCCGTTAAGTACCATTTTTACATCCATCTATTATAAAACAAACTAGACTAGAATTTTGACCAGCGGACCAACGAATAATGATTGAAAATTCTATATACTGACTAGGGTAGTCCGCGTAAGTTAGGTATACTGAAGCGAAGGTATGTATTTATTTATAGTAATTAAACTCAATTTTATTCATTGTGCCGTACCTTTTTTTGTTTAATAATTCCATTACGTCTTTCATGTGGTCTTCCATTTTGCCTAGTGTGCCTCCGTAGTCTTCTGGTAGGTCTTCTTTGTCTAGGAATTTAAATAGCGTATCTGACTTTGGTGGATGAAAGTGTAACTGTAAAGAAAAGAATACCAATAAAACTATGCGGGATTATCTCAACAAGGTCAGAAAATAAAAGCTATTTTCCTTTTTAAATTTACGTAACTGGAATACTAAACAAGCTGCCAACCTTATGCTAAGTGCAAACCGTTGCCTGACTAGCTATATTCTTAGCACTAATACTAACTAATAGAAATACTTAATTGCATGTTTTTGTAAAAACATGCACTTGGAAGACACACAGAACAATACAGACGATCGAATAGAATCGTGCGAGGTTTCGAACCCGCGATCAACGGAAGTAAGGCGGTATATTGCTAGACCACTGAGGCCGTCAAAACAGCACCACGGACATTACGATTCGAAGGACAAATACTTTTCTTAAGCGTAATTTCAGGTTTACGTGAATATTGTACTACATGTTTTTATACAAATAGTGTAATAAATGAATGAATATTTAATACTAACCATGTTTGTGATGTCTTGTTTTAAGAATGGCTTCATAAGTCCGTAGATTTTATCTATAAATGATGGAGCGTTCACCAAATGTATTTGTTTCAGTCGTATAGGCAACGCGTCCTGTAAACAATACACATTTAAAATCACACAAATTGCTAATGTAGATATTCAATATCCATTTAAACTTATTCATTCATTCATTCATTGCCTTGCCTTTATCCTTTGGGGTCGGCGCAGTGTGTCATTCTCTTCCACTGCTCTCTATCAGTCGTCATATCTAAACATACTCTTCTTTTATTCATATCATCTTTCACACAATCCATCCATCTTTTCTTAGGGCGTCCCCTCTCTTTACATCCATCCACATTCATATTATACACTTTCCATAAGACATGGTCCTCATTCCTCCGCATAAATTTAAACTTATTATCCATAAATAATTAACTTGAATATTGCCAAAAATCAACACGAAATGAAACCGTATAAATTAAAGAAAAAACATCCAAATAGCCTCAAACAAAACAATGGGATCATATAATATACTCATATGTACTGAAAACAAAGAACTATCAGACGGGACCGTACTCCTCAAAAAGAAGTGCATCATTCAGTTCCTTTAGAAGTTTAAACCTAATTCACGCACTCCTGCTCCATGCCATTTCATTTTAGGTGAATTATTTCCATATTACACAAAATTTATATACAAAATATGTGTTTACAGGATAACACAATACAAATTAACTAAAATGTAAATAATAAATGCAGTCGTTCTAAAGGAAAAATAATCAAAATTATTTTTTCCACAATACTACAGACGCTTTGATTTTGCATGTTGCTGTACGGAATTAAAAAAACATTACTTAAAACTTAAAAATAAAGCCAGGTTCACGTAAATACTCTCACACACAATCTGTGAATATATATATTGGAAAACACAATTAATAAGGATAAATTTCACCTTAAATTGAACAAATACCTATATCAAATATGATTTTAGCCTTGTCCTAAAGCAACGCATTTTATTACTCTTTTATTGTCTAGTTACAGTGTTTACAATGACGTGACACTATAACTATCTCTGTTGATGTTTTATAAATTTAATGAGATAACCCATTATAGATTAAAAGGTGAATAATGAAAGAGATATGTTCAGCGAGAATTAATGCAACTGGCAGGCAGTAGGGTGACGCCCTAAGCGGACGTACCTCGGCCAAATAGACGACGTGACGTATTGCAACAGGGCCAAAATAAAAGTACCTACCAGAAACTGACGAACTAGTACGATAGATTGATGAATGTAGAACAAACAAGTATGAATCGTAGGATTTGGATTTCTCTGCCTGTCCAATGGGAGGCAAACGTAATGTAGGTACGAGTAGGTATGTATGTAAAACTTGATAGATGTAATGAGAGAATCGTGGGTGAATTCAAATCTTGCCGACACCAAAAAACTGTGTCCAGCTACTACGTTGGATTCAAATAAACGGAACGAAATATGGGTCGAACTTCAAATAAACCGAACATGTCAAATGTTGCGTTCTCCACAACGTTAAAATTTGATGAAGACATATATGTAATATTATATTATCTGTGTTATTACTATGCTAACTGACTCGCCACACAGGATAACATATAATAGTGAATGTTTTCTGAAAATATCCATCTTTTGTTATCTTAATTAATCTTTGGTGTCTTAATTTTTGGTTCCGTAAGAACTTTATATAATATGTATTATATTTCCTTCTTCATTCTTCAGATATACAATTAGCCAGGTATATCTGAAGAATAAATACTATGTAAATAATAATAGGTATTGATCGAACTTCATTCTAGAAGTTCGTTTGATCGTATACATATTAGAAAACAATAAAGTATATGATATTCTAAAATAGGTTAAGTCATTCTTAAGTTATGACGTAACCAAGGGAAACAGAGATTCAATTTTTATATAGTTAGCTAGAGAGATAACTCTGAACATACCTCTTGATATTTGGCAAGTTTCCGGGCTACAGACATGTTATATTTAGTCAAGAATCTGAGCGTAATGTCCTTTACATCCATGATGACTACATCAGAATCCTCTAGATGTTCTTCGTCTAAGAGCCACGCATCGGTTGTGAGGAAAAACATCTTTACGTCTTGAATGTAGTCGTATTTCGAAAGGCCGGGGTCATTAAGTTGCCATATCCAGAGATTTCTGTTTCCTGATATCTGGAAGCGGGCCAGATTTCTGAAAATTTAGTTTAAAAATATATTTATTTATCTTTACTAGGCTTAAATGAAGTATTATGGTTGCTAAGAACTTTTTTAATTATTTAAGTCAAATTAAACAAAAAGACAGTTTATAGCAGCAACAATAAAATGTTCGGATTCAAACTGGACTTAATATCCATAAAAGACAGGAAGCGCTCAAAAATAATAAATTTTGCCCATTATTGTGGCATTTTAAAATAATTAACCGTATTTATCGTTTGTGATGTTTTATTTTTTAAAAGGGCTGTACAAAATTAAATAATTTTGCGAATCGAATCTGTAATTCCTGAGATTAGCGACTTTTCAAATAAACAAACGCTGCAATTTTATAATATTAGTATAGGTAAGTAGAAACTATGTTTATTACATACAGGTACATTGAAATTGCTAAAAATCTATTATTTCAACAATGTTCAACATATTTGACAATACTTATTACTTAAAATTTTATTTCATTTCTATTTTAATATTTTTGTTGTCAGTTTCATAAATATATACGCCTTCTATACCCTCTTCACATAACCTCGTGTGTATTTTTTTATACCTACAACGCTTATAAATATATTGTTTTAACAAAATCTTCGAAAACAGTAATGTAAAGTAAGTACTTACACAATACTCAAAGTTTTTTGCATTTGCGGCGATTCCGGGTCTCTGTTGCTGAACAGCTCTGGTGATGAATTTCTGATACTGAAGAATAGCTCTGCTGCTGCTTTCGCTTTATCCATATCATAATAGCAGCTATGAATGAATCTCTTTAGTAATTTGTCATCTGAAAAGTGAAAATTTTACCTTATCAATATTTTTCTTTTGTTTAGGTAAATCACTATGCAGTTGCCGTTACGATAATACGTTAATACGTCGTTATTGTATCATACTCAGAACTACTATATGTTGATATAGATATGAAATGTCTACATGTCTATATAGAACGATACCTACGAGTATGTTGGATATAATAGCCTTCTCATCTGTCTAGATGTAAAGGTACACCTAGTAGTTAGTACTCTTAAAGAAATTAAAAAGCATTTTTATGCACTAATAATTTAACCGCATTTGTTATACACTAATAATTTTTCTAACGCTAAAAGGATAATATTCAATTATTTTAGCAGGGTGACCTATATCAGCCGCCAAGCAGTTTTGTAAGCTGTAGGTAACTCTGTTGAAAATTGAGATTAGGCAGTGAAATTACAGGCTGATCCCATTATCAGCAATATCATTAACCATATAAGGTCGATCACCACGCCACGCCACGCCCTTACTAAATATGGTCTAACTGCTCACCATGTGATCTACCTCTGGAGCTCCGCCAGCGTGTACTATTAACGCATCAGGTTAACCATTTAATTAGTACATTTTGAAAAAGAAATGTTTACTACAAAACATACAAAATTATTACCGTGTTCTACCATTTTCTTACAAATAGATATTCGTAGATAAAAAAATATGTAAATAGTTGCCATTCGGGAATCTAGGGGTGGTATGACGGTGGTCGCATGATAACGTGATATTAGATAAATATTACAAACCTAAATCTTTGGGTGTTTGTGGTAGTTCGTCGATCCATTGCCGCATTTGTTTTACCAGTTCTTGCAACTCCTCTGGGCTCTTGGCCTCCGTCATCTTTCAAGGTTTCCTGTAATTAAGTTATTAATTATTCAATAAATTCTTATTATAATTACTGTATAATAATAGAATAATTAATCGGGAAATTTGCATTTTAAATAAGGAAATACTGATGTTAAGTAAGGAACGGTTAAATGATTATGAAATTCATGAATCATTCATTATCTTGTTTCAAAAGTCTGTCTATTTATTGCAAATGAAGTTTTCTCCTTCTTTCTTTCTTTCTTTCTTTGAACTGTAAATAAAATTATACTACTTAATAATACTAGAAATATGAAGTAGGTTTTGTTTGATTGACATGTTGAACATACCAATCACACAAACCCTAATTCATGCGGGTTCAATATTAAAAATTTTGCACATTCCATTTCGCATACCTAATTGGAATTGAAAACCAGAGGACTGCCCATATGATTATAAACGATAACCGGCTAATTGACTATAGCTAAATAGCACTACGGAGATCTCATTATTATATGACACCTGTTATACTATTGCACTGCCACTCTTATCCCGTAATTTTTAATTAAATTTCCCCATTTTAATTGTATAAAGAAGTCTCACTATGCCACTATATACTATTTCACAACTTAATAACATCTAAAATTACAAAAACTTTCCACGTGTAAACAATGTATATTACATAGGTATATTACATATATGTTAAAAATAAAAATAGTAATGAATAGTTATATACTATTCATTACTATTTTTATTTTTAAATTTACACTAGCGTGAGAAACATCGCTACTACACGTCCACTACCAAATAGTTAAATAATTACATGTGTCTGTTTTATTTTTAGTCTCAAACATAAGGCTTATGATTTCGTACTCGAAAACTAAATATGTAATTAATAATACGCATGTATGTATATACATTTACAAGTTCTTGTACTTTTTGTATTAAAGGTTGAATTTTTAAATAAATATAACAACGTTCATTATTAAAAATTTAATAGATTATGGAAAGACATTTAATTTATAGATATATTCACTAAATAAATTTAATTAATTAGAAATTAACATTATTTTCTTTAGCTAGCTGTATGAATGCTGTGGTATGGTGGCTCCACTGAAAAGCAGCGCCGTGGTAAGCTAAGTAAGGTAAAGGTATAATGTAATGCTGAATAAATGATTTAAACTTATTAACGTATTAAAAAAATTCACAGATATATCTATATCTCTTACTTATAGTATAAAACAATTTCACACTACTACCCTTAAAACAATGTAAAAATAAACTACTTACTATTTGTGTGTAGGTAACAAATGTTTTATACAATCAGCCACCTGCGTTGTATTAACCGATCGATAAGTGACTGTTTGATAGATTATTTAGCAACAGTACACCATCATACAAACTCCCTTTTCGTCGTAATCATTAATTAATTCGATGGCAGTGGTCATAATAAAAAATGTCATATCTACACCTACTCCTATTCAAGTACCGTCACCGTCATAAGTAAGTCCCTTCACCGTCTAAATGAATTGGTATACATTCACACCAATTCATTTAGACGGAGATGGGATAATGATCTGATAATAAATTAGTACATAATGCAATAATAATAGTTTATCCATGACGATGGACCAATAATTCATACATTTGCCAAATGTTATGAAGGGAAAATAACAACAAACAGTGCAGAACCGATATGCTAATATATGATAATCAAAAAACCGAAACTCGTCTTGTCATAAAAGGTAAAGCAAAGATCAGGTGAAATACTAATAAAACTGAACAATATAGAAGACTGAAAACGAATTTGAACTTTTCCAACTGAGCTGATTACAGTTTTCGTAAAGGTATAAAAAAATATATTCAATTTTCCACTATATACTTTATAAATTTTGTTCAGTTTGATACACTAAGTATTTCGCCGAGGTAGGCTTTGAACGAAGACGTCTGCGTAAGTATCTCTGTCTCACATATTTCATCGTGAGATATGATAGTGAAACTACAGGATAAGGAGGCATGACATCTTAGCACTCCAAAATGGCAACGCATTAATAAAAACAATTGTCATATGAAACATAAATTACATCAAAAAATCCATAACTGGCTTTAAGCTCCATTTTAGGGAAAATGATAAGACGAGTACCTACAACAACCATTGTATCCTAAACTACAGCATTGTTCTTAAAAAATTCCCGTGTACTACTACATGATTATTTCTTTACGACTAACCCTGAATAGTTGAGAGTATTTTTATTAAATAAATAAATAAGATTATCTTGGTCTTAAAAAGAAGTTATTGTGTGTATTTATAACTTCATTACTAGGACCTACGACATTGACCTCCGACCCTTTCAATTTAGCTGGCGATAATTCTTAATTTGCGCATGCCGGACCTATCCTGGTTTATACGAGAATAACTATTGTTACTGTTGTTTCCAGTTTTGTGTAGAGCTCAATATTTTTTGGTTTTTGGATTTGTTACCTATGTTCTTTTGTATGCCAATAGTATAATATACCTAAATGTAAATATGTAATCGCTATCTGTACATGAAAGATGTATGACAGAAACTCTTATTAGGAATTAAAACAAAATATATATTCTTTTGTCTCTGTGTTTGTGGGCGCTAATTCCAGCTTTAAATAGCAATATTTGGATCTATTAGTTTTCTGAATCAAGTAGTAAATGTGATACTGCATAAATGTACTTCAGAGAATCATTCAATTACACGCATCAAATATATGTACACGTTACTATGTATAAAAACTCCAGTTTCCAACTACATCTTAGAGTTTGATTGAAAATGATAAGATGTGTATAAAACAACTGTTTCCCAAACTACAGCAGTTGCTACCTATTACTTGTATTCTACTGTTTTTATCCCTTTCTAACATACTATACAGTGACAGTGACAGTTTCAAATTGGATTAATTTAATTCTAAATTGAATTGATTTTATAATGAATATTCTTTACTGTAGTTGTAACCTAATTATCATCACTATCATCATTAGGCAACCGCAGACCACTGCTGGGCAGGCCTCTTCCAAGGCACGCTACTGGGTACGATCATCAATCGTGTTAAAAGTTAATGTTGTACATGAATATTAAAAAATAATGTCAGTAAAGGTGAGCTTAACTTTGGAAGAGATCTCTTCTAGCCAACATTACGCTGTAACTTAGTTGGTAATTATCAATGTGAATGTAAAAGAATAATTGTAGTAGAATATGATTAAGAAATTACTAATAATATTACTTGAATTGAGACCCTCTTCCTTTTGATACTTGGTTTACTTGCTCCAGAAGTTAAACAGTTAAAACATATAGTCAGAATATAGCGCAACTGTGGAGGTTACAATCAAAGAGTTCAGAATTATAAATACAACAATGTACCTATAAAAAATGCAAAAATAGCAATGAAACTGAGAACTTCCTGCCTTTTAAGTCGATTCATAAGGAAATGACAAAATTATATTTGGTAGAATAAATTTTAGTATTTTCCTCATCTATTTTTTTATTATGTTGTAGCTTGTTTCTTTTTATAACAGTATTATGCAATAATCTCATGGACGCTTGAACGCCCACGTTCTGTGGTCTTGTGACTGATAGGAGGCCACCACACTAAAAGAATTCATTGCCATACAAGTCAGTACCGTATGGATAAATTATATTATGTATTTAAGACTTTATATGTTTAAATAAAAATATTATAAAATTTAAAAAAATATCTAATTTATTACCCATTGTCAATCCCTGTGTAACGGTGAATTCCTTACTATTAGTGAAACGATTGTATTATACTCCTTTTATATTGGTAACCTTAGTGATTATATATTTAAAGTGCATATATATGAACTTGAATACAGTGTCTGCTTTAGGTAAACTTTCCAATTTGTGTCCATTGTCTCTACCAAAGAAAATAATTGACATTAGTACTAATATAAGAAAAGAAACAATTTGAGATAAAATAAAAGCAACAGCTCGTTTGAAAAATGAAACGAGCTGTTGGTTGAATATAATTTTGTGGTAACATTATTCTTACCATTTATTTATAATATTATAAACGCGAAAATTTGTGATTTGATGGTTAGATGGATGATTGGATGATTGTTACTTTTTCACTAAAATTACTGACGGAATTTGATAAAACTCTACAGTAATATAAGCTACACATCAGAATAAGACATAGGCTACAAATTTCATGCGGGTGAGACCGTGACGCGTGTACAGCTACTTATTAATAATTTAAGATTTAATTCACAATATGCACATTTTATTCACTAGATCCAATCGTGGTAACAGTAATATAGGAACTTTCCAGCAAACCCTATTGATTGCAAACAATTAACATTGGTTATTTCCAAGTGGGTTGCTAGCACTCCCCATTGCTAGCACTGGAGCTAATAATTATCATTACTGTTGTTTCCCCACAAACTGATTTACTGGACTAATCACAAAGACTTCTGTTAATAGAGTATTGACATTGTTTTTCATGTAAACTTTACCTATAGCGTGTAGTAAATATACACAGTACACAATATGTATTATTCAAGAGTTTGCCTCCACGCCATGTTGGACCTATCTTACCCTATGTAGTCTATATGAATAATATAAGGTATGTCCGACTCGAATCGGGAACGAATTTAGTTATTGTTGGTCTAAACAACATGTGTTGTACTCGTACATATCTGAAATACATTTTATTGAAAAGTGCTATTACTAAATTTTTTTACACGGAAAAGAACTAACTGATGACACATTGTAGCGGATAGTCGCAGATGCAATCTAAACGTTTCTCCGCCTTACTTTCCGATAATCACAGGTTCGATTACTTGCACGGTGCAAACATTTTTATTCATGACTATCATTGTTTGTATACGTCTGGGTGTATTTACAAAAAAATGTATATAGAATAAATGTTTATATCAATTGTCTATTATAACTTATACCACAAACTCTGATTATTTAAGGCCGTGTGTAGATTGCCTATGGTTATTACTATTAAGAATTAAACAAAATCCAATAAGCGATGCAGCTATACCCATCTGAAGATCCTTGGCCGATTCATCGGATGATGATGATGATTTTAAATATATCTACAGTTGTATAGTATTCATAGCAGAAGTCGTACTTAGTATCGGACTAGATGGGTCTGCATGGTTTTTCCGTGGTATAGAGACAATTGTTTGTGTTAATGTTCAGTTCGGTTCGTATTAGTTTGAGTGTTTGTTATGTATAAAAAAAGAGAGATCGTTTTATAAATAAATAGGTAGTCTATTTATTTACAAAACGATCTAAGTACAATGTTTACCGAGTCCTTCACATGAAATAATGCTGTTAATCCGGTTATTCTAATGATCCAAATACGTACCAACTACGTAGGTTAGATATTTACGTCGATAACATTGATTTATTAATTTGAATAATTATTTGTTGCATTCTAGGTATATTATATGTATAAATACTAACTCTGTTTAATTCACGTACACTTTTGCACTTTTGATATACTTAGTGCACAAGTGATTAATTGATTTATATTTTATACATTATAGGGGAATATACATAGGCATAGACATAAAATGTTGTATGCTTATATTAAAATGATAATGATGGTATTTTAACTGCTACACGATTGATATTAGCCGCGAAATAAAACAATCAACATGGTTATATTTTATATACTTATCTATGTATCAATAAATTATATTATCTGTCATTAATTATATGCCCAGACTAGGTAGATGTTTAGTATTATGAAAAGTTGAATTTGTTTGGCTCAATAAGCATTGATAAAATTCATTTTTCATTTTTTGTATTTTGACCCTGTTTCTTTGCGAAAGTTGTTTAGCTTCATGAACTGTATCCCTCAGTTTAAGTTTGGTGTAATAGGCATTGTGCTGTGGGAAAATACTTTTTGAAAACATTGGACAAACGGGTATTGTGAGAGTCCTACTTACTAAAAACCCCACAGCATTCCTAATCGCCGTCATAGTGCCGATGCCGAGGATTTGAACCTACAACGATCACGGCGGCAGTTGCTGTCATGAATGAACTTTCCTCATAACATCCGTGTGTAAATGGATAACTGTCATTAGGAAATTCCATCGTAAGCTAAGGGAAACTGCTAATGACGTAAAAAAAGATTTGAGTATTTTTAAATTTATATTATTTTTCATTGATAAATTCCAATTAGACGATGATTTGTGCGATGCGATATCGCCGCTAATAATTCTAATCGGATTCTGATAATTTTGTTTTATAAAAAAGGGTGCCATATTTATTTAGTCTTAATTAAATAGGTATTTATTAAATCTATACTATATATGGATCACCGTATATTAATAGCTAGGACAGCGGACTTTTAATACATTTACTTTTTATTACACTTTTTGAGCACTGCAGTATTAGGCACTCGCGGAGCCTGAAGCTAATTCTTTGAGATACTGTACTAGATTTTTAAGTTTGTTTTTAATTTAAATAAATCTTTCGTCCAAGAAATTTATCTTTTCATTGTTTTACACTTGATACAAGCAAAATAAAGACTATTTCAAGTTTTTAATAACTTTTAATATTAATTATATCCAGTTATATAATGCGTGGGACGGCTTAAGTCCAGGCCCAGCAGCCTGTGGTATTGTCTATTCTTGCTACTAGACTAATCCTGAACTGCTTTTACGAAGCATGTCTACAAAAATAGGTCACGAGAAAGAAGTCACGGCAGAAGTTGGCAAGTAGGTAATACTAATAGTAGTACTAATAATTATAATGTGTTAACACTAATATTAAAGTGAATTAATGAAGTTCAATTTATTATGATGAATAATTTTTGACCCACCGTAATGAATGACTATTTTTTATGTTGTAATTTTATTTATTAACGTATTGAAATAATATTAAATATTCATTAATAACATGACTATAGAGAATTATGAGAACATTTATATATTTCCCTATTAACGTACGTAAGTAGACATTTCATAATTTTGCGCATGAGCTAACTATTTATTTACACATATTCACAACATAGAGACATGACCTTACATATTGTATATACTAGCTAACCGGCGCTGTTTATTAGATGTAAAGTCAACTGGCGTCAAAGTCAATGTCGCTTCTAGTTGATTTCAATATGGCCCGGACTGCATCCGTGTAACAGAATTCATTTAAGAAGACAAGTGAGTAGGAGACAAAAAGAAAATAAAGATCATCCTTCTCTATGGCAAATTTTATGACGATTAGTAATCCCCAGAATAATAATATAATTAATACGGCACAGGTTACCTCAATAATAAACTATAAATATTCGTAGGTCGATCTATGACTGGTAATCAAAGGACTAATATGGGACAGGACAAATGGAGAAAAAAATAGAAGCATCTAAATGGCGCCATTAGTTATTTCATTAATGATTGATTAATTAATATCGTAGCTGTAATAAAATATTCATTAAATTATTTAGTTAACCATAATTAACAAAATTTCTGTAAAATTTCACCGTAATTCAATAATATCGTGTAACGTATCTACGTATAAATATACGTAACAAAATTTTCGCCTTACATAAAGTTTTCTTATGTGTCGACTAAATTTCAGCTTACTACCTTACAGCATAAGTCGGCAAGTCTATAAATGTGCATAATAATGTATAGGGATAACAAACTGAGGTAGTATAGTAGGTATAGTTGTGATATGATAATCACAAATAAATAGAAATCTTCCATCACGATTATAATCGGGAATCAAAAGCTATTTAAGCAAATTTTATTTAAATTAACTTAATGTAACTGAAAAGATAGGATAGCTTTTAGCCGTGAATGTAAATATTTTTAATTCGGACGATTATGATTGGACAAAACAAAGGTTATCAGATCAGCTAGTCTAGTAGGTATTAATAACAATTTAATCTGTAATGTAAATATTATTGTATCCTCGATCTTGACCTACGAGATAATAATTACTCTTTTCATACCTCTCTAATGAGACTCACAGACTTCCACAGAGAGATTTTTTTTATCCTAACGATATAATAATCAATATGACTTTGCTGATAATTCTTATAAATAGGATATTAAAATACTAAATGAATGTAATACCTTATCGCCAAAAACCAGCCGGAAGTTGCAGGTAACTGCTAGTATAATAATGAATCCCAAAATAAATTATTTGGCAACAATGTTAGAAAATTCATATGTACCCTGTACAAATACAACTGTTACTTTAAATATGGTTAGGATAGAGCCAATAGGAAAATCCATTTTTTATGTCATTCTGAACAATTAATCTCAATATTTTTGTAATTTTTATTGTTACACTAATTTCAAATGTATAATCATTGATACTAACTAAGCCCGCAATTTTGTCTGCATAGAATTAGCAATTACACAGAATGCACGATTCATATAATTTTCTATAGATAGTTGAGTACATTCAACTATGTATAGACTAGGGGGAAGGGGATTGTTAGTAATGTGGACTCACGACCACATTGCTAGCAATGTACCATGTCAGGTAGACCTCCACACAGTACCCCCTGGAAACCATCGTGACAACTTCAATTTGTCACGATTGGCTAATTTCATCTTATCATCCTCCACTGGTGCACCGCCAGCGTAATCCGTTAGCGCAGGTAGGTGCTCCATTCCATTATCATCCATAAAAAAAACTATGTATAGACTTATGAAATATTAATGTAAATACGACATTGATATAGTAATGATAAAAGGTTTACTTAGATAATGAGTGCCGTTAATCGCAATAAATTCACGTATTAAAATCCTCTAACATTACAAATCCCAATGTTGTTGTAACTGAATGTACTTACATAGTTAAGTAAGACCGAAAAAATCTTATCTTTTCGTATCACAACATCAAGGTTCGATTACCGGTCGATATAATTTTTTACAACAATTTAACTGGTTGCCAAATGTCAATTAAGCCGGTGTTACCAAATTGTCTGTACTTCAGGATAAATTAATGTGGTTACATGAATTTTTACATATGGGTATATTATATATATTACGTATATTATGGTATACTAAACGTTCCGAAATCCTAAACCTCAAAATTTATAAAAAAATCCACATTGTGTACGGTTTAAAAATTTGGTTATTAGTACTATATCCGTACTATATAGTATTATAGATGTAAATACGTCTGTCTGTTTACCTTTCCACAGTTTTAAGGCAGAACAGATCTTAATGAAAATTAACTTGAAGATAGATCGCGTGGACGGACATAGATTATCTTTTGTCTCAAAATAAAACAGATAGCTTGTGTACATCATATAGGTATATCCGACCGCTTGGAAATAGAACAGATATACGTACCTACCTAATTAAAAAGTTGTGCCACAAAAAGAAAACAAAATCATATTCAAAATCTCAATATTTGTGCCGAATTAATCATACATACGAACAAAAAAATACAGTAGAACCTCCTTTTTGAAGTCGGCGAAAAACATGCAAAAGAGTGATCAAACATACATGTTTTCATTTAATATTTCCTTATTTATAAACGTGTTGTGTATGCGACTCAAGTTGGTAGGTATTAAAAATAAAAACTGGTTGGTTCATAACAGTGTATACAATGCTAGAATGAATAGTTTATAAGAGTTTAAACGACAATTACCGGGTGAAAAACCGTGCGGCCCAAACAAGACCCTGCTGTTGGTCGACCTCCACGAACGAGTTGTTCCGCAGACTGGTTTGATTCACGTTCAACTTATCTTTATTCTTGTTTTGGTTGTTTTTATACACGTCGAGTTCAGACCGCGAGTAATTGTATACTGTCTACTCTTGACACTGCGGCGATGGTGTCGACTGTATGAGACAGACGCGCACTATGTACTGCAAATAAAGTGTTCGCAACAGCCAACAGCGCAGGAGTGCCCACTCGGTACAGATGTTCTCAAATCTATATTGTTTAGAACGGTTTTTCAGAAAGAGGTCAGCAATCGGTGTGTAAACTATCTGTTTACTCCAGCTTCGTCCGCGCACCCGTTAGTCCAAGAATACTGGTAATACTCTTGGAAACGGGAAGTCATTTCTCAGTAGGTGCATACACACATAATAAAAGAGACTTAGCTAATTATATTATGTAGGTAGTATAGAATTTAAGATAAGTTATTGACGGCCTGAGTAGTTTAGCTCTTTAATACACCGGCATACTTCAGATGGTCACGATTTCGACTCCTGTACAAACATTTGTGTTTCATGTAGTTTCATAAAAGACGCTGACCATAGAAATTGTCCAACTTCAACAGTGGATTATGAACGACTGAAATGATAATCTTATTAACATTATAAATGCGAAAGTATGTGTGTATGGATGCATGTATTTTACTCTTTCACGCAGAAACTACTGAACGAATTAGGTATATAGGCTATAAATTTCAAGCGGACGAAATCGCGGGTTTAGCTAGTAGGTATAATATAAAAGTGTAATTCTATTTTGATCAATATTATTTTATCCCTAATTATTTCTAACAAGAATGGTTTGTATCTATATTTTCTATACATAGTACCTATATGGTATTTCTTTTTATTATCTTATGTTTTGGAAAACATAAAAAATAAGATGTGATGCTAGGTCATCCTCAGATACCGTGTTTTAAATATACCATACAATAATGATTAAAGAAAAAAATGAATAAATATAAATACTTACTACCTATATTTGTTCATTGTTTTAATGTAAATCATTGCTAAATTGCAACGTTCAAGTTTAATTGCAGTTGCATAAGAAATGCTAACGTTGCACGAATGCCCCTCAATCTCTTTATACCTAATTATTTTTAAATTACCATTAATCAATTTCTATTTCCGTCACGAAGTAGTTAGCCAAACCACGGCTATCTGCCTAGGCGCCATTAAAAAACCAAACAACATCGTAACACCACATTATTACAAAACTACAAACTACATTTTACCAGCTGTTTCGTTCAGTTTTTGATCAATTTGTCTATTATTGATGTTGTCAATTGTTAATAAAAACAACAACTATAATCAATACAAAAATAGGGGACAGCTGCGCTCCAAAATCATTGTATTTCTCCATTACGCTAACTGCTCAATTGTCTTAAAATTAGGTATATATGTACGTATTGTATTTCGGGATAGAGTTAGATGGCTGGACTCTATTTTTTATATAAAGAGAGCAATCCTCCAGCATATTAATGGAAGGTCCTAAAATACGCCTTTTGACTCGACTCCAACAGTCCAGCTGCCACTGGTCCACATGTAATCGACAATGTCCAATTCTTATTGCACAGTACTATTTAAATTAAAATACATAAAAAGACATTCATACAAAAGACCATCTTTAGCAATAACATATTTGTAATTATAAAATAAAAGACAGTGCTTGTTGTGCTATGCCTGTTTTTTATTAATTACAATGGCTCCAATTCATTCACAATATGTAGAAATATCTAGGACAATATTTTATTTAAATGTGCATCGCATCGTTCATGCTTCGTCAGCACCGTATATTATAGAGATAAGAGAGAGGTAACTATATTGATTGCAAAACGTATTCATCAATTTTCAACAAAAACATCGAGTAGCTCATTTATTACTATTAGGTACAAATAATAATTTCTTCGAGAAAGTAACTTCTTTTTTAAATAATTGAAATAATATAAACATTACGATTCATTTCCAGCCAAGTTTAGTCCTTTTTGGTAACTATCTATATTATTTTTTAGCTTCTCATATTTATAAGCGAAGTGATTACTTGCTCAATATTTTTATAAATTTACTTAAGTTCTCAATAAAAGTATTTTTGTTTATATATATAATATATATGGCACATTCTTTCTACTCTACTAAATTTATGATTTAAAATATAATATAAGAAGCAATAAATACCCCTCGAAATTGTAATCTATCGAAAATGTATTGAATATAAAATTGTTCATACAAAATAATTGAAATATGAACGCAACATTTATTTCTTTTTTTGTTTTGTCGAATTAAGACTCTGGATGCAAGATCATTAAAGTTTCTTCTACTATATATTGCCAATAGTGAAAATTATCTGTAGTGTTTATGATTAAGTAATACTATCTAACAACTTTTGAAATAATTGGATTAATTGGGTTTTTATATTCTATTGACAATATTCATATATATTTTATATTCATTAAATAGCTATTGATTACATACATAATTTTCTCAATCCGTACGTATGTTAATGTAGTAGAAGTATCTTCAACTGTAGTATGACAACACTCTCTGTTGCAAGTTTGCGCATGCGCCGAATGGCGATTAATCAGTGACTATTTCTTTGAGTTTAATATTTTATAAATAAGAAATTTTATCGTTAATTGGTAATATATATTTTATACCGTGTAATTTATTGTGCGGCCTAAAGAATCTTTTTTTTAATATTATTTGTTTAATAAATATTCATGTGATAAAAGTGTAACATTGGTGGCCATTACAAAACCTAAACTTTTTTTATCAGGACAAATGTCCATTTGATGTTTCGGCGACGTTGTGACTAATCCATAAATTGCTATTTAAAAAATACATTTAGATCTTTCTCATAATATTATTTAAGATACTTTAGGTACTGTGAACTTAGATATTCAGAATTTTGCTTGAGAATTATTTCAAAACTACCAGTGCCGACCGATAAATAAATTAGGGTTGACTTCCTTCAACGAACTGTCAATTTTTACTTTTCTTCAATATTTAATTGAGATATATCAGATAATTATTTAGATTTTTTAACAAAACGTGAGTGGTTAATCACATCTCAGTGCCTTTGTAATAGTACATCAAGAAGCAACACCCACATAGCTTGTGCTTGTTGTCACTCTTCAATGAACATAACATTGCACGGCGACCTTTATTTTACTCTTGGAGTCTTTAAATTATATATTATCTTAGTATTATTTACAAGTATCACAGTCTGCGATCTCAAAGCCAGGTTTAACAAAAATTTATAATTATATATGAATAAAATACAAACACATCGCCGAAACATTCCGTAATCAAAGTTCCGTGTTTGCAGTTAAACAAAAATGATTTTGAGGTAAATTATTTATAGTGTAGTGATCATAGTGTTGAAAAAACAAAAAAATAGCAATAATTAAAGTGACCATTTGTGGTTTGGAGGAGTGTGTGTTTTGGCATGGAGAGTGTTTGCCTCTGTGTGCCTTCTTTGGGGCTGTGGTGACATGGGCTACATCGCCGTAGCCCCTGCTGACGGTGAGCTCTGGGAGTGAACGAGAGTGTCGGGCTTAGTGCCTGCACGAATCGTCTAATATTATGAATAAACGTGAGAGCACCAAGGATAAAGAACGTCAGAGTGACGATAAAAGAACTTCCACGTAAGTCTCATTTCTGTTTTATTAATAGTTGCTTATACTTTTAGTTTATATATTAATTTAAATCATCTTGCATTTACCCACTGCGTGTATGAAAACTATTGGTACCATTAGGTATTTCTAATATCATTAGATATTTCTAAATCTAATTTATTATTGCAAATTCTACATTAAATTGTAGATTATCAACTATTTGTATACATATTTTGTTACTGTTCTTAATCACTTTTGAATAACTTAATCTATAGATTATACAGAGAGATGATATATTTAAATTTTAGCAATTCTTTTACTGTTTTAAAGGTATGTTTCATTACATTATTCCAGAGTGATATAGCCCATATATTATGTTATTATGTGTATAGAAAACTGTAAATATATAATAAAAATTACTGTTTAAAAGTACTTACAATTAATTTAATATGAATAAATATAATTCCTATTTCTACAGAGCTTTAGTATAATCTAAACTTTATCTGTCAGGTTAGATTCCCTTAGGTTGTTGTTTGGTACAATAATCTTAAAATAGTTTTTTCATATAAGCAACAGCTAAGAAGGAAAGGATATAACAAGTTATAGGTGCGTAAGAAGAGAATATGTGAATACATTGCACTAGTATTTACACACAATTTAAAAAAATATGAATGAATTTACAGCAAATAATGCTACTATATACTATAGTGTATGCTCTCAAAATAACCAACTAGGTGAGAAGTCAAATTGACAAGTTTGGAATAAAATCAGGAAAGCTGTGATTCAATGTCAGTTAAATTGACAAGTACCTATTTTTTACCATAGTGACTAATATTATACTATTAATAATAAAATGCATTGTTTACCAAAACACAGATGTCATTGTATTTATTTAAATTACTGGTGCCATGCATAGGAAGTTGTAAGTATCTTTATTATGTGTGATGATTTGTATACTATACAAACTAACCCCCTTATTATTATTTTTTTGTATTTTATGCACACCTATCCATACTTTGATTAAATTTGTTGCTAGCTAACAGTGTACAATTCTTCATTTATTGCAGTCTTCTAATTTCATGCAAAGGTATTCAAATTTCATATTTAAACATTTAATTTTGTATGTAACATTATATTTTAGCTCTTAGCTAATTTGTTTGTTTAAAATTTGCTATTCCTCAATTTGAAAGAAAATTACTTACATCTGGATATACTGAGAATATCTGGATATACTGGAGATACTTCTATAGTTTAAATGGTTTTATGAGATTTTTCAATTTTAAAGAAAACATGGTTATACACTTGTGATCACTAAGTTGATAATCAATGACTATTTATTATAATTTGTTTAGTTTTACCTTAATCACATGAATATTTTACTTACTCCAAAACCAAAACCTATGATATCTTACGTGCAAATAAACTCAAATAGACATAAAATAATTATTGCAACTATTTTGTAAGACTTTACTAGTTGTTTGAATTTTTATTCTTAATTTTTAATTATATCCATCATAATATTGTTGTAAACAGTACTGTTTATAATAATAATAATTATTTGATCTACATTTTACAGTCCTGTACTTCAATTATATTATGTATTGTTTGTTTTATAATTTAAAAAAATGTTATAGTTTTACATCTACATCTCATAATAGGAACAATTTAATCTCTCAGGTTATGTCTGTCTTCCACTGATTGGCATTGTGCAAACTTTCAAATACTTTGTACATTGTCTTTGTAAGTTCTAAGTAAATTGTGTTGAATGTATTGTGAACAATAACTGTCAAAGTTGCACCTGGCAACTTACACGCTTCAATTGGACGATGCATTTTCTTTGTTACAACATTTTGTTTAGTTTTACAACTTCTATATATTGTTTTATAATTAAAATACTGTATTAAATATATATTTTATGCTTTGATTTCTCTCTCTCTCTCTAATTGACAACTTCCCTTCTAAAATATTGAAAATTGAATTAATGGATAATGGATAATGATAGATAGACATTGTTACATTTACTGACAAAACATGTACTTTATTGTCTATAAACTTGTTAAAATTACTCATGTAAACTGTAACCAATGGTGGTAAAGGTCACTATGGTATGAACCTCGATAAACTATATCAACTAATAGCTATAACCTCATTTGCTTTTTTGACATAAATGATAGCGTATGTGGTAGAATTTATCCATACATCAAAAAATTATTAAGTTCTATTCAACTGTTTAGTACTGAAATTGTAACAATGAGACCAACAGACACAGCTTTGAGTGGATAATATTGTTATTAAAACTGATTGTTAAAAAGATCACCAAATTTCATATGTAAAAAATTAACTTCATCCTATGTGTGGAAAATTCAAAATTGAGTTCCAAATCAGCTACCATTCTCTTATTTTATTTTCAATTACATATACTCAATAAGGGCCATATAACATTTATGTTGAATACAGGCATTGAGATTTAGAAGAATAGTTCATGTATTGAATATGGAAGTGCATTTGAAACTTTCACTTTTAGACTGAACATTAATAAACATGCACTAATAATTTGAATGAGTCACTACAACAGTACATTTTGTTGTGTACTCTCTCTCTCTATCTCTCTCTCTCTATCTCTCTCTCTCTCTCTCTCTGTCTCTCTTAAATATGATGTCTATGTTCTTAGTATAATGTAACAGAGTAATTTTGTAAAAGTTATGAAATAATTAATTTGGCCTTGAATGATTCATCAGAGAAATAAAATGTGTTATTGGTACAGAATAATATTGATTTCTATATGAAGTACTTGTATTTCTGTAAATAATCTATTGTGTATTAGTTAACTAGAGTTTAATTACCTTATAAACATATCTTTTATATTATTTCATTAGATTGCAAATGGAATATTTTGTTTATTTCTTATATTGAATATTTATTATATATAGTCAGAGGTAGAACCTGCTGCTGTATTACATTTAAATTTGGTTTGTTATTAGTGTTACCATCGGTGTCAATCATAAATTGCCACTCAAAAAATATTTATGTCTGCTAGTTGTTATCTTACGACCTTTCTTCTTCTAACCTTCTACATATATTATATTTATCTTCTATATCTTAAAATGAAATGTGGGCATCTAAACATTTGAAGAATAGGTACTTATAGGACCACAGTTGTGCCTAGATTAATATATTCTTGCAAAAAGACAACTGCTGCAAGTTAATCTATTAACAGAACAAAATTACTCTACTGTCATTATCCAAGAAAAAAACGGGTATACTTTTGTATTAAAAAAACGCAGCTTTTTCTCGTAGGTCCAGAATGCTGCAAGTTAATCTAGGTTTTATTCGCGTAGTTTGCAGGGCCCAATGTTTTAATTTCGTGTTCGCCATGTACTTGCACACATTTGGCCTGTACCATGTAACTGCATGTTGAATTTTAAAGTACAAAAACTCCGTAGCGGATTCTCCTTTCTTCACCTACTTAAGCCTTCAAACTAAGTCAAGTATGAATATTGTGCCGCGTTTTATACTTACCTATAATGTAATTTTGAAGTCTATTACACTGTATGATTCACAAGGTCGTTTAAACAAACATTGAATTTTAATTGGTATATGCTACGTTTATTGGTAATTTTCCGTATTGTAAGTATAATTAATATATTTGATGGATAATCTGATTAGATAAACATTGAATAAATTCAATTAAAAGTTTTATTATTATTATAACCTACGCATAAAAACATTCAACGTGTAATAAACCCATTAGATTGAAGTTGTTTGGCCTTTTTTCTCCGCTGCTGTGTAAGAATGTAAAAAAAACAGTACTAGCTGAAATGAGATTGTGTCTTTTAGTTCCTACGAATAAGGTTGTATTGAAATCTCAAAATCAGATATTCCACTTATTTAAAATAGTATTTTTTTAATATTCTCTGTTTAGTACCATTTCAAAATAAAATATCAGTTATTGTCAACAAATATTTTTTACTTTGTTAGAAGAAATATCACTACTTTTTCTTTTTAAAACATTTATTACGAAGTTGTAACAAACTTTATAAGACAGAGGAATAAACTATGTCAACTGCAAAAAGAATACTCAGAATCCTTTCTGCTTTTGCAAAGTTTACGTTACATGTTATACGCATTAAAAAAAGAAAATAATATTGAGGAATTGAGAATTTTGACAATCAGAAAATGTTCTTAATTCGACTATATTTTTTAGTGGCGATATTGAGGTATCGGTGTTGATTTTGACGATACCTGTTCCAGGCCCATCGTGTAAAACATGTAGAATTTGCACAGTTGAGCTATCTGTATCGACATGAAAATCAGTAGTAATTATGGTAATTAAATTTTTAGACACGTATTGGTACTATCTGACTCACACTGCGCAAGGAACAGAGCCACTTTAAAAGTTTAACCTATATATCGACCATTGATATTGATACTGGAGCGTACCTGCTGTCAAACCGATTCTGTGAAAATATCCCTATTTTCTGTCATATCTACCAATATTACAAATGGTTACTACTTCTTCGACTGATTTGATTATTTCACTGTTCGAAAGGTAACATTATTCCAAAGCAACACATGCTGTTATTATGTAGGTATAAACAATTAACGAAGAACACCCGCTTGAAACCAGGGAATGCCACTAGGAAAGAAGAATCTGCGAACTCCGTCTTTTTAAATTAGTTATGCGTGGTTATACGTCCGTAAGTCGCCGGTTTGAATGTATAATCAATGTCAGGCTTTATCACTTGTCAGGAGTAATATTAATTGTTAAATTAAAAGCCGTAGTATGGTCTTTAAGTAAAATTATTCTATCTTTATTAAAGTTTCCGTTTCATGTCCCTTAGGCGTGGGTTGCGTATTACATGACATTAATTAAAATACAGTTAACTACCTACGTACGTAATAAGATTATTGTCATGTAAGTATTAATTATTCGACACAGTAACGAATGTCTTTTAATGACACTGCTTTCAGCTTTATACCTTACTAGTTTTTGTCGCGACTTCGTTCGTGTTAGGGATACATTGATGGAGAGCTGTTTAGTAAATATGATTCATTTGTATTATTTACTAGCGGCTTTCGCTACCTATTTGAAATATAGTCGATATTACCCATTATTTAATTTATTATGATGTTTATGGAATGGTGTAGCCGCCTTTGCTAACTGTTTACTCTGGCCACGATGAGCTCAGGTTAGTTAGCCCATCGTGACAATTTCACCAGGAATTTGTTACGATAATTTCCAGGGTGAACTTTGTGGAGTGTGCGTCAACTTGACTTGGTACATTAATAGTAATGGGCAGATGGCCACATTACTAACAACCCCTCTTCTCCCCAATTACCCCTTGATAACGTGCACGTATAGGTGAAAGAGTTTATAAATTATTACTAGCAGCCCTTAGCTTTGCGAAATGCAGGCAAAGAAATACATTTTACAGCAATTATTTTACCTTGAGATACATTATGGTAGTTTTAGTCAGGATATCTCTTTTTACAGTAATCAATATAGATTATGTTACTTGGCGATAATGTAACATTCTAATGGTGAAACAATTATTGAAATCGGTCCAGTACTTTGAATTTATTCGTTACGAACATAAAATAAATACATTTCTTTACTCTTTATAACGTTAGTATAGATCATCAATATCTTGCCTTTGTCACATTATATAGGGTCAACGCAGTATTTCTTCCCCTTCCATTGTTACTTATCAGTCGTATTACCTAACCTCACTCAATACTCTTTATTGTTATCTACAATGTTCATATTCCACTTTCCTTTTATGTATACTAGTCTTATCTTTGACACAGTCCCGTTACGTGGGACTGTGTCAAAGATAAAACTAGGGGGAGTGTGGGGGGCGACTATTGTTATTGCTAGCTATGTCCCATGTCGACAGCCACGTGATTCCTGGTGAATTTGTGGCCAAGTTCAAATGGTAGGCGCATTCATGTTCTGTTCATCAGCACTTTACTTTTAGGGCTGTACATATATAATGTAGTGTTAATTTTATTCCAGTCAGTTTTAACTATTTTTACAAACAGTTTAAACTATTTTTATTTCGAATACCTTAGGTACAAAATCGCAGAATCAGCTAGTGTGGATGTAAATTTAAAGTGTAAAATTAATAGTAGTTAACAAATGTATACTCGCCTTAATAAAGCCAATTTAACTTTCGTATTGTTTGATCGTATAACAAAAAAGCTGTGATACCTAGGCACTTTTTTCTTCTCATTGTTTAGACGGAAAAGCTGGCTTGGATAGACTTTCAATTTCTAAAACAAAGAATGTAGTTGCATACATGTTCTATATTAAATGTCAATTAACTAGGTCACATTGTGCTGTAGTCTTGATACTCGCTTTGGCATTAGGTTAATGTTAAAGTATAAAAAAATAATTTTACATTAGTCATATATTTTTTATAGCATTTTCACGCTGCTAGAAAAACCATAGACATGTTTACTTATCTGGTATAAGTATTTAATGGAATTAATAAAACCACGGATATAATAGAATACTTTCGCTTGGACACCTTTCATATATTCAAACTTGTTGGTGAAATTCGTTCAATTTACATCAAACAAGGCCTCGCGTGTAGTATTACAAAGAAGAAATGTTGAATATTTTATTTGTAATGGATAAACATAAAAAATATTTTTAAATCTGATTAAATAAATGTTTTTAATCGATTATTTCACCTGGATAAACCTTCATTGAAAGTTGTTGAAACGAGTAACTAAATCAAGGGCTATATTTTTTTTTTTTACAAATTGGTCTACAATATTTGAATTTAAGTCTAAGGGGTGCGTAGTGCTCTAACAAATATATATATATATTTTGATGCTTGTCACATAGTCAATAGTTGTTTCCTATTAATTTCAAACTTTCAATACATTTCTTTCATACATTCATAGGCATAAATCCTACCGATTATAAATTTTGTAATTCTCCTTTTGAAAATTATACTCACTGTTTTATGGTTTACTTTAATTTTCTTACATACACGTACCGTTACGATAGGTACCGATAGTTGTTTATGTAAAATAATGAACAAATAAAAAGTTCCTGTTGCACTTTGCTTGTTACAGCGCTACCGGTGCGGTGGGTGGGCGCGGCGTTGGTGGCAGCAGCGCGATGCACACATCACGGCACTCTGTCACCTCGTCTTCGGGCGTCCTTATGGTTGGCCCCAACTTCCGCGTCGGCAAGAAGATCGGTTGTGGGAACTTTGGTGAACTTAGGCTGGGTAAGTTCTAATAAAATAATCATCCTAACGGTCAACAGATTTCTAGCCACGTAATTTTTAAGCCTGGCTTAAAGACTAAACTTCGATACTGACACCGGCTGATGCACACTGTCAGCTGTTTCCCATTAAAAGGCATTTCCAATTAAAAAACAAACACTCTGTGGATGTACTGATATCGGTAACAAATTGGATGTTTGGATAGAAATATACGAAACGATAACGAAACTTGGGTATTTCAATACAATTTCGTCACATTTGCTACTACATCGACACTTAACAATGACTTTAACTACCACATCTAGGATCGTAGTCTATGGGATATTTAAGTTATATTTTTATAACTCCCCAAAACCATCACGTAGTCAAGAAGCTTAAACCTCCAGTTGCTTATTGCTTATTAATTAGCATGATTAATAAGCAATTTATAATTTGGTTTTATACTGCGTTTGCCTTACACCGGTGTATTCCTGTAATAGTCTTACGAAACAACATACCGAGGTTTTAATGAAAAACATATTATTCAAATCGAAAATGAACGAATGATTTAATCAAATAATCAGTCTCGTTTATCGATCGATATTGATTTTTTGACTGATTTAAGTAATTACTATTCGCGATTGGAAGTAAATAAACGGAATCATAAGTTGCCATCAAAAACGAGAATTTAGAACACTATTGAAGTCGATTTTCGATGCATGTTTATGCTACATTTAACTTTCAACGTGATTTTTTCCTAGGCAGTTATCACACGAAAGATTAGGCAGTATGTCTCTGACCTTAGCATGTTCTCAACAATGAAGATGCAAAAGATCTTAACACTTACACTGTATTTGCGTTTGAAGTATTAGCAATAGTCGAGTGTACAGAAAGAAAAGGTTGCTTTAAATACATTCTAGACCTACGGTAAATCGTGAGGGGCAACAAAATCTCTCATGCGTGCAAACATCTCTCCATTTCTCGTGCATTTCATATTATCGCTAATAAACGGCAGTGAAAGAAAGTACAGTGATTATATCATGTATTCATAATAATTACTAACCGAGTGGACTACCTCACTCGTGCTTGTCTGTATGTAAATAATAAAACAGTTATTTTTAAAAATAGATTATATACAAGGTTACAAAAATAATATGAGAGAACTCACAACATTATTTTGTATTTTTGTAATATTATCGATCTACAAAGTACCTCACACTAGTCTAGCAAAAAGAATTTATTTTATTTTAGGTTTATGGTTTTTAATGTAATTGGTATGCCATACAATCTGACCGTCCACTTGATGGTAACCAACAACCGTCGCCTATGTACATGAACAACACTATCACGTTATTATGTGACAACCGTGATAACACACGTTGCCATTCCAGAGGACTAAGATGCCTCTATCTACAATTGAAACACAGCTTACAAAACAAGCTACTTGCGGCATAAATAGGTGAGACTGAGGTACTACTCAGACTATTTTTATAGTCTACCTCGGATATAGTTTGAATTTAAAATAAATAAAATAAAATAGAATTCATAATTCTCTAAGTAACTCCAAAATAGATAACTCATATTCTACTCGAAGTAATCTAAATTACAATTACTTTTTTGTATTTTGTTATTTGCAATTACAAAATTGTATTAAAATCATTTTTATTTGGGTATTTTTTACCATCGCAATCAACTTGTAAACATGACTGTTGATTTCAATATTGCTTACCTTAAAATGTTTGCCCAGTATCTCTAGTGACCTAACAGATGTTCATATGTGCTACTACAAATGCAGTTGCGCATGCCGAAATCATATAAAAGTATTTAGATCCAATCAATTCTATTATCAGAATACAATAAATTGTAACAATGTTTATGATATGATGAACTTTAAATAGTGACGAATTTCCACTTACGGGGCTGACTAAAAAAATTGTTTCACGAATTGCAAATGAGTGGATATTTACATCAATGTTTAGTCGTTCTTATCAATATACCATAGTTACTTACATATCTCTCGTTGTACTTTTTTTATTCTTATTTATGTTGTTTGTGCTTTCAATACGTACGGACATACTGTACGGAAATATCTATACTAATATTATAAAGAGCGATTGGTGTATATGTGAGCTTGTTTGTACAGTCTGATAATGGAACCGCAGTGGTTGCAATATATATCCATCTATTTTTTTAAGGTACAATACCATTATTGATTAGCATCTATACCTTTTATTCTAATTCATACATTGTTACAAGTAGAGTTAATGCAAACGATTATATGGATAAACTCTCATGTACTTATGCCATAACTATTCGCATGAACTTTGATTTAATAATGATATTAGCAATCTAAGATAATTCACACACCGCCATCCAGTCCCAAACTAAGCAGAGCTTGTGTTACGGGTACTAGGCAACTAATAATTAACATAACCGTCTCGAAACATAACAGAATCGAATCAGCGACCATCGGAATACAAACAGCTAGAGGACCGAGGCCAATCATACCATAACAAAATTAATACACCGGATACATATCCGAATTCGCTTGGGCAACGCCGCGAGATACAACTTGTTATTTATGACTAAATTAGTCGGAACAAATGAGTCGTGTTGTTAGATTTGTCATAATAATATCTCTGGCCAGGTGATGCAGAACCGTTGCGCAGCTCATAAAACCAGTATTAATGACTCTGAAAATATCTAATGTTTCAGTATTAATATAGGTTATATATCACAAACGCACCCTATGGATTAAGTAACCTAAATAATTTCAGCGTATGTATATAATCCATCCGTTGAATATAGGTCTTTCTCCACCATGTGTCATCTTCCGCCTTCAGCATCCATGTGCTCAGAGACACCTTCTTAATGCCCATCTTGAAGTGCGCTCGACATTCCGTCGATGCATATACGGCCTTAACTCTACATTTATTTTCCCGCTGGCACTCTTCACGAACTTTCAGAGCTATGTCGTTCATTTTGGTCCTCCTTCGCATTTCCTGAGTTCGGATCCTATGTCATACAGAAACGCTGAGCATAGCTCCCTCCATTGCCAGCTGCGCGACTTTTATTTGTGTGTATATACCTCATCACGGAGAAAATGAATACACTTGTTAAGAATTCTTATCTTCAAACATGGAATTTGCGCCGGGAAGATGTGACGGAATTTCCCATATACAGCCCAGCCTAATGCGTCTGTGGATTGATCGATGTGAACAGATTTAAAAATATATAAATTAAAAAAATAAATACATATACCGAGGTAATTAGTGGTAAAAGTTATTTCCTGTCAAATATACATATGCTTCCTCTACAATCGTATGGCAATGGCTACAATTTTCAACCATAAGGCAAAAAACGTAATTACTGCAATTATATATCCTTTCTATAGAAATCTGACCTAAATACAGTACGTTTATACAATTTAAATATTTCGTGTATAAGATTCATCGCAAGTAAAAGCAGACAGTCTAACAAAGACCCATAATATAATAGAAGACTTATGAGTCATTCTTTTCGCCGTCGTCTCTCGGAACAGCTCATTGAAATGAGTCTTAAGCAACATTTGCGCAAGGTTAACAATTATGTTTATTGTACAGTACCAGGTAGGTATGACCGTCCTGAAATTTTTAAATATATATGTATATATTTTTTTGTAACTTGTGAAGTAGGTAAACCGGATATGACTATTCGTTCTAATACCTATCATTACATAGGTGCAAATTTATAACAGTGTTTACGAGATTCTATAAAATCAAATTCCTTACGTATGCATGTACGTTATCCTCCTGGCAATAATAGGTACTCGTAGATTAGTAAAATTACTCACTGAAAGTTTTAAATCTATTGTTATTTTACTCACTTAAGAAATATTAAGTTAAAGAACCTTTTATATTTTCTAGCTAACTCTGGCCCTCTTAACATATTATCAACTATTATACATATGTATGTCTACGGATGTCTTCGTTAGTTGAGCACGGATTTTAAAATCATACCTTAAAAATTATAAAAAAAAATTCAACTTCTAAATCCAGATCTCAATTGAGGAATATCCTTTTAAGGATTGTCATATAGGACACTGTCTTCTACTTTTGCATATTGTTTTTTTATCACTAACCTACTGCCTAGTTCGGCTAACTGCTTTAGTTGAAAAGAACTGGCAAGAAACTCAACCGGTACATTTTTATGTTATTTCTTGTATCAAGTATACTTGAGCGAACGTGTCGTCATCTTATAATACAGAGCAGAAGAAATTCACAGTAATCCTTAGAAATTAAGGGTTAACACTAAAAAAAATACTAGTTAGAGTTTAGTATGGTGATTAGAAACTAATTAGGTGTTTAACGATATCCACTGACCTTGGACGTCGTATTTACTCTCCCGTATTGGGCACATACTAATTCTGTATCGTTTGTAGGTATTTTGTAGACCGTAATATATTTCTTTATATAGATAGAGCAATTGTGGAATTGCTTGACCGTTGTTTAAGTTTGAAACTGGTTTTCGATAATGGCGGTGCAATAAAGAAATCTCACCTGTCGTGTTTACACGGTTCTGTAGCATTTATATGAGAATATTATTACATATTAGATGATTTGTAATAAAACTAGAAGTTCTCTGTTCGATAATGCTTGATTTTTTTAAATTGATAATAAATTAAAAGGATTCATATATTTTTTTTAAATGTTAACATTTCTGTAACAGATTGAACATGTTTGTATATTTATGAATCAGTCACGCTTATACAATTGAACGAATTTGAATGAAATGTGGTACAGAATACAGACAGCCTAGATTAACATATAGATTCTCTTTGCCCGAATTCACTCTGCGTCTTATACTAGACATAATATTTACATTGTTAAACATAAGTCACTACCGCAATGAAACAGGGATACACTGATATTCTTATTAGAACATCTATTAAGGTTAGTCCTAAGTGTCATTTAATAGGTGGTGAATTTTAATTTTACACTAGTGTACTAATCGAACCACGTTTTACTAGATTTTGTACAAAGGTA